TCTTAAAGTTTGAGCTTCCAACTCCTCTTATTATAAAATTGAGAGCCAACGGTAAGAAACTTTTTGATCGGCCCTTGTATATACACTATAAGTGGCAGTCTAGCGCACATACTCAAGAAAACAGGTAATCTGTATATGTTATAACTCCCTCTCTCTCCAGATATAATGTACCAACCAACACCTACAAAATATACGCTTTTAGTGATATTCGAGTGCACATACTAAAGAAAACAGGTAATCTGCACATGCCATAACTCCCTCTCTCTCCAGATATAATGTACCAACCAACACCTACAAAATATACGCTTTTAGTGATATTCGAGTGCACATACTCAAGAAAACAGGTAATCTGCACATGCCATAACTCCCTCTCTCTCCAGATATAATGTACCAACCAACACCTACAAAATATATGCTTTTAGTGATATTCGAGTGCACATACTAAAGAAAACAGGTAATCTGCACATGCCATAACTCCCTCTCTCTCCAGATATAATGTACCAACCAACACCTACAAAATATACGCTTTTAGTGATATTTGAGTGCACATACTAAAGAAAACAGGTAATCTGCACATGCCATAACTCCCTCTCTCTCCAGATATAATGAACCAACCAACACCTACAAAATATACGCTTTTAGTGATATTCGAGTGCACATACTCAAGAAAACAGGTAATCTGCACATGCCATAACTCCCTCTCTCTCCAGATATAATGTACCAACCAACACCTACAAAATATATGCTTTTAGTGATATTCGAGTGCACATACTCAAGAAAACAGGTAATCTGCACATGCCATAACTCCCTCTCTCTCCAGATATAATGTACCAACCAACACCTACAAAATATACGCTTTTAGTGATATTCGAGTGCACATACTAAAGAAAACAGGTAATCTGCACATGCCATAACTCCCTCTCTCTCCAGATATAATGTACCAACCAACACCTACAAAATATACGCTTTTAGTGATATTCGAGTGCACATACTAAAGAAAACAGGTAATCTGCACATGCCATAACTCCCTCTCTCTCCAGATATAATGTACCAACCAACACCTACAAAATATATGCTTTTAGTGATATTCTAGCACACATACTCAAGAAAACAGGGATTATGTACATGTCAAAGCTTCCTCTCTGTCCAGATATGATGTACCAACCAACACCTACAAAATATACACTTTTTGTGAGTCACGCTTAATCAAGAAAACAGGTAATCCGTACATGTCATAACTCCTTCTCTGTCCAGATATAATGTACCAACACCTACAAAATATAGACTCTTAGTGGCAGTCTAGCGCACAGAATCAGGGGAAAAAAAGTACACCATTATATGCCATGGCACCATCCCTACCAAGTAAATGATGTACCAGCAATTTGTAACATGTCACACTCCACTCCTTGCCAAGTAATAAAGTTTTTATCTTTTCAGTTATTACATCAATATTAGAAACATCTTTCTTAAATGAGCAGTAAGTCCAAATACTGTATTTAGAACTAAAAGTACCATGGGTACTGGGCTCACGTGGGAAGGTTTCAATTACAAAACAAATCTACCTTCCAACACATCCAATACATCACATGAATAAGAGGTTGATTTCTCAATCTAGGCTCCACAGTATGCGATGACTGCTGCAGCATGGACATAAAAGTTCTCTACAGGTACCTCCAGCATGTCTCATGGGATGGCTCTAAACACCTTGCTGTATATTATTCCTCATTCACCGTGCTCTATTTGAATTTCTAAACCAATCAGAATGCAGCAAAGCCAATAATGAACGTTCATTAATTCTCCATACAGGCACGACCGTGCTCTATTCAATCTGCTTCCAGGAATCTATGTACACGTATTGGTTTGTATTATGGCGTCAAACCTGGGAATGGCAAAAATAACAGCCAGTTTGGTTATTTCATTGACCTAAATCCCCAATTCTCTGAACAAGGTTTTCTTTTTTTATGTTTGAATCATAATAAATAATGATAGGCCATTCAATATGGTGAAATTCTACACTCGTTGGACAGAATGTCAGTACAAATGCACTCACCTTCGGTTCGTGCTTTATACGTGCAGTGTCCAACTCATGCTGAATTTCACCATATTGAATGGCCTATCATTATTTATTCCTTAAATATTGTGTCCTCCCTCAATTATTATTAGGGTAATTTACATCTCATAGACCCTATATTTCAGAGGAAATTGCACTAGATGATTGACAACTGAAGCAAAGTCATTACAACTTGTGTTGCTTTTGAATCATGACAGGGTTTAGGAACCTAGTAATTAAATTTGAGCGAATAAATTACATCTTAAATCATATTCCGGTATAGTATTCCATCTACTGCGGTTCTAGGTACATAACATTTGGGACTGGGATGAATATGGGCATCCATCCCAGTCCTGCTGCTGAAAAGTGAACTTAATTTACGTTTTACTCAATTTATGAAACAAAAATCATATATAAAACTAAATGCTACATTTCAAATTTCAATATCAATTCATTGATCTACTCCAGTAATATGAGTGGGAGCTCACAAAGAAAATGCAGTACTATCTCAAAATTAACACTGAAAAGCAGGGGATTTGGGACTTGTATATAGGTGGACTTGTATGCGGTGAAACTCAATTACATGCAAAAAGGTCCAGAGGGGTCTTGATTCTGCTACCCTATGGTATAGTCTCTTTAAGTTTGTTTTTGAATTTCAGTGGAACTTAATGAGGCTTAATCTACCTAGAACCTCAGTACGTATAAAATACATCTGTTATGTACAGTTGGTTTTGGATACAGGATTTATCCCTTGTGAAATATGTGTATTTATCCTATGCCAAGTAGAGTTTTAGGGAGATAAGTTGGTAAGATATATCCTGTATCCTAATTTTGAGGTTTCCATATCCAAAACCTCCATATCTTCCCGCATCAGGTAAGTAGTGGAAATGCAATAAAATGACTTTGCATATGAATGATTTCTTTATTTTTACAACTTGTACTATTGAAATGGCCATATGCCCCTGAAACTCTACTTGGTATAGGATAAAGCAGTTATGTACGGTCGGTTTGGATATGGGGTTCATCCCTTGTGAGATATGCACATCTACCTTCGGTCCCTACGGTCCCTCAAGTAGATATAAATATCTCCCTCTGGATAAACCCCATATCCAAAACCTCCCAGTACATAACCCTTATTTATTGTACAAGGCATATTTATATTTTCAAACCGTGTTTAGGTACCTAAACATACAAGGAGGATTGGATCCCAAAATGCAATCTCTATATTTTCCAACAATGAGTCCAATCTTGTTATATTCTAACATTATAATAACTGACTCTAAATATATAATCAGCAATCCAAAAGATTTGAATTCATATTTTGATCACTTATTGTATTGTGGAGTTCTTTGTTTGGAAATAATACTGTAACTCGTAATTCAAATTCTGAAATGAAAAAATGCCAGCCACTGAATTTGAAATTCTGTAATCACGACATCCTTCAAGATGGGACTCATTGTTGGAAAATATTGAGATTGCATTCTGGGATCCAACCCTCCTTGACACACAACATATTATATGGTCATATATGGTTAACCCTTTCACTTTGTATGTTGGTAGTTTAGATACCACATTTTGCATAGTTTTATGACATAACTCCAAATATAATCAATTAGAGGGCCACTTAAAAATCCAAACCATTTGTAGACATTTACTGGATGTTTTGAATTAACATGTACATTTTTTACTTGTAAGGAAACATTGCTAGATCAATACATTTTTGAAATCAAGTCAAATTCCATATAATGTTTGAGAAAGAAAATATCATCAGCAATTTAGAGTGTGAGGCAGAACATGTATATTCATGAAATTATGAAAAAAATTAAACTTTAGAAAATAGGATGACAAGGATGCTGTGAGAAAAAGATTAAAGTTACATTTAACTCATCTCTCCCTCTTTAAAGTGACGAAATATATAAGGGTTATGTACTGGGAGGTTTTGGATATGGGGTTTATCCAGAGGGAGATATGCATATCTACCTGAGGGACAGTAGGGACCGAAGGTAGATGTGCATATCTCACGAGGGATGCACCCAATATCCAAACCGACTGTACATAACTGCTTTATCCTATACCAAGTTGAGTTTTCAGGGGCGTATGGCCATTTCAATAGTACAAGGTGTAAAAATAAACAAATCAATTCATATGCAAAGTCATTTTATTGCATTTCCACTACTTACCGGAAGCGGGAAGATATGCATCGAAGCGGGAAGATATGCACCGAAGCGGGAGATATGGCGGGAGATATGGAGGTTCTGGATATGGAAAGCTCAAAATCAGGATACGGGATATATCTTACCAACTTATCTCCCTAAAACTCTACTTGGCATAGGATAAATGTATGTATGCATATTTGTGTGGGTTCTGATGTTAACCTATGGACAAATAAAGATTCCTTTAATGCCTATTTCAAAGTGTTTTTGTTTATATTTAATTCTGATTTTGTTACCCTACATACACTTCAATGGTGATCAAACATTGTCTATAAAATGCTAGAAATTAACTTTGTCTGTAATCATTATTCATAATTTATTCATTCAATATTTATCATATTTAATCCTGATTTTCATTAATAATAATAACAAACACTGTCTATGCTAGAAATCCTGATTTTCATTAATAACAAACACTGTCTATGCTAGAAATCCTGATTTTCATTAATAACAAACACTGTCTATGCTAGAAATCTTGACTTTCATTAACCAATACTGTCCATGCTAGAAATATCTGATTTTCATTAAAAAACACTGTCTATGCTAAAACACGATTGTTGAGCTAGCTGTCTGTAATTATTGTTTATCATTTCTAAATGAATTCATCTTTCATCAATGTGGTGTCAGTTTTTGTTGCAGACGTTTCCCGATCAACAAAGTGACATCTATGAAGCGTTCGACACAATTTGACATGCATGTCTCAGTTTTAGAGTCCATCTTATCACGTGGTTTGTCGAGACATTTATCCCAACAGAGATCAGTGAGCATCCCAATTTTCTGTTGAAGTTCAGCCTTCTGCGCCTCTACTTGTAAGAACTGTGCCATCTCTGGGTCTACGCCTTGGCTGCCACCTGCAGCGGAATCAAACGCCATTCTTGTACAGCACCTGAAAGATTGGAATTGTTCTTATTATTCTAGTATATGTAGCTATATGTTTGTGCTTTTATCATGGACAGTAATTAAGAAATATAGATCGAAGAGCAAGTACTATATCAATGAATAAATACTGCAGGTCTAGGCACAAACGTTTTCTTTTATATTTTGAAATGAAAAAATGCTTAAACAAGGCAAAATCAGGGAATTAAAAAAGGTACAGTTCTTTTATTCATTTATACAGTGTGGGTCATATCTACTCGACAGTAGCCCCAGGCAGATGTAAATATTTAGAGTCAAGTCAAGGTACATTATAAAGTTAGTTAAAAAGAGCGTTTGTTCTTTAAAATACTATCATCAGGGGCATAGCCAGCTTCCAGTCATCTGCGATCGCCAAAAATCGGCTTTCAGTTGGGAGGGAGAGGGGGGGGTGCAAACATGGCATACAGGTAAGCAACCCAACCCACACAAACTTTTATTACAAAAATTGATGCAACTTCCTTCTCAAACTCCGGGCTTCAAACTTGAGCTACATGTAGGAGCTTCAAAAAAGCATATAGATGGCGTGAATACAGTCATGTTCGAATATTCAGGCCTGTCAACTGTCCCGCAATTTGCGTATTTGTCACGCATTTGCCGAAGAATTTGAAGTCACGCCAGTTATTTTTGCGTGACAGAAAATGTCACGCAAATACGCATTTTACCTGGTAATTGTCAAGCAAAAATATTTCTGAAGAATTTTTTTTAAAAAAGATCGTCTACACAGCAAAAATACGAACGCCGGAAAAAAATGTACGCATTTTGTTCGGACTTTTCACGCGAATTATGTATATGTCACGCATTCCGTTCGAAATTTTTTGTACCTACCCCCCCCCCCCCCCCCCCCCCCCCCCCCGTTGATGAATGTTTCAAACGCGAGCGTAGATTTGAGGTGTTCAAAATTTGGCAAGATGTAATAAAATTTAAACCAAGGTGTTCAAAATTTGGATCAAGGTGTTCAGATTTGGACCAAGGTGTCCACATTTTGAGGGGAGGTGTTCAACATTTCCAAGTCACTCATGTTAGGTGTTCCCAAGTTGACAGGCCTGAATATTGCATAATGATCTTCATAGGAGACAGGTTACCTGAAAAGGAAGATAGATATCATTATCTCTTATCTAAACAAGGACTGAAACTGAGGCAAGTCTACCCTGGCTGAAATCAGCTCTGAAATAACAATTACTGCATGTCAAGCCGTCATTCAATGCTGATTTTGTAGAAAACAGATCTGTCCATCCTTCTACATGTGAGTTTTTCCCATAAAGATGCTTGATTAAGTAGAAATTCATCAAATTATACCCCTAGAATATCAAAGTTCAACTGTACATCAATCGCGTGAGGAAAAAAAAAATCCATTCTTCACCTTCTGTTCACAAACCCTTCTTCTTCTTCTTGGAAAAGTTGTCCCTCATTTGAAAATGATAATTACAATCTTACCTGTACTTCACAGAAACATCCTAAGTATGAAAATATTTCACTAAAAATACTTGCTTCCATTTTGTCACATGTTCATAATAATTTAAATATTGATCATGTGATGTTGACAGGGAGTGTAAACGCACCTAGCGTACGGTAGACTGTAAATCTAGTAAATCTAGTAAATCTCGTAAAACTAGTAAATCTAGTAAATCTAGTAAAATCTAGTAAAATCTTGTAAACTTTTTAGGGACCATTCATTTGATATCAATGTCAGTATTGGCGATTATGATTCCTTTTACAACATTAGAAAAATACCTTCTCTGCATTAAAATTCAGAGTCATTCCCTTCATCAAATAATCAATATACAAATTTTTTAACAAAATTGTGAAATATTATAATAAAAAAGAATGTTTAAGGGGCTGATATGATATGGCTTTAAACTATTAATTACAAGGAATACAAGGAACATATCATAATCAAAACATAAATGGAAAGCATTGTAGAAATGCCATACTATACTTTATGTATAGGTAAAGCAAATAGATCAATCAGTAAGTTGTCTCACTCTTCCCCTTACTACAGCATTTGATTGTTTTTATTATTTTTGGGGGTTGGCAAAATCAATTTTGAAATTGCCATTTATCCATTCCTCTCATATTGGGACTTCTACAAATATTGTCAATTGAACAGCATCGCCAAAAAATAAGCAATAACTAAATTATCTGATAGGCTAAGCATTATAACATTTTGTGAGGGAAAAACAAGCCTGTGTCATTTAGATGGTACGCATTGTCCCCTCAGTCCTTAAATATGTGGCTTAATTTGTTAATAGAGCATGCTTCTTGGGTGGGTTGTATATGATGATAAAATGGGTGTACCATTTGATAACCATTTTGTTATCCAGTACTAACATATAGTTGTTTTGTAACTAAATATAATGAAATAAACGGTAGAATTTTTTCTACATGTTCATTTCATTCATACAAAGTCATTTTCAGTGCTTTTTCGACATTTGCACTTTATATCTTAGACATTGAATAATCAAGTTTTTACAAGATTTTACAAGATTTTACTAGATTTACTAGATTTACTAGTTTTACTAGATTTACTAGATTTACTAGATTTGCAGTCTACCCCTAGCGTACAGGAAATATGTTATGATATTTATTAAGAAATTAGGTATGGTAATCATTATTAATTAAGCATTAAGTATTAAGCCCCCAACCCACTTCACAAAGTTCATGAAGTACCAAGGAAAGACCAAATATTAAATAAATTAGAAAAATTTGAATTTCCCAAAAAATCAAGTGGGCGATAATAGAGTCTCTGAAACATTAAATTTTTCCTTCATTAAGGTCTCATGGAAGTTAACAGGAAATGACAAAACAAAAAATGACAAAGCCATGCTGGATTTTGAAAATTTTTTGAACCAAGATAACAGAGTTCTGTTTGGATCTCCAGTCAGTTTAACTAGTTCCACATATCATTTACATGACCGGGAACACAATTGAAATGGTCAGAATGACCATAAACATAGAATAACCTTTTCAGCCTTCTGAAAATGTGACTAAAAAATAGCTAAGAGTCTGTGCTCAGGAAAGGTCACTGAACAGAATCTTTTGACTTTTTCAGAAAATGTGCCCAATATATTGCTCTAAATGATACAATTTAAACAAATTTGATATCATTCTTAGAAAAAGAAATTTTTTTAAAAAACTGAATTGAAAATCGATCTATTTTCACTACAGCCATTCCCAATTGAAAAAAGCCTATGGAAAATCATCTCCAATTATCACCTAACTTACTATTGATAATTAGTTGAAAGTTAGGTGTAAAAATTCACATGCAAATGAGCTAATTATCAACTTAATTAACGCTTAATTTGCAACTTAATTAACGATTAACTACCATCAATATGCAAATGAGCTATTTACGTAAATTAGTTGAAAGTTAGTTGTAAGTTTGATGTAAGTTAATCTCTAATTATCACCTAACTTACTATTGATAATTAGTTGAAAGTTAGGTTTAAGTCAGATTTGTGACATCTCAAAAATGACTCGCTTCTTTTTTGCTTCCCTTCACTCGGAGATTTTTGCTTCATCTTGAACTATTTTGTGACGGAATATTCATCTTAATTAGGATCTTTCAGAACAGACAACATTGAACTTGAACTATTGAAATTTCACAGCAAGAGGAGGGAAAACCCCATGATTCAATTGATGACATAAGATTTCCTCCTTCGCACACCTTCTTTTGTCGAAAACGTACCCTCCATCTTGGTTTTTAAAGTTTTCAAATTGACCTAGATTTAAACCAATCAACGATCGACTCGCTAAACCAATCAGGGACTATGTCATCTCAATACAGATTTACATTATAAGCTTATGTCATCTTTGAACCCTGGGGTTTCTCCCCCTCTTTTTTAATTCTATTTTGCAAATTTTTAAGATTCATGAAAAGCATGTGAAAACATCATTATTGCCATCAACAACTAAAATCAGAACACAAACATTAGACTATAATGTGACATAATAAGGACGTAACAGATATAATCAAAAATATGTTTTGAATGTCTTTGATCTAACAATCATTATTTAGAAGAGCACATTTGGATTACTTGTGAAATATAGGTAACCCATGTTAGTACCTAAATTGCATTCTAGGATTAATATTATATGATCTGATTCAAAAAGATTTTTAAATTCATAAACATTTCAGACAGAAGTGTGAATAAGATTTAACATACATTGTATTCATGTTCTACATACCCTTATAATAATGTTGACCAAATTTCATGGTAGTATACGCACCATTCACGTTGTAATTCTCAATTTTATGAGAGAAATATCTCTCACATGTTTTCTTTTTCCACCATCTTGAAATTAAATTTAGGGGGTTTGTATTTCTAAATCATGGGCCTAATTTACGACTAATTATCATTAAAATCATCCTATATGTTAACTATCAACCAATAATCTACTTCAGACCAAAAACGTTTTAATTTACCACTTACTATCACCCTCAAACATTTCATATCTTAATTATCAACTAAAAATCATAAATCAGCATTATTGTAAGTTAATTTACGTTGAACTTGCTACTGATAATTAGGCCATAATTATCATTGATTTAATTAACGCTTAACTTTAATTCCAATTGCCAGCAGAATTGTTGATAATTAGTTGTAAATTAGTTGGTAATAAGTTGGTAATTAGTTTTATTTTTCAATTGGGTTATTGTTTCAGACAATTTTTTTAAATTTCAAAGATTGTGTCATTTAGAGCAATATATTAGACACATTTTCTGAAAAAATCAAAAGATTCTGTTGATTGACCTTTCCTGAGCACAGCTACTTTTAGCTATTTTTCAGTCACATTTTCAGAGGGCTGAAAAGGTTATTTTATCATGTTTATGGTCATTCTGACCATTTCAATTGTGTTCCCAGTGTCATGTAAATGATATGTGGAACTAGTTAAACTGACTGGAGGTCCAAACAGAACTCTGTTATCTTGGTTCAAAAAATTTTCAAAATCCAGCATGGCTTTGTCATTTTTTGTTTTGTCATTTCCTGTTAACTTCCATGAGACCTTAACTTATTAAATACATTATTTTTAGATAATATTAGTTTGATATGGTGTGGAAAGCACACAATGATAGATAATTATCGGGAGTATGCATTGAAAATTACAAAATATGTCACTTTTGCCATGTTTCAGAGGCTCTATTATCGCCCACTTGATTTTTTTTGGAAATTCAAATTTTTCTAATTTATTTAATATTTGGTCTTTCCTTGGTACTTCATGAACTTTGTGAAGTGGGTTGGGGGCTTAATACTTAATGCTTAATTAATAATGATTACCATACCTAATTTCTTAATAAATATCATAACATATTTCCTGTACGCTAGGTGATACACAGTCAGCACTATCAATGGTATACTTTACCTTTAGTAATAGAAGAGAGAAGTTCAAAAGCTGTTTGTCACGATATTTACCGATCCATCCACTCTCTCCAATACGCATGCGCAGCCCGATGTAAAAAATAAGGCAGTGACTGGAAAGCCTAAAATTTTAGGCTCTTTAGCATTTTGGTAACCCATTTGGCTAAAGAGCCTTAAATTTTAAGGTTCTTTGGCATTTCGGCTAGAAAGCCTTAAATAGGGTCTTTAGCATTTTGATTGCCAATTTTGCTGGAGAGCCAGCCTTAAAGGAATTCTAAGTGACGGAAATGACAAAATATTGCTTCTGGGACGAGATCAAACGATTTTGACATATTTTTACTCAACCTGTTTTGTAATTTAACAATCAACACAAATTAACATACTATATTTAAGCAGATACCGGAGATATTCATAAAAATATATTTTTGGATCGATAAACTCACCGATTATTAAACCGGAAGTGTCTTCTCTGAGGTCCGCGAAGAAAACGAAGAAGGAAACATACAACGATTTTATTCATTTCACTTTTGCAGTGGATTTGATTTTAAATGCTTCTAAATGATCCTTGAATGCTTACTTTGACTTCCTATAAGAACTGTTTTGACTTCCCCACTTCATAAAAAGAACATTATCACTTTTTACTCGACTCGTAAATTTACTTCCGGTCTACCGAAAAAAAGTTCTTAGAACCTTTTCAATCCTCAGTCTAAATTTGGCTTTTTAAAGGTTCAGTAACCTTCGTGGTGCGGCAACTTGGAGCAGTCATATACTTGTTCAATTTTACTAATCAGTAAAGATTTTGATGTTTAGAATAGGCCCTTGGGAGAATGGTGTTGAGGTCACATTTAGTGATGCCCAATTGGAGGCTAGCCTAAAAAAACGTTGATACAAATGAAGGACTTTTGAAGGGGAAGTTTTTGCAAAAAATTGAAAAAATATTTTGTGCCTCTTGTCATTTGAAAATCCTAAAAATCGGCATGGGAATCTAATAGGCAATAGATTTGGAAGTGTATTCTCTGATGTCCCTACATTCCCGATAAACTGCATCATGATGTGCTGTATCTGGAATTCAACAAGATCATTTTCTTCATCCCAAAGTCTCCTTCATACTTTTTGCCACCTTCAAATGGGATTCCCCGTATGCTGTAAGCTTGTGAATATAGTAAAGCCAATACAAGTGATTAATTTCATTAAACATGGATGGTTGAGCGTTGGAGCGAGCCCATGAATTTTTAAAAAATTGTGTACATAATATCCGGACCTCAGAGAACAAACTTCATAATGAAAAAAATTGTACCAACATGGAATCGAACCTGCGCCGTGGGAGTATTAGGCGAACGCCATAACCACAAAACTAGAGTGTGTTTTCTTTTTGTAAAATCTATATTTCAATAATAAAACATATGTAAATAATATAATTATACATAGACCCAGTTACATTGTTTAATTTCTGTACAGTTTTTCATTTTCAAAATATGCATGTATACTTCCAGTTTTGTCTCTATTGAAAATTTGTATTTCCCTCCTGGTTATTAAAACTTCTTTATAATTCTTATACTTATTTATTCCTATAATTTGTTCAAAAGTGATATTATCAAAAAAATTCCATATATCCCTTATTTTTGTACACTCATAAAAATTATGTTTAACATTGTCAATTACATTACAATTTTAAAAAGAAATATCTCTAATTCTAAAACCATTTAAAATCTCATTACATGGATATACGTTGTGTAATGTTTTCCAATGAATAATTAAGAGTTTGGTATCTACTTTGCACTTAAATGCTCTAATCCAAGTTGCACATGAAATATCCTTACCATTATACTGTAGAAACAATTTTCTTTTATCTGTACATATAATCCAAAATCTGATGCTTCATAACATATTATCTCTATACCATTTAAATATACTAGAGTGGCTTGTACATACATTACCTTTAAGGCTCTTTGGCCGAAGTGCTAAAGAACCTTAAAATGTAGGCTCTCCAGTCACTGCCTTATTTATAACATCGCTGCACATGCGTATTGGAGGGAGTGGAGGGATCGAGTGTGAGTTTGGACCAACTTTTGCAAGTTTGACCAGGAAATCACCTTTCATTTGGTATGTTAGTAACCTTTTTGATCGTATTGGTATGTAAGAATCATATATATGTCGAAATATAAGCATAAATGTCACAGTTTGAAGGATAAATGTCAGAATATTTACCGGAAGTGTTTATATTTCCAAAGAGCTTTCGGACTTTTCTCTTCTATTACTAAAGGTAGATTGATGGTGATGACTTTGAGGTGATATCTATCTTCCTTTTCAGGTAACCTGTCTCCTATGAATGATCTTGCATAATGATTTCTTTTTTAAGTTTTACTGGCGCAATAAAACAGTGAAATGAACTTATAAAACGTTATCTCGTTCCAAGACTATCTCTACGTTCTAGTCAGAAACGAAGAGGATGGGCTTGGAACAATAAGTAAAACGTGCATATTTGCAAATGGAACAAATCATTTCATAACATGAATACCCGGGGATGAATTATTAGGTTAGTCGATATATCTATGAAGAAACTAAGAACTATGTCAAAACAGCACTCACCAAGTTGTATTAGATCTGAATTGCCTGCGGAACAGATATTCTTGTAAAATATAAAATCATGCACAATAGTTTATTTCCGGTGAACTTGACCCGGAAGATACACGGCCAATCAAATTATAGTTTTTTAACCGGGAAATTTGAAAATACTATTTACCTCTGATAAATGCTGTAGACACTTTAAATTCAGGGAGTAGAAAACTCCGCCAGAAGGGGTTGGTTAGAGAATGAAGCGAGGCTGTTTGCCCATGTCATCTGGCTTTGATTAAAGGACAAGTATAAACTTGAAACCCGGGAGATTGATTTAGTACATTTAGTCTAGTGTAAATAACGTAATCTAGTAGATTTTTGCTAAAAATAAACACAAATGGGAATCTCAATCAATCTCCATGGACTACTTATGCACTAATTAACACAGGAATTCGTCTAGAAGGAAAAAGAAGTTAATAGAGCAAGCCTCAACTCAATAAGCACAAAATACTTAACTTTCCCTATGACTAATTAGTGCTTTAATCTGGTAAGGTTTTATATCTACATGTAGCAATAGAAATAGCCTTTCCCAATGGCCATGATGATATCATCCTACAGTGCTGGTATATATTAATTGATCAGTCGTTTAATTGGCATATTTTCTTGAATCTTAACATTTAATGTTCCAAACTCCCACAAATTGCAGAAAAGTATACCCCATAAATCATATTTACCAAAATGAGTGTCTCCAAGGCTTCACACCAGCGTATGTATAATGCATTTGTCACGAGTTTGAGCTGAAATTTCGCAAAAATGGAGTAGGCTAAGGGTAGTCTCTGCCAGGTTCGTTTATTGTGGTAAGCTTGTAAGTGCTCAGAAGCAAATAATTCATGTGCGCAAAATAATCAAATAATCTGATTGGTCTAAACTTTGCTGCACATGCGCACAATGTGTGCCATGTTTTTTCTAGTGATTTCGTTTCGTTTCATGGAGTTTGCGTTTCAGTGTAACTTCCGCAAAAATGGCGGACCATGGACAGAATTAACAGGTAAAATCACTCCGAAATTTCAAGAGAACTTTTTGCCTATAATAGCAAAACTTTTGTTTTATTTGTGCAGTCTATCTATCAGATAAGAGTCTCAGGGGTATGTAGGCAAATTCATTTTGATAGGAGTACTCTGTTTAGTTTGAAAACGCACCCTTAATTATTATATATCAGCACTGTAGTAGGACGACAAGGGACATCTCGAAGTCTAAATAGAAATGAATACGGAAGTATTAAGAATGCGATGTATTTACGTTGAATAGGACGATAGTAGAAATGTGATTCCTTATGTTGAAATTTGAAATCCCATTCAATTCATTGAAATATTAAATTCTTTGCCTTTTATTTTAATTCTTGTTCGCACCAACCGCAGGGCCATAGGGAGAGGGGGTTCAGAGTGTTCGTGCAAATCCCCCCCCCCCAAAGTCTATATGCAGTTATGATTTGGGGCAAGCCCATCTACCTTCTCTACAAGTTAAACAACGGAAATTTTAATTTGCCAGAGTACCTTTTTTCTATCGGTCGATTCTCCACGAAGATCCTCGTTTCCGCGATTAATCCCTTGCTCTGTGAGGCAAAAATAAATAAGTGTTTCTTATCCACGATAGTTTTTCTTCCGATATGCGCTCCAATCGATGATAATTGACAAGATACTGGAGAATTTCTGTTAACAACAACTTTGCCGGACTGTTTTTCAACTTCCGGTAGTTGACCTAAAAAATCTGCAATCTGATTGGTTGATTAATTTAAAGGTAAATTCAAAATAAAAACGTACTTGGAACACCTGTAATTTCATAAAAACTATGCCCAGAATATGCAAGAGCTTTAGCATTTTCAGCGTCTCCATCAACTTCGTAGTCCATTTCTGAAAAAGAAGTGCTAGAGCAATTACACAGATTGTAGTGTCATAGTATCAATTATAGTTATTTACAATTCACAGCCAATTCCCGGAGAAATTTCTTTACTTTTCAGTGTGTAAACGACATTATTAAATTTTTTCAAAATTTCCGTTGTTTAATTTAACTTGTAGAGAAGGTAGATAGACTAATGATTTGGGCTTGGCCCAAATCATAATTGCATATAGACTGTGCCCCCCCCCAATCTTGACTAAAAAAATTCGAACCCAACTTTTTAGACAATTATGCGAACCCCCAAATTTTGAGTTACTTTTTTGCAGTATTTCAGTAATTTATCGTTTTTTGATTACCTTAGATATTCGAGGTATATGCAAAGTTGGAAATATGTGAGATAAACCAGGATGTATAACTTTATGTTGAGTAAAATGACTGAAAACTAGTCATACAGAAAAACGATCTATTTTGAGATGGACGATTTTCATTAAAGAGTTATGCATTAAGTCAGCATGTAAAATCAATGCCTTTAAACAGCTCTCAAATTTATTAGACATGAAAAGTCGCATGACCATATTCAAGGCCTTTGTCTTGTCACACTTTAATTATTGCCCGATAGTATAACACCACTGTGGCAAGACAATTGCTCTTATTGAAAAAGCTCCAAGAAAGATGTCTCCGTTTTGTTTACAAGGACTATGAGTCTGATTATGATACTATTTTAGACAAATTCTTTATAATAAAAAAAATCAGGCCTGCCCACCTTAACTTTAGGTAGAGAAAGGCATATTGCAATAAACTTTTAAAATCATAAATAATCAGTCTTCTAGTTATCTTAACGACATACTACTACTACAGGAGAGTACATCTAGTTACAATTTTTGTCACAAAAATACTCTAAATGTTCCATCTTTCAATACTGTAACACATGGCAGACACTCTTTTAGAGTTGATACATGCTATATATGGAACAGTCTACCCAGTAATCTCAGTATTTGTGTTTCTCTAACAGAGTTTAAAAAAAATTAACGGTGATAACTGCAAATGTGCAATATGTAAATGTAAAATGTAAATGTTTCAGATTCTCTGTGTCACAATGTAGATCTATTTTAGCATGACATATGATATTTTAATATTTATCTAAACACTGTTACATGTTTTAAAATTTTATTTTAAAGATTTCTATGTTTATATGTTGGTCATCAGGTCATTAGCTTGCGCTAATGTTTATTGTACAAAAAATATCCGACTTGAAATATTGATATGATATGATATCTGATTGGGATAGAACATCAAAATGCTCCCTACTTTATGATATAAAATATATAAGAGAATTTTGAACATGCAAAAGTTCAGTGATGTAATACATATGGTGCATCAAAGTTCTGAACGCTAGAAAACTATTTTTGGTCAGGAGTCACTTTCAAAATTGTTTTCTTTCATTGGAACTCACACATTTTTGCTAATTTTTTGCCTCCTATTTATTTGAAGTAATGGAAAATACAAGACATTTGAATTAAACAACCTATACTGTACTTTTGGGTGGCCATCTTGTTTCCTGGCAGCCATCTTGAAGGTTTTACGGAAAATCTTGCCATCGCCATTTCAGGAAAACCGCTCATCGGATTTTCTCCAAATTCGCACACATAATAGATGATATAAAGTTCTAGAGCTGATTAACTTTTGGGTGGCCATCTTTTTTCTGGCGGCCATTTCGAAGGTTTTTCGGAAAATCTTATCATCACCATTTCAGGAAAACCGCTCATTGGATTTTCTCCAAATTCACGTACATGATAGAGGATATCATGTTCTACAGCTGATTAACTTTTGGGTGGCCACCTTGTTTTCTGGCAGCCATTTTGAAGTTTTTTTGGAAAATCTTGTCATTGCCATTTCAGGAAAACCGCTCATCGGATTTTCTGCAAATTTGCAACATGATAGAGGATATCATGTTCTAGAGCTGATTAACTTTGGGTGGCCATTTTTTTTCTGGTGGTCATTTTGAAGGTTTTTCGGAAAATCTTTTCATCGCCATGCATTTCAAGAAAGCATTTGTAACCACACAGAACCTTTATAAATTAAAAACTCCATCTAGTGTTGAGCTCAGAAGTGAACTTGAGTGAGCTACTATACCTCTAATACAACATGTCAAGATTGATTAGGAGACAGGAATTCATTGTACGTTTTGTTCATGTATTCTGTAAAATATTATAAAATTGCTTAAATATTTTTCAGAAGTGGGCTTGACATACAAATGTACATCCAGATGTTGGAGATTTGAAATAGTACACCACACAATCTCAACTAATCTCAACAGGATAATTATAGAGGGATTGAATTGTTGATAATAAACATAAAGACTGATCTGTGTGACTACAGAAAGTTAGGACCAGAGCACCAGACGCTGTTAGAATCTCAGCTTGAATCTCTGAGTTAGCGGGATAAATAGTGTAAAGTAATCGCCGTTTGCGGAACAAATCGTGAAACTTTCCTCAAATGATCACTGATTGCTACTCTTTAAATAAAGCAACTGTGCCAAAAAATCGCTCCATAGGAACTACCCTAATTTTTACAATTCTTACCCCCCCCATGGTCACGAGGGGGGGGGGGGCTAAAAAATATTTTGACACAATTTTTTTTACTAAATTATGCTTAAACTTCAAATTTAATATCATGTTAAGAAGTTAATGTTGAACTAAAAATATGAAATACCATTGATTTTCAATTGCTATGTTAAAGGGTGGTGATGGGCGACGCCCACTTTTCTTGTATTGAATATTTTGCACCATATCCATTTGCAGGAGTAAATTAAATAAGTGATATATGATTGTAAAATTACATCAATATCTAATGGTTCACATGACTATTATTTTTCACCTTTTTCACTCTTAAAGGCTTGTTTTGAGTCACACCCATCTTTTAGACATACAGAAAAAAGTTTAGATACGGTTTGACTTGTGGTTTTTTGGGCTTCCAAGGGCAGTAAGACTCACTTGTATCGTGTTGATATGCATTGGTTTTTGCAGCTACACTTTATGTGAGCCTGGCAAGCGTCTGATGCTTGAGGTAAAGTCGTCCACCTTGGTATCCATTTGGAGTCTTCAAATATCCAGCCCCACTCAGCTGGGGAAGGAACTTGAGGATTCGCTGTAAGTGATTGCCCCCAAATAAATACAGCTTGGTATATGACTCTCTTCATATGCTGTAACAGGGCTTCTGATGTTGGAGGAATGTGTGATATTATTGAAGTCCTCTTTGTGAACATCTCCTTCCTCGCAGCATTGATTGATGTTTCATTGCTTGTTTTGTTGTAGACCAGAATAATAAACCGCTGTAAAATAAGCTTGGCATCAAGCAGGGTATTGGGTCGTATTGAGATTTCTGTTAATACTGTAGTCAATTCAGGGTAGTTACTCCATTGGTTCCAGGCTGATGTCTTAAACTTTCCATTAAATCCTGATGTGGTGTCACATCCAGTCATAGCATGGAATATTGGGAAACATATAGCTTTCTGAGGAGTCATTTCATGGGCAATTTCGTGGGCTGGAAGGTATCTATAGGACTTTCCCTTGCCAAAGGCGAGCCAGATTTGAATGTTAAGTTGTGCACCTATACTAACTGCCAGAACAACAATGTCTTAATCAACTGTTCTAATCATCATTTTTGTGAAGCCTTATTCATTTCATCATATATGTGCAGAAAGATTCAGGAATCTGCCTCTTCATGGGATGATGGTAAAATCTCAGAAACATGCTGCTTAGGATATGCCTCTGCAGTATTCCCAATTGTTGTAATCAGGATTTTATATTCTCTGGTACTGGAATGGCTGAGACATTTGATGCAAGGAAAGTAAAGAGATCACTTTTGTTGTCATCCGAGCATAGAAATTCTGGCCAATTCCCTGGCAATTTGTTTACTGGATAAACTATTTGACGCTTTCCAGATCCACGCTTTTTTCTTGTTGAAGATATGAGACTATTTGGTTTATATTGATTCCATACAATATCAAGTCTTTGTACTTTATTAAGTTGATATGCAACATACTTATTAAATATGTCATCTGAAAATTGTAGGAAGGTTCTTGCTTCTTGAGTTTTCAGCAGGTGGACTATTATGGCACCATCAAGAAACATGGCTTCAACATCTGGTGTATTGATCTTTCTATTTGGAACAAGGTCTTCCACTGGTTTTAAGATATTTGCTTTGAGTCCAGTCTTGATTGTGCCATCTTGTGAAAGGGATGGAGGGAATGCCTGGTTCTCATGTTGGAAAAATTCATCTGAGTAGCCGTCTCTATTCTGGCACGCTATGTATAGTTGTGAAAATAGGGCAGTGTCATTTTTCAAGCTTGCTAGCTTTGAACTTGAGTTAGATTTCTTCTTTTGTTGTTTGAAAATCTTGAAATTGTTTCTCTTGATAGGGTCTGTGATGGCTTTTGATCTTTCAATAATTCTCTCCTTTATATATACTTCACATTGACTTTTCCCCTTTTCCTCAATTGTGTTCAATGTGTCAACAGCACTGTTTGACATTACATCTTTAGTATCAAGTGTCCAAAGTTCCTTTGATGTTGCAATAAAGGGGTTTCTAAATCATTGATAACCTCAGTAAGGGAATTGACATCTTTCTTGAAACTGGTTTGATAACTAACACTGTGCTCATAGTTTGCAAGGACTTCATCATCATTATCCTTCATCTCATCCTCAAACTCAGTTAACATTCTTGCCATCTTTGGACCACTGACCATCCACTTCTGTAATGCGGTTAGATTGTCTAAACCCACAGCTCCACCCTCACTTTTGATCACATATTTATTTTGCTCATGGGCTTGGTAATTGGAGTACCATGTACCAGAATTTGAATATAGGTGACCCTGTTTCTTCACTCTTCTATCTGGTATCTATCCAAGATTCAAAATCAGGAGACAAAATTGAATTGATTGGCAATCTACCTGAAATCTACCCAAGTAACAAGAACTGTATTGTATTGATTGGCAATCTACCTGAAATCTACCCAAGTAACAAGACCCCCTCCCAACTCACACAACACTCCTTCTTAATTCAAAACTGCCCTTATTAGATCAACAATATCATATTTTCAAACATAACACAGTTCAGCAAAATAAGCAGAACTACTAGTACTTCTTGATTATTTTTATCAATCATGTAGGTCAAAATCATACGAGGGTTCATCCAAAAGTCTTGGACTACCTGCTCTAATTTTGTTGGTTTTTGATAAAATTACTTTAAACCTTTCAATAATGAAGACCAACAGTCTAACTACTTTGTGTATTAATTTCATGGAGAAACGATATATTTTATGTAGTTTTCGCGATAGTTGTTAATATAGGGACCTTGCCACCCGGAATGGTATTCGCACATGGCAACTTTCAGCCTCAAATGTTGCCGCCATTTCACTTGTTTCTGCTGAAATGCAGAACATGAAAGAAATCAAAGTAGAACAAAGAATACGACAAGATATTTTCACTATTATTGACCTTGAGCAGCTACCATATGCACAATACAGCCTAGCCTCCATGTGATTTTCCCTCTTTTCTCCAAGTTGAAAAGGAGGGTTGAAAGAAAATATTTTTTACTCATTGGATGAGATTTAGAGTGGCATCCAGCAGCATTTGTAAAACATAAGCAATGGCGGTTTCATAAATGTCTTCCACTCATTAGTAAAGCGGTATGAAAAATGTGTTCAAATTCGTGGAAAATATGTTGAAAAGTAGGTCTTAATATGTGAAGATGATGATGGCAGATGACACTCAGACTGAAAATTGGAAATTCTCTCATATCATGACTGATGTTAGGTTGCGCACCTGCACCTAAAGTATTTGCCATATTATAACAGATGTGACGTAATTTGCTATATTTAAATACCATTCTGTGTGGCCGGGCCCCAGTATTAAAAATTATTTGGAAAAGTAGTTAAAATATATCATTTTCTGTTGAAACTTATACACAAAGTTGTTAAGATGTTGATCTTTATTATCTGAAAATGTCATGTAATTATATTAGAAAATAGCAAAGTTAGAGCGGGGCGTCCAAGACTTTTGGATCACCCCTCGTACTTACAAAAACTGATCTAGATTCTATCCTAAATGTTGATGCTCATTGTCACTCAAGCATGACCTTGTCAAAAACAAGAAGTGATTTTGGTAGTTGTTATAGTAAGAAAGATACACTTTTTACTTGATTATTCTGTATTTGAAATCAAGTCACTCATCAGATGTCACATAGTTTGTCAAACTTTATTTTCAATTAAAATTACAATGTTTATCATGTGGAAGTATATGCCACTCTGGAAAAGAGATAAAAGGAATTATTAAAGATAAGTAGATATTCATTTTACTAAAAATTGACTGCAATCTCAATCATTATCATGTGTATCATGGTAAAAGGTCCCAACATTGAAATTATGATACTATTTAATGATCATCCTAAAATGTTATGGCTGGTCATTAAGCCTACCCCTATAAATTTTAGGGTTAGGGGTAAAAATTGCGAAAAGTCGATAAAAAATGGAGGAAATTTTCGGCACAGTTGCTTTTTACACCCAGGAAGGTTGCCTGGTCATATCTGGAAAGTTCCACGATTTGTTCCGTTTTCGGCGCTTTCACCCTTTTTTATGTCACTATTTATCTCGCTAAGTTATAATATAACATCCACAAATCAAACTTCTGCATATATTGTGATCCAATATAATTTGCACATGATAATTTGTATGTCAGCTCAGTAAAGCTGTAGACCAAGACAATCCAAAGAATTCTATCTAGAGTGACAACATTATGATGGGACAATTAAACAAGTTACAATCAAGTGAGGAACAATCAACCATGGAACAATCAAGCAGGCAACAACCATCTGAGGAACAATCAACCAAGAATGTGATTCAACAAGCAAATCTGACTCCAGGAAACATTAACCTGTTACATCTCATGATCAGGTCAAATAAACCAATTGATGCTATCACTAAAGTATTCAAAGATTGCAAAAAAGATATCAATGCTGTTATATTTGGAGCAACTGCATTAAGTTTAACACTTTATCACAATCGTATGGATGTCTTTGATTTGATATTAAACGAGAGTGATCCTGAATTAGATATTAGAAGTAAAGACAAGAATAAAAGAATTGAGCCTCCTATAGTGACTGCTTGTCGTCAAGGTAAACTAGATGCATCGACACGTTTGTTAGAAGGAGGCTGTGACACAGAGGGTGTAGATGATGTAGGTCATACAGCACTGTGGTTAGCTACTCGTCAACGTTATCCAAGAATATGTGCGCTCCTTATCAGATATGGTGCCAATGTGAACCCTTCTGTTGAATGGAATCGTTCGCCATTATACGTCTCATTGAAATTCCCAAGGAGAACTGACATCACAGAGTTGTTCGTTTACCATGGAGCAGATGTTAGGATTAAAGGGGAGCATAAGTTCAAGTCACTGTTATACTGGGCAATGTTTCATGATAGTTTAAACATGGTTAAAGTTCTTGCAAATGCTGGTGTGAACATTACTACTGATGGAAATATACAGAATAACCAGCTTCTACCAGCTTTTGCACAAAATGATGAATTTCAAAACTGGTTGCAGCAGGAGCTGAAAAATCCCCCAAGTTTGTATCATCATTGTAGAATTGTGATACGAAGGAAAATACAAGATCTTCACGAAGGATCAAATTTTTTAAAGAATCTCAATAAACTTCCTTTACCATCAAAAGTTATTAATTACATAGCATTAAAAGATATTATTGCAGAGTCCAAACAAAATATGGTGTGAATTTGCTTAAAGATTGTAGATGTACATTCATTATTTTAGTTTATATAGGGCTATAGGGCCCATAATTTTTACTATCTTTATGCAGTGAGATGCTCTAATTAAACACAGTGGGACAACTCAAAGGAATCTCATGATAATCTAAAAATCAATTTAATATAAGAACATCTATTCTGTGGAAGGTTCAATACTATAATTTATTTATTTAATGTATTTATTTTAAATTGCACTGGGACATACAGAATGTGTATCCAATTTATAAAGAAATCCAGAAATCACCATTTTAATGTTGCCAGGGATTTTGAAATTTTCGATTTTGGTCATTAAGCTGCATTAACACCTTGTTAACAGGTTATGTTGGCTGACTGATAATAAATCAAAACATGTGTTACAATTAAAATTTATCTTGACATGCAAGTTTGCAGTTTGACTTTGCTGTTTGTCTTTGATTTTTCTCCAAAAGAGCCTTTTTAGCGCACTAAATATAGGAAAAGTCGCTAGGCTATATAGTATACATGCAGTTCATTGTGCATGATGCTGTCTCAGGGTGTGAAGATTTTAATTTGGGCATAGAGATGCTCTTAATAGTAAATGGAATCTCAAAAAGTTAAATTTCATTAAAATATATTTATTCTGTAACATGTACATGTTTATGCCATATTTACAACAATATGTATATATTTCAATTTTATGTATAAGAACAATATTTAACAACAAAGGCATAATATTAGGCTATCATAAAAAAAGTTCTTCCTCAAACTTTTGTCCTGGTTCCACACAGTTTTGAGTGAAAACTAATCCCAGTGACAGTCATTTATTGGATTGGCACGGTAACCAACAATATTGCCTAAAATCTGAAACCATCTATAACATGCCTACATGTGATCACTGTATGCATTTCAATTTAAACAGATCATAAGTTTTCACTAAAAATGTTACCATAGTAACAGATAATATCCAAAATCTGAATACTCTTGTAATATCTCTATTTCATGAGTTCAATTCAAGCTCATTACTCCTTGAATTATGCAGTATTGCAAAAATGTTACACTTGTCATCAAAGTAGCTGTCACATTAGCTGTGAGGGCTCACTGTTTGCCACCACATACCTAATTTTGGGCATTCATTTTTCAATTAATTTTTTTATTTTATGTGATGGGGGATATCTGCCCAAAAGTATTCACACAGTGGTGAATGGTGAGTCCACACCGCCTAACTGTGACAGCTCTGTAAGATCAAACATTTTTTTTACAAATCACTTTAAACTGAAAATATGTATATATTTGTTCACACTAAAAATTTCAAATCATTATGAACATATGAGGAGTGATCATCAATATCAAATACATCTCTAATTTTTTATTTTTCATTACATTCAAATACATGAGCTATCAATTAGGCTTTCAAACACATCATTAAGATGTTAATGATACATTGGATATACATAAGAATGTATTGAAAAATAAATATTTATATATATACAATGTATACTTGATAAGTTATTATGAATTTAAAATATCGTTAAAGGAGGTTATTCATGTAAGTTTTGTAGTTACCATGGGTCCCTGAATGTTTGGTTACTATGGCAGCCATTTCTAAATAATTTTGCTGGCCTTACATTGCATATTCTTTGAAAGTCTCATCTGAATATATTGAATACAAAATTCAAAAAAATATTAGAGAACCTTCAAGATCACACCTCATTTAATTCTGAAGTTAATGCAAATGGTTACTAAGGTGTAACGATTGTTACAGGCATTGACACAGATACAAACTCTATATGCTTAAATGCCAGTCACAAAAATAGATAAATATCACCACTTATTGATGAAATACCAGTAGAAAAGAAGCTTTATTGGCCTTTATGGAGGACATGCATATGAAAAATAAAGTGAAAGCCTGATCTTTGTAACACCATATACATGCATTGTTATTGTAACTACAATGAACAGACTACATGCCTATTATGGCACTCAAAAATCATTTACATATAACTGCAAAAAGTACAGAAATGGATTTCTTGAATGATAAAACATTACAACATGTACTACTTGAACTAAAATCATGAAATAAATAGGTTTTAAACATTATTTACAAATCTCTTATTTTATCCTTTTAAGCCAGTACAGTAAAACAAAAAACCTCCCTTTGACATTACTCAAATAATATGTACAATTATATAGACTTGTTTATACTTAAGGCCAGGGAGCATGTTTGAAGAACTATCAACCCTCAATTAATAGTCTAGGTACACTAATGCATCTTTTGTGCAAGAATGAAAGATGTAGACGATGTGTGGAATGAGTTATGTTTATCTGAAAATAGCACATGGTCATGAAATTTCATCAAAGTGCACCCTGACCTTAGAAAAAATTTTCTGCACCCCAAAAATATTTTTTTGTGAATTTGAGCGTCTCATTTTATGGCAAGTAATATAAAATGGGTTGAATCGAGTGGGTTTGGATTGAATTCATGTAAAATATGGATTAGGTTGGAGAGTAATTAAATATTCAATGAAATTTCCTTTTGAAACACTTTTACATCTGACCTAATATTATTAAAAATTAATGTGTCAAAAAGCACACAAATGCACGCTTTTATTAATTACAAAATATAAGTGCTCCGAAATAAGGTCTAACTTTCTCAGGGCTCAATTTAAAAAAAAAATTCAGAATAAGGAATACCTGAATCTCAAAGAAATTCAAAGTTTTCTAACAATTGAAGATCAAATATCCAGTAAATCATTATTTCTAGAACTAAAAGTGCATAGAGATGAGAATTTGTCATGGTATCAACTATCAACCCTAATCCACCCTATTTTCTTCACAAAATATATAATCCCCATGAGAACTGTTTATCAACCCAATAATTGACTTCTTAAAACTGAAGTGATGGTTGATGATTTTCTGCGATGAAATTTTCTGAATTGAACAATACTGTCTTTTTTTCACATTATTGCAGAAATCAAACCAACTCAATCGATCAAATCTATATCGTCATCATTTATTTACTTATTTGTTAGATGAAATACAAGTTCTGCATGGAATCTTAATATCCTATTCAAAAGCACAAGGTAGCATAAAAATTATCACTATACAATACAAAAACTATACAATCTTTTTAAAATGAAATATTTTCATATTTCTCTGCATGAAACTTTACATATTGATTCAAACTATGAACTATGTGACTTTATTGTAAAAACAATTTTGTGAAATAGGGGGTACAGAATTCAACTTTTGTAAATACATGTACAGCGCAATAAAAACAAGATGTCAAATCAACAGAATTTAAATATCTATGTGTTTCTGACAAATTAGTGTTACATCAGTTACGTATAAATATCCTTGAGGTTCAACAATAATGGGAAGCATGCCAAATCATTTTAACTCTTTAATATTTTGACCAAATTCCCGACTACATCTAATTCTTATATTAATGTATTTTCATTAATTTATACACAGGAGCATAATGTGCGCTTGTGCATTATTGCACTAATTAACCATATATGATTTTTCAATCACCCATAATGATTCAATCAATCATAAATGATTCAATCAATCTACAATGGATTCAACTATGGTAGGAATGTTTTTGGTTAGTGAGTTCATAATATTGTTGGAATTGCCTCTCAAACTTGCAGCATCTCATCACGAGATACACATGGAGGAGTAGGAGGGGAAAACGCGATGTAAAGTACTGCACAAATTGTTCGGGAATTGTACCCAATGATTGCTGGACTTCACGGGGAAGTTCTCTATAGTGATGTTTCTGAAATAAGATGAGAAATAATTCAAATTCTCTATTAGGAATGGTGTCCAAATGTTGACAGAAATATGATCATTATGGTTTATCCCTCTATTTTACACTAATGATATCATAATTTACCCCCTCCCCTAACAGAATTAATATTGTTGACACTGTGGACATCATCCCTTATTGTGGGATGGTCTCTTGACCAAAAGCCCACAACTAATAAATATCAGAAGACTAAAATAAGTATGAACAATGTACAATGTTACTTTTATTGTCACATACTGAATGTGTATACTGTATAACATGAAATATTGCCGTGGATATAAAGTTGCCGATTGCCGAATGTAAAACAGAAACGGCAACATAAAATTCGTGATTATTTATATGTGTAAATGGTTTTTAATGGGAGGAATGACTGAAATGCCATCTATGTTTTTAAATTCTGATCAATTTCTGTTGAATCATTGCCAGTTGAACAAAGTTTTTGAAAGGTGAACACATATAAGTGAATTGAGCTAAGAACTGATATAGTATTTTAAAGATTTAGGACATATTATAGTTACAACCATAAACAATGAGTGATTCTGATGAACAATCTCAGGATGAAGGTGGTACAGTCATGAGATTTTGCACAAATTGCAAAAATCCAGTAAAAGGACATATTGGACCATGTGGTAAAAAATGTACCAATTCTAGGGATAATAATACAGATGAAGATTCTCAGAAACTAGGTAGTTGTTCAACTGGTCAGACAACCATAGAAAATAAAGGAATAATATTGGCAATACAAGAACTGGGACGCCAGGTATCATGTGTAAACCAAATCATTACACAAGTAAAACAGGATAATGATACACTTACATCTACATACAAGGATTTATATATAACTGTACAAGAATTGAAAACACAGCAGGCTAATACACAGGTAGATATGCCGAGTACTAAATTAGTACAAAATTAGTACTAAATTAGCACTCGTGGCATGAGTACTCATGAGTGCACTTTTGCCAGAGTGCTAATTTATTACTACTTGAGTGCTATTTTAGTACTACTTTTGTGAAAAATAAGTGTTAATTTTAGTACCATTTTAGTAACAATATTTTAAGTGATGATCTAGTGCTACTTGAGCGCTCTTTTAGTACTAAAAAATTGTTCATTTAGCACTAAAATATTGTCCATTTACTAAATAATAAGCAGTCGGTAGGTATCATTCTAGCTGGGATACAATTCACATGCAACCTTCAATTTAGTTTTTTTTAGACTTACTCCCATATCAGCTTATAGTTGTTACACACATATAACACACCTACCATGTAATTTTAGTAATTTCCCATTTAATACTACTTACCTCATCTTCACTTATTCTAGGTAACAAAGCAGTGTATATATATATGCACTTTATCAAGAATAGAGCAATATGGTGTCTGTCATTTTGTTTCCTAGCTTCAACCTGTTACATGAAATAGCTACAGGAATGGGAATTTTGGAAAAGTTTAATGATATATTTATCCATGTTTTCGTATACAGTTATTAATATGTAATTTATTACGTATTGTATATTTTACTTCATCAATTAAAAACAATTTATCAACATTTTAATTTGTGAGTACTAATCTATCACTCGTGAAACATGTGCAATAAATTAGTACTCATAATATGAGCGCTCATTGAGTGATGAAAAATCAATGAAAATAGCGCTATCTTATCACTCATAATACGAGTACTCATTTAGTACTAAAACATGCAATTAATTAGTGCTCATAGTATGAGTGCTCATTGAGTAATGAAAAATCAATGAAATTAGCGCTATTTTATCACTCATCATATGAGTACTCATTTAGTACTAAAACATGCAATAAATCAGTACTCATGTCACAAGTGCTCATTTAGTACTAATATTTGCTGAAATGAGTACTCAATTAGCGCTAACATGCCATGAGTACTATTTTAGTACTCAGCATATCTCCCTGTGTATAGGACAAAGGTCACATATAAAACCAATGGAGCATCATCTACCTGGGCAGTCTAACACTGGGCAACCTACTCACAGTACAATAAGTCAACAGCAGCTTTCCACTCAAGCGCAACAATCCTCAGATACAATGCTATTGAATACTGGAGCTCAGTTCAATAGCAGCCCAGTTGGAGTTTCAAACAAGATCAGAAAAGCCATAGAAACAGGTGAATATGTGAACCTTGTTGACCTGTTACCCAGCAACCTGTATAATCAGAATATAAACAAAAACACTGACCAGATTATAGTGAATGAAAGTGGAGAAATCAAAGTGAAGAAAGACAAGAAACAAAATACTATTGAAAACATAATGCAATGGATGCAAGCATGGAATATATACGAAATGGTAGTCATGGGAAAATACCCTTCAAAGTACATTGAGTGAAGTGCGTATAGGGCACATATACAGGAGTGTGATAGGAAATATACATGGACTGCGGTTTCTCTCTATGACAACAAATTCAGAATGAAACTAGGGGACATGAAATCATATGCATTTAGCAGCATTGATACATTTCTATATACAACAACACTAGATGCAGCTGCCACAAAAACATCAGGACGTTGTTTCCGCTGTGGCCGAAATGACCACCAGGTAGCAGCCTGTACTTTTCAAGCGACCAACACGATGGAAAAGACTGAGAATGAAAAAACAACTAAAGCAACGCAGGCTCGAAACATTGATGCAGAAACATGCTGGAAATATCAATTCTAAGAATGTAAATTTGGCGACAAATGCAGGAGAAAACACATTTGCAAGCAATGTGGATCAACATCCCCCTTTATCACTTGCGAATGCAATCCCCGTCGATCCAAAAAATCTGCCACTGATTCACCAGCTAAGGCCACTTAACGTTGACGCCCTCAAAGAGGGACTTAAATCGCATCCCAATCAAGATCTTGTTAAAAAATTAGTCTATGACGCAGAACATGGAGTAATTGAAGATCAATCTTTGTGGGCGATAATATGGTAGTTGTCTAACGTGTGTCAACTTACTGTAATAGGGTAATTTTCTAACGAGTATCAGCTTACTATACTTTAACAAAAATCATAAACAAAATACGATAAAATCGAAGCTTTATTCCCCAGCATAAAATTACAATAAAAGGTCATGTTAAAAAGTTAAAATGTCAGAAGATCTAATTGTATCCAAGTGCTTTGGAAATCCCAGTATTAAAAGTTTTTAATCCCGATATTAAAAGTTTTAATCCTGTTATTAATTGTCCTGAGTAATCACTCAAATTGTCACTCATAATGTCAGGATGTCAGGTTTTCTGAGTCAGTAAAATGAAGGTGATTAAAATTCAGTTGTAAATCAAAATTATATTAGAGGTGTCAGCTTAGCAATATTTTATTTGGCTTTACATTAGGGGTGTCAGGTCGGCAAACTTTTATTCGGCAATAACAATTTTAATCCAATTCGGAAAACAAAGCCCCGGATTTAATACATGTTATACAGTATACAAAGTATGCATTGTTTTAACTGATGTATTTTGAAAGATGAACAGTACACCACTTACCTTATTTCTCATGGCACGTAAGAGATCACGAACTGAGCTCCCTTTGTAAGTTCGGAATTTTCTTAAATCTGAAATCAAAGTCAAAGAATAACTTTTTATTTTTCATATTGAGATTCAAATTTTTCCTGACAAGTGTAACCTTTTCTTAAATCAATTTTCTCTGAACTTCATTTTTAGACTCAGTGATTAATATGTACATACACCTCCTGAGATCAAACTAAAATGTATTCACCCCAGCTCAAATGCATTAAGAGAGAGGTAAAGCAATGGAAAATGAGCAGAGATGTTAGCTTTAAGACAGTATCCAAATATATATATCAGTATAGAGTTATTACATTAAAACTGGATTTGTTTACAATTATACATGTTTATACATACTGTTTACCTGTTTGTAACTCTTGTGATATATGCTCTCTCCAATCTCCTTTAACCACAGCCAGATCAATGTTTAAGCCACCATTTTCCAGTACAACTATAATGCCATTGTCTGCAGACTCCTTCTCTATCCTATCACTGACATCCTGGAATGTAATAGTTTATTACAAAAGAAGGAAGGGAAAGAGGGAAAGAAGGAAAGAAGGAAAGAAGGGAAGAAAGCAGGATATCAAAGATATTTTGAAAAATACATGTACCTCCAATGTTATTACTAGAAAAACTCCACAGAGTAACAAAATATAATTCCCTAAATCTATTTATTTCATGAATCCAAAACTCTCAATATTTGTTTAATATTTGTTTAATATATGCAAAGGACGATTCTCGGTTTGGAGAACAGTCTCCTGGGCTAATAATTTTTTTCATGAAAAATATAGAAATATTACCCAAATTAAACTATGAATATTCAAAAGAGGACATTTAAATCTACAAGATGTAACCAGAACAATGGCAACGCCAAAGCGTAGCGAATCCCATCGAACAGAAATGGCTGGCATTTTTACAATCGAAATATATAGCAAATATCATAAAACAACACACCAGAAAGTCCACCATTTTCAAAATGGTTGCTTACTAGCCAAGTTGTCATCAGAAGAAATAATATGCTTTTAAGTAGCCACCTATAAAATTTTTGAAAAATCGCACACACATGTACTTGTAAAATAACACACATAAAAATGATGGCAATTTTTTCAAAATGGCCGACTACTCCCCAAAGTTTTATTAGACAATGTGACATGCTTAAAGTATTCACATATCAAATATGAACAAAATCGCTCGACTACTTTTCGAGTGGAAAAGTAAAAATGTAAAAATGACAGCCGTTTTTTAAAATGGCTGCCTACTATCCAAGTGTCATGAGACAGTGTGCAAGGCTCATGTCATGAGTATCCACATATCAAATCTGAACAAAATCGCTTCACTACTTTTCAAGTTATAGTAAAAACGTAAAAATGGTGGCCATTTTTCAAAATGGCCGCCTACTACCCAAAGTGTCATTAGACAGTGTGCCATGCTTATAGTATTCACATGTAAAATATAAAACATACCAAATATGAACAAAATTGCTCCAATACTTTTCAAGTTATAGTAAATATGTTAAAATGGTGGCCATTTTTCAAAATAGCCACCTTCTACCAAAAGTGTCATTAGACAGTGTGCCATGCTTTTAGTATTCACATACAAAATATAAACAAAATCGCTCCACTACTTTTCGAGTTACAGTAAAATACGTTAAAATGGCGGCCATTTTTCAAAATGGCCACCTTCTACCAAAAGTGTCATTAGACAGTGTGCCATGCTTATAGTATTCACATACCAAATATGAACAAAATTGCTTCACTACTTTTCGAGTTATAGTAAAATACATTAAAATCGCGGCCATTTTTCCAAATTTTTTTCAAAATGGCCACCTTCTACCAAAAGTGTCTTTAGACAGTGTGCAATGCTTATAGTATTCACAAACCAAATATGAACAAAATCGCTCCACTACTTTTCGAGTTACAGCAAAAATCATAAAATAACGAGTAAAGGCCGCCATTTTTCAAGATGGCTGCCATGTGCTTTCTTAATATCTACATTTGTAGCTTTATTATGTCCTTTATCATTTTTTACATTTAAAACATGTATATATAACAGTTCTACATATTGCACCTAAATTACTGTAAAATCGGCACTAATGAGCGGCCATTTTGAAAATCGGCTTTCGAGCAGAACTTCTACCCCCATAGGGCATATGTGTACAAAATATGAACAAAATCGGGCCAACGATATTTGAGTTATTGCCCGGACGGACGGACAGACGGACGGACGGACGGAGGCGTTCCCTTTATCCCTCTGAACTTCGTTCGATGGGATAAAAATAACAAATTGGTCTGAAGCAGGGATAATGCTCAACAAGGCATTAACATGACAAAATGTCACCACCTAAAACAATTTGGTCAATTTAAAGCAAGTTGAAAAAATACCTCTTTGACTTTTTTTGACATTGAGAAGGTCATTGAAGGTCAAATGTCAAATGTAAAGTCAGATTTGAACTTCTGAGAACATGTGGATGATTTTGAAAAAAAAATTAGCCAATTTGAAGCAAGTTGAAAATAGACCCTTTTGACCTTGAGAAGGTCATTGAAGCTCAAAGGTCAAATCTAAAGTCAGATTTGAACTTCTGAGAACTTGTAAAGTCAAATTTGAACTTCTGAAAAGATGTAGATGATTTTGAAAAAAACATTTGGTCAAATTGAAGCAAGTTGAAAACAGACCTTTTTGACCTTTTTTGACCTTGAGAAGGTCATTAAAGGTCAAATGTCAAATCTAAAGTCAGATTTGAATTTCTGAGAACATGTAGATGATTTTGAAAAAAAAATTAGTCAATTTGAAGCAAGTTGAAAAAAGACTTTTTGACCTTTTTTGACCTTGAGAAGGTCATTGAAGGTCAAATGTCAAATCTAAAGTCAAATCTAAAGTCATATTTGAATTTCTGAGAACATGTAGATGATTTTGAAAAAAAAATTTAGTCAATTTGAAGCAAGATGAAAAAATACCTTTTTGACCTTTTTTGACATTGAGAAGGTCATTGAAGGTCAAATGTCAAATCTAAAGTCAGATTTGAATTTCTGAGAACATGTAGATGATTTTGAAAAAAAAATGTAGTCAATTTGAAGCAAGTTGAAAAAAGACCTTTTTGACCTTTTTTGAAAAGGTCAAATGTCAAATCTAAAGTCAGATTTGAAGGTCAAATGTCAAATCTAAAGTCAGATTTGAATTTCTGAGAACATGTAGATGATTTTGAAAAAAAATTTAGTCAATGTGAAGCAAGTTGAAAAAAGACCTTTTTGACCTTGAGAAGGTCATTGAAGGTCAAATGTCAAATCTAAAGTCAGATTTGAACTTCTGAGAACATGTAGATGATTTAGAAAAAAATTGAAGTCAATCTAAACAGTATTTGTTAAGTTATAGGAAGTTGTAAGAAATTGTTACAGACGCCGGACGCCAGACGCCGGACGCCAGACGCCGGACGCCAACCACCAACCGCCGTCGCAAAAAAACGGAGACCATAACAATATGTCACCACTTTTGGTGGTGACATAATTAGACTGATTCAACCAGAACAACGGCAACGCCAAAGCGTAGCGAATCCCATCGAACAGAAATGGCTGGCAATTTTACAAACGAAATATATAGCAAACATCATAAAACAACACACCAGAAAGGCCACCATTTTCAAAATGGTTGCTCACTAGCCAAGTTGTCATCAGAAGAAATAATATGCTTTTAAGTAGCCACCTATAAAATCTTTGAAAAATCACATACATGTACTTGTAAAATAACACACATAAAAATGGTGGCCATTTTTCAAAATGGCTGACTACTCCCCAAAGTTTTATTAGACAATGTGCCATGCTTAAATTGTTAACATATCAAATATGAACAAAATCGCTCCACTACTTTTCGAGTTATAGTAAAAAATGTAAAAATGACAGCCATTTTTATAAAATGGCCGCCTACTATCTGAAGTGTCATGAGACAGTATGCAAGGCTCATGAGTATTCACATATCAAATATGAACAAAATCGCTTCACTACTTTTCAAGTTATAGTAAAAAACGTAAAAATGGTGGCCATTTTTCAAACTGGCCACCTACTACCCAAAGTGTCATTAGACAGTGTGCCATAGTATTCACATATGAAATATGAAACATACCAAATATGAACAAAATCACTTCACTACTTTTCGAGTAATAGTAAAATACGTTAAAATGGCGGCCATTTTTCAAAAAAATTTTCAAAATGGCCGCATTCTACCAAAAGTGTCAAAGGACGGTGTGCCATGCTTATAGTATTCACATACCAAATATGAACAAAATCGCTCCACTACTTTTCGAGTTATAGTAAAATACATTAAAATGGCGGCCATTTTTCAAAATGGCCGCCTTCTACCAAAAGTGCCTTTAGACAGTGTGCAATGCTTATAGTATTCACATACCAAATATGAACAAAATTGCTCCACTACTTTTCGAGTTATAGCAAAAATCGTGAAATAACGAGTAAAGGCCGCCATTTTTCAAGATGGCTGCCATGTGCTTCTTTAATGTCTACATTTGTAGCTTTATTAAAGTCCTTCATAATTTTTTTACATTTAAAACATATTGCTATTACAGTTTTACATATTGCACCTAAATTACTGTAAAATCGGCACTAAAATGGCCGCCATTTTGAATTGAGCGGCCATTTTGAAAATCGGCTTTCGAGCAGAACTTCTACCCTCATAGGGCACCTGTGTATAAAATATGAACAAAATCGGGCTAACGGTATTGATTGAAGAACTTCGTTCTCCAAACCGAGAATCGTCCTTTATATATAAAAAACCATTAAAATGATTCTAAAACTAAGGAAGTGGCAGCCATTTTGAAAAATCTTTAGCATAAACAATTTATCATTGTTCATCTGTCAACCTAATATAAGAAGTAAATTGTTTTAGTAGCAGTTGACATATTTTCTGGAAGGATAGATTGACAGATGGAGGGCTTCTCAATAACTTCTGGTCCATTTGTTTGGATAAGCAAATATCTATAGGCAGTGATCTCCGCAGGATTTTTGTGGGGGCAAAATTGCATTTTCTTAATTCAGACCAAAATCAAAACATGCCCATTTTTCATGATTTTCAAGTAGGTGCAAATGGATTTTCAAGTGGGTGCAGCCCTATTTTCAAAATCTCAGGTAGGTGCTGCACCCACTTGCTTAAATACTGGGGGGATCACTGATAGCTATTGATTCATAGTTCGAGTAGTGTAAGACTTACTTGAAAGAACATGAGCTGCCTCTCTCTATTCCAGAAGAAAGGATGCCTGAGCACAGTTTCTGCAGATGGTCTTGACTCTGCATCATGTTTTATCATGCTCTCTATCAGATCACGACTTAATGTATGTTCTGTAAAAGATACGATTTAAATTTTATGAGAGAGTCATGAATGTAATCAAAGTATACTTTCAAACAATGTTTTGTAAATAAATAAATAAATAAAGTGTTCTCGTCTTTTTACCAGAACAATACAGGTCCCAATTTAATGTTGTTTTGTAAAATATCAAATAGAACTAAAAGTATACGCTTAGGTCTGACATAAAGTTATCTCTCGATTATCACTACAGAGATGTAATTCTGCTATCATCGGAACAATGCAGGTTCAATGTTTGCTCTTGAAGGAGTTCACAGGAAAAGGGGAGAATAACATGGTAGCAAAGGGAGAAATATATTAATGAGAATGCAAATATACAGGTTTGATGGTAGGAAGAACAGGCCATATCCAAGTGTACAATAGTTAAAGGTAATAAGTCATGCCATCCATTTATTACTGGTCAATCAACATAAAAATCACCATATCTGCTCCAAATTTTCCCTTATACTAACATATTCTTGGAGGCTTACCTATCCCAATATGCATGTCCATGTATAAATTACTAGCACTGTGCCAGCTGAGCTCAGCTGGGATTGATGGTTACATGTAAATATCCAACACCGATAATATTTTTATTGGTTAATGAAATGAAAACAGAGAAATAAATCCAGCGATTAGGGCTGATGTATTTATATTCACCATAGCACCATATATTTTTTCATTATGGGATTGTTTAACCTCAAAAATTGCTTGAAACTAGAGAACTTTACATTTTTGCCTGCTTTCGACATTTTATTACATACACAGACAACAGTTGATGCTCACTAAAATTAAAATCACTCACTAAAATTAGAAGTCAGAGATCATTTCTTCACGTTTTAAAACAATTTTAAATGTGTAAATTGGATAAAAATTCTTCAAATAAGAGCAATGTAAGTCAAAATTTTTGTGACAGTTTTCTTGTCACTCTAGGTTTCAAGGTCATTTCTGAGGTGATGAGAAATCTTGTCACTCCAGGTAGTCAAGAGGTTAAAGGAATTAACACAAACACCTAATCATGCAATTAAGAGACAATAAGGCTAAATATCCCACAACTCATTAAATTGAAAATGTACCATGTCCAAATGAAGTTATTCCACTAATTTGAAGTTCTTGGAAAACTTCCATAGAACTTTAGAAGTAAAACATTTACCATTTTCATCCTGAAGTTCGCTACCGAATCCTAAATTAAAGTGTGATGTGTAAAGTGTAGTTTCGAAAAATAACATATTCTTAAGTCGTTAAAATGCAGGTTTAAAGTTTATAATAAATAGTCATATTTTATATCAGTTATATTAAAGGACTGTGGCAAAGCCAACGTTTTAGACGTTATTTCTTGGATTGTAAGTTGAAAGTTGTTGTGTTCATCTCTTTCAGGTAAAGTGAAACTGAGCTAAACTAACTTTACCTTAAGATTATATTCATCAAAAAGATGTTATCGTTCAAGCATTTTGTTTGTTTAAAAGAACATACATAGCATATCAAATGCTGAACAAATTGCCATATTCCTTTATTATTATCATTGATGTTTTTACAACATTATATACTAAAATTTCAACAAACCATCTGCAGCTATCTTGTCGAGATTGTAACGTCCCCCAGGCTCTAAAATGTTTGCCTGTCTATGAAGAGAATCGCCAAATGGATGTTTCCCGCGTGACAGGACGTAATAAAACACACATCCTGCCGAGAATATGTCGACTGAGCAGGTCTGAAAATTAAAACATAAATGCTTTGATCAGACAAGTATTAATTAGAAAATAATATAGGAACCAGAACAACGGCAACGCCAAAGCGTAGCGAATCCCATCGAACAGAAATGGCTGGCATTTTTACAAACGAATAGCAAATATCATAAAACAACACACCAGAAAGGCCACCATTTTCAAAATGGTTGCTCACTAGCCAAGTTGTCATCAGAAGAAATAATATACTTTTAAGTAGCCACCTCTAAAATTTTTGAAAAATCGCACACGTACTTGTAAAATTACACACATAAAAATGGTGGCCATTTTTCAAAATGGCCGACTACTCCCCAAAGTTTTATTAGACAATGTGCCATGCTTAAAGTATTCACATATCAAATATGAACAAAATCGCTCCACTACTTTTCGAGTTATAGTAAAATACGTTAAAATGGCGGCCATTTTTCAAAATGGCCACCGTCTACCAAAAGTGTCATTAGAAATAGACAGTGTGCCATGCTTATAGTATTCACATACCAAATATGAACAAAATCACTCCACTACTTTTCGAGTTATAGTAAAATACATTAAAATGGCGGCCATTTTTCAATTTTTTTTTCAAAATGGCCGCCTTCTACCAAAAGTGTCATAGGACAGTCTGCCATGCTTATAGTATTCACATACCAAATATGAACAAAATCGCTCCACTACTTTTCGAGTTATAGTAAAATACATTAAAATGGCGGCCATTTTTCAAAATGGCCACCGTCTACCAAAAGTGTCATTAGAAATAGACAGTGTGCCATGCTTATAGTATTCACATACCAAATATGAACAAAATCACTCCACTACTTTTCGAGTTATAGTAAAATACGTTGAAATGGCGGCCATTTTTCAAAAATTTTTTCAAAATGGCCACCTTCTACCAAAAGTGTCATAGGACAGTATGCCATGCTTATAGTATTGACATACCAAATATGAACAAAATCACTCCACTACTTTTCGAGTTATAGTAAAATACATTAAAATGGCGGCCATTTTTCAATTTTTTTTTCAAAATGGCCGCCTTCTACCAAAAGTGTCATAGGACAGTCTGCCATGCTTATAGTATTCACATACCAAATATGAACAAAATCGCTCCACTACTTTTCGAGTTATAGTAAAATACATTAAAATGGCGGCCATTTTTCAAAATGGCCGCCTTCTACCAAAAGTGTTTTTAGACAGTGTGCAATGCTTATAGTATTCACATACCAAATATGAACAAAATCGCTCCACTATTTTTTGAGTTATAGCAAAAATCGTAAAATGACGAGTAAAGGCCGCCATTTTTCAAGATGGCTGCCATGTGCTTCTTTAATATCTACATTTGTAGCATTATTAATGTCCTTTATATTTTTTTTACATTTAAAACATATTGCTAATACAGTTTTACATATTACACCTAAATTACTGTAAAATCGGCACTAAAATGGCCGCCATTTTGAAATGAGCGGCCATTTTGAAAATCGGCTTTCGAGCAGAACTTCTACCCCCATAGGGTATATGTGTACAAAATATGAACAAAATCGGGCCAACGGTATTTGAGTTATTGCCCGGACGGACGGACGGACAGACGGACGGACGTACGTACGGACGGACGTACGTACGGACGGACGTACGTACGGACGGACGTACGTACGGACGGACGTACGTACGGACGGACGGACGGACGGAGGCGTTCCCTATATCCCTCCGAACTTCGTTCGATGGGATAATTATTTCTAAAGTTCCTGAACAAATATTAATCAAATTGATCTGACCTACTACTAAAATGGGACCATTTGGTGAGTTCACTTATCAATCATTATACTCATTAAAAAAGTCAAATTGCTTAAATAGGTCAAATAGCATAATAGGTCAAATCACAAAAAATATCATGTACAATCGTAACCCATATAGTGATCACTAGAATGAGCTCATCATGGAAAATTTTGCCTGGAGGGCACAAGGCCAGGAAAACCATACAACCCGGGAAATAACGCAGATGCGAGTAGGTAGTTACCAGTTTCACCACCAGGTGGCTCGTTCGGGTCAGATAGCATGGCGGGTATAGGAGAAAGTTCCCTTTAACTTAAATTACATCTGTTTTAGTGATTCAATTTTCATATAACCCTTATGTATCTAATAGTTATGCAAATTAAAATATGTCCAGTAAAGGAAAATGTTATCAGTCCAATACAAGAAAAGATATTTCACTTTTTGTGATTTTGTAACATGGGGTCTATGGGGAATCAACCCGAACAAGAAGTCACATTTTCAAAATAAAAAAAATTTCAAAGTTGATAAACAATTTTAGAAACCATATTTTTAGATGTACTTTTACATGTAGATTTCAAATATGACATCACTTTGACTGAATTTTGAATATTTAATGACGTAAATCAAGATTATTTCTACTCGCATCTAGTCTATTGACATTGATACTTCTCAACATCATTTGCAATTTATATTGTCTGCTGTGGAACACTATATGAATAAATAAATGATACAGATGGTGTAACTTACAAGTACAGATCCCAATAAAATGGATATGAACATTAATTCAGAAAATAGCTGACACAAAGTGAAGGACACTAGCAAAGCATTATAGACTACCATCTCCTTTACCAACTGGAATTAATTATGTTTATGATCATAAAATTCACTGAGATTGTGCCTTACTGTGCTTTTATTGCCATCTAACATTTCTGGGGCAATCCAACCCTCAGTTCCAGCAGCTCCAGATCTCCGAGAGAACGACATCCTCCCCGCAGCTAGCTTTTTACATAAACCAAAATCTGAGATCATGGCCCTGATGTTGCCTCTATTATCTGGCTTAGATATCAACACATTGTGTGGTTTTATGTCTCTATGAACTGAAATAGAATGAGGTGTGTTAAGATCACTCATTGTACTTATTATATGAATATTTTGGATTAAAAACGATTGAAAATTCACTTGGTATCAATTTAGTATCTCTTGTATGTGGTTCTATGGGTGTACCTATGTTTAAAGAGTGTAAGTGAGCTAAGCCACTCATAGCCTGTTGTAGTATAGTAACAGGGTCCAAACCACGTCTGTCAAAACTTCTATTCTCCACATAGTCCTGTACGCTGGCTATGCACAATTCTAGTGCAATGTATCGGAACTGAGAGTCAGCCTCCTGTAAACACAGATATATAATGAAGCTGCTATCATCTGAATGTCAAACATTCTTTCCAAACAGATATACAGGGTGTCTATAAAGGCCATTTACACTTTACACATATTTTGTATTAGAACTGTAAAGACACTTTATGAACACTATGTAAAAACTAAATGTTTTGTATTGTAAAAGCAACAACATGGTTAAAATTGTCGTTGAGAAAATGAGACTGAAATCGTTTTGTGTGGATTCTGTCTGTAAAAACATATACATTCATCTGTTCAATGTCCTCCAGTACCTCCAGAGAATGGTTTTAAACATGACGGATTTAATTCAGGTAATATCGCTAGTGAATGGTCAATCATCAATAATTATTACTTAGGCTTTAATATAGCAACATCTTTAAAATCAGATTCTTACTAATATAATACTGTGCGTGCATGCATGAAAGTTTCAGTGAAGCATAATTACATGTACACATAGTCAGATTTCAGAAACGTGGTGATGGAGGACATTAAATATGACATTTAATAGAATTTAATGCTCCCTAGAGTGTATTTTACTCCACTCTAAGAATACTTTTAAGAGCAGTCCAAATAGGTTGTTCTCACCATACAAAAGTATCGTATGACATTCGGGTGTTGGTCCGACTCTCTCAAAAGCTCTACTTCGCGATCGGCAAAACTGAAACATTCTGGTAACAATCTCTTCACCGCAACATCTCTGTTGTCAAATCTTCCCCTGGAACAAAACCAAGTATTTTAAAGAACATTTGCATGGTACAATTATGTTAACACATATCAAACAAGAACACAAATGTGTACAAAATGTCCCCACCAAGTGGTGATCCCGTGAAATGGTTATCCTGAAAATGAGTAGACAAGACTTTACCAACACAATTTGAGGACGGAAAATCCAAAGTGGCCACCTTAAAATTTACCCAGAATGCCAAAAATTTAGTCAGTTCTAGATTTTCATACTAAGAACCACCCCTGAAAATTTGAAATTGATCCGTCACACAGTTAACCAGAAAACATGTAAACAAGACTTTACAGACAAGATTTCAGGATGGAAAATCCAAAATGGCTGCCTTGACATTTACCAAGAATGTCAACAAGAATGTCAAAAAACTAATCTGTTTGTAGATTTTCATACTAAGAATCATCCCTGAAAATATGAAATTGATCTACCAAACAGTTCACCTGAAAACGGGTAGACAAGACTTTACAGACAAGATTTTAGGACAGAAAATCCAAAATGACTGCCTTAACATTTACGCAGAATGCAAAAAAAGTAATCAGATGTAGATTTTCATACAAAGAATCATCCCTGAAAATTTGAAATTGATCTATCAAACCGTTCACCTAAAAACGCGTAGACAAGACTTTACAGGCAAGATTTTAAGACGGAAAATCCAAAATGGCTGCCTTGACATTTACCCAGAATGCAAAAAAACTAATCAGTTCTAGATTTTCATACTAAGAATCATTCCTGAAAATTTGAAATTGATCTACCAAACAGTTCACCTGAAAACGAGTAGACAAGACTTTAAAGACAAGATTTTAGGACGGAAAATCCAAAATGGCTGCCTTGACATTTACCCAGAATGCCAAAAAACTAATGAGATCTAGAGTTTTATACTAAGAATCATCCGTGAAAATTTGAAATTGATTTTAGCATTTGACTTCAAAATGGCCGACAGGAAGTAGGTTTCGAGTTAAATTTTTTTCATCCACATCTATAGGCACTCATAAGTTATTCCTGAAAATTAGAAGGTGATACCTGTAGCGGTTTTGGAGAAAACTGCCCAACGTACGGACGGACAGACAGACAACCAGACAGATGGACGGACGGACGCGCCTAGGACGACAATATGGCCCCACACTATGTGGTGGGGACATAAAAAAGGATGCATGGACAACAGTTTTTTTTCAATGCAAGGCACATTGCACTATAGAGCCAATAAAATGGTTAAAAATATTTTTCTTTACGAGATGATTGCATGGTTTAAAACCTTCTTAGATTGAGAAAACGGTTTATAACACATGATTTTATCGTATTTGTGTTGATATAAAAAATACAGTAGGTAGGGTGAGGAATGTGTCAAGGTTGTTTCATCACATCCCAGAATGTAATGAAATTGTAATATTTGGTCATTTCGCTCAGAATTCCTTTAAGAGTTTCCTAGCTACTTACCTATAAACAAATGTGCCCTCACAACCATGGCCAAGGATATCTTTGGGATTAAACATGATTTTTCCAACTTGAACATATCCCTTGGCAAGATCTGGAAATATAGAGATTATCCTATATGAGGTTCAGGATATTGGGATTATCTTGAGGCCAATATAATATATCTGCCCGAGGGCTGTTTATCCCATAACAATCTTGGTTATTTGGCACATTGTTCAATTAGCTCCAGTTCAGAAAATTTCCAACCAAACGTAGAATTATTTTAGAATATGCATGTTCAGTTTTGTGTTTTTAGCTGTGGCCGCATTTTCCTATTCTTTCAGATATTCATCCCTAAACCATCAAACAAATCACAATTGTCTGCATTTTCTCCATTGTCGTTTACAGTTATTATACGAACATTACAAAAAATGAACTAATATGCGAACGGCAATTATGACATAGCGGGCAGATAAACTATACCTGCCCGCAGAACATAAAGCTATATCTGCCCGCTGATGAAAATATAAGTTTTTACAAACTGGCTTTATGTACCTGTAACACATCCAAGTACGGGATGAAGTAAAATATGTAATTCAACACATAACAAAATTATGTTTGACAATAACATGAATATGATGTATCTAAAATGTGCTAAAATGGCTCAGGCTGTAACAAAAATGAAGTTTTAAGTGTATTGCGATAGTACTATATTAGTACCTTCATTGAGAACAGCTGGTGTGGGGTTGCGTCCAGGTAGTGGGGTCTGCTGAGATATCTGTTCCTGCTTCATTTTAATAGCATCCTCTTGTATCTTCTGCTGTTCCTCTATCTGCTTCTGTAGCATGATCTTGATTGACTCCTCCGTTTTCTAATTGAACGATAAAATGACCATATATGGAGACATACAAATGTAATAAGTAATTGATAAGCTCCTCCTCTTATTAAGTATGTACACTGGGGAATTTTCACCAAAACTCATTCTTCATTCTTTCAAACCTAATATTTAAATATTTTTATCTGAATATTACTAGTTGTATGCTTATTATCATCACATTATATCGTAAATAGAAACATAGAATAAATAGACATGGTTTTGGCAAATCACCTTCTGCCATTTCATGTAGCCATATTCATATCATATCTTCTTTTGTCAAGATTTTGACTAGGAGGGAGTATTGAGTTGCACTGGGTGTCTAATGCAACTAAATATGAATCTTCAAACAGTGCAAATAGAGAGGTTATCCTGTGGGGGTTCAGGGAAACAGTGCAGCAATAAGGTCAAATCTAGGGGCTAGGGCAAAGGGGTGTAATGTCAATGTGTGGGGTAATGTCGACATGAGAAATGGGGTATTTGAATTTCCATTTTCAACCATCTAAAAAATTAGAATTTCCATTTTCAACCATGTTTGATTTGACAAAAAGTAAAAATCTCTTGAGATCTCGATCCATGAGAGAGAAAAAATATGGCTTCCCCTTAGAAATTAGAGCAAATAAACAAGGTGTCGAAGTTACCTCATGCGTCAAGATTACCCCAAATTGAAACAAAATGGCGTCAATGTTATAACACTTTGCCCTAATGAGCGGTGCACCTTCCACAACTCCTGACAGGACAGACACTGAGTTAGGCTAATGTAAATTATAATAAAAATGTCCTTACCCTTGGAATGAAATATATGACAGCTATGATAGTTGACAATGCGAGTACCACAATTGTCACAAATTTGACGTCACTATTTATATAGTCCTGACGTGGTGTCTCAGGACTCGATTTTGTCGATACATTGTGGGCAGGGTCTTTCTCAGGAGCCTTTGGCTTTGGGAGAATAATTTTCTCTGATTTATCTGGAAGTTGCTGCTTTATTGTTGACTGGCTCAAATCTGGAACTTCATGATAACCTGAAAATAGTGAATTTTAAAAGAAATGTAATTTCGATAACGGTTCTATGGAGGACTGACTCAGCAGAACCTGAAAATTGTAGTTTCATAAAAGGTTTTATTGAGGATTGACTCAGCAGAACCTGAAAATTGTAGTTCCATAAAAGGTTTTATTGAGGATTGGCTATCATGGAAACCTAGAACTTGTCTCAGATTAAAAACATCACAAAAGCCTGATAAAATAAAATCTTCTCTTATGTAAGATAATATATCCTAAGATATGTGTAAAATTAATCTTTACATGTAAGAAATTAATGGATTCTGAAGGCATTAGATATTACGGAATATTACCTATCATTAATACACCACCTCCCCGTCTGACGGTGTGGGCTGTTATACTATCTTTGTGTGTGTTATGCTTCTGTGGAGGGGCCTTTGGTTGTTCTGCAGGGTTTTTAGGACCCTCTAGTAGAAGGGGTCCTTTATTTTTAGGGGCTATAGTGACTGTCCCTTCATCTACCCAAGATGGTATGGCATAAATGCCATTTTTGTATTCACCCACATATAATGTAGGATGAAATGTTTGTTCTTTTCCGGAATGTTCCAGAAAACGTGTCTTCCAGGCAGCAGAAGCTAGTTGACCTGTTAAATGCTCCAAGGTTTCGTATCCTATACTTGTGAATGGAACACGTCGTAATCCTTCTGGATCAAGGTTGTACATGGCAACTATAGGCGACCCATAATCCCTATTCCACATGATGTCACCACTGTGCATGTCAAGTGTGATGACTATTCCATTGGAGCTTGAGGTAAAATGACGGAATTCTAAAAATGAACAAATAAACATTGAATGACCAGTAACTGTACAGATCAATGTGGTTACAATTCATGTTTAACAACATAAAAATATCAATTTTTCAAAAAGTTTTTTTTACCATATTCTGTGATATCAGTGTTAAGATGTGCAGAGTAGTCCATGAATGTAGCATTCCATCTCTTCTCCCTGGTTTTGCTGTCAAACATCGTGATAGTGAACTCTAAAATAAACAAGACATTAACATAAGAAAATTTCATCACCTAGTTGCTTATGAGTTCAATCTTAGTCAGATTAGAAGCTCTGAGAACTTGTTTTTGAAAAATTTTGAAAAAAAAGTTGAAAAAGACCTTTTTGCCCTCTTTACCTTGAGAGGCTCAGTGAAGGTCAAGTCCTAAATCTAAAAATCAGATTTGCATTTCAGAGATCTTGTAGATGATTTAAAAAAAAAAATTGGTCAGTTTGAAGCAAGGTGAAAAAATACCTTTTTGATCTTTTTTGACTTTCAGAAGGTCATTGAAGGTCAAATTTCAAATCTTAAGGCAGATTTGAAATTCTGAGAACTTGTAGATGATTTTGAAAAAAATTTGATCAATTTGAAGCAAGTTGAAAAAATACCTTTTTTGACATCGAGTCTTGGGCTTAAATTCTGTTCACAAATTGCAAGATATTTTCTACTATGATTATTCATTAAATCTTATTTCAGATGCATGTCCCTGCCCTTACCTGTTCTGCCTATGAAGATTGTGTTATCAGCTGCAGAAGGACAAACCTTCTGTGGCCCATCCATGGTGAGAGTTTGTAGCTTAGCACCTGTGATGGGGTCTATTGCATACCACACATCCTTCTTGAAACCTAGAATAACATATTCAGTCATTAGGAATCTATGGAATCTATGCAGAATCCCCATCAGCTCTACAATTTACTTTTGCAGATAATTTTATCGTTTTAATTGGTTGTATTCTTGATTCCCCAAATCTCCAGAACCATGTTGTACTTCAAATTGCATTTACATTATGAATGTACCTGTATATAGGATGCCATCATTGCTTTTACAGGGTGAGGCAGAAACCAGTTCAGGGATGGTGAAGGGAAGTTTTTTAAGTCCCTCATTTTTCTCACCAAAAGTGTACAGACTACCATCTTTGGGATCTGGTAAGAACACAGGCCTGGAACATATTAATTTTTAAAATACATATAAATAAACCTGTTCTTGGGGAACTAATCTATGGATATAAATCCAATGAAAATACAGAGTGGATACGATGACATTACAAAAACATATTTGAATGGGAAAAAACAGCAGTGCATTTACTTTAACAACTCTCTCAATGCAATGCATGTCCTTTTTGTTCAATGTCTGAAAAATGTGATCATAAGCTACCACAACTGGAGAACAAATTTACAATTTCAAGAAATGGTTTAACAGTTATCATGATACCAATATTTGATTGGGTAATTAGAGATAATAGTCATAGAAATAACCATATGGCAGATCTCTCATCAGAGATTATTGCTTAAAACCCTTTCAGAACGTTAGGTTCCTTTTGGCACCATTATTTTTGTACATCAATGAGATGACATTATCTCGAGATCTATTCAATATTTTTACACCAAATTTTGACAAGTTGTTTAAATGTCATAATCCTTATCAAAAATTGTATTTCAGAGATATAGTTTTAAGTATAGGCTCCGGGTATTTGTAATTTATAGATTCTCCCTAAAAGACGCTCTTATCCGTCACCAGACCAACATTTTCCTCTTAGATTCACGTCACGAGAGGGTTAACATAGTTACATACAAATATCTATATACAGAGTGTCTGATATTCTCCATTTCAATGTAGTTATAAATGTTCTTTACCATGATGTATCACAAATAGCTTCTGTATTTATCATATGGTTATGTTAATCATATCTTGAAAAAAAAATTATTTAAAAATCCTTCGAAAGGGAACATACTAATGGGATCAAACAAGTGAAGCGAGTTACAGCATCTTAATATGATGATTTAACATGAGAGCCAATGGGAAAAATAATATATGGGTCAGTTACAGTTCATGCTACAGATATATTTATCTTATCTATGGAAGTTCAAGTTGAAAGGCTTTACTGTAAGGAGTTGTCTGTGAACCAATAAAAAATGTCAATGAGCTATATACTGTACTCCGGGTATTGTTCGCGAATGTAGTAAAATCTTTTGTTCCGGGACATTATTCGGATTCTGAACGGGCTAAAATAGCCAGATACACATTGATTCACAGTAATCAGAAAAAATTCAACTTGTGCAATCCGCGAAATGTCATCAACTCAAATCCGCGAAATTGTTATTTGTAACAGACAACGACTGCCAACTGCCATCACAAAAAAGTTGGAGACCATAACAATATGTCTTCACTTTTGGAGGAGACATAAAAATATTTCAAGTTGAAATCTAATTACAAAAATTAAATCAATTTTTAAATCTTATAACATGACAACAAACTATTCCTTTGTACTGGAGTATGATACATGTACATGTACTTATAAGTGTATAAGTGTCATGTACATGTACTTAGAAGTGTATTAGTGTGAGTGAGAAGGAGGATATGATATATGAGTATCAGTAACAGCCACTGTTACTTACTGTTACATATTCTCGTTCCAAGTGCTTAATCTTTTACATTTATCTGATATGATATAATCTCAAATTTTACATCTTGAAGTGAAAGTGAAAACCTTAAACAAAGGGTAACCATAGTTACTTTTAACGAGTATTTTTGCTGGCATCTTAATTTCACCAAGAGGTTTTGAATACCTATGTGGTTTTGAATACCTTTCCCTATGTTCTTTAATACTGATTATTAAAGTCAATAAAAGTCAATATGCTGGTGAATTTGAAAATGTGAACATTGCCTACATTATAGAAAGTCATTTTCAGTGTTTACAATATTAATATTGCATGACTATGAATCACCACAAATGGATCTAGATCAGTCTGCTTTGTGATAAACTGTTGAAGTGGCTTGCTTGAGATGCTTATAAAACAAGAAAATAAACAAACAAACAGACAAACAAACAAACAAACTTGTTGTTACCTCTAGCTATTTTCATTTTTTAATAAATAAAGTCAAAACTGTTTGGTCTTTTTTAAAACAGACATAATGTAGAATTAAAATAAAATATTGTAAAAAGCATGACATTTTTTTACTTTCAACTTCTTTCTAGTTCCTTTAATCTAAAATCCAGAATAATTTCAAAAGGTTATTGCATGAACAGATGCTGCCACTATTGTAAAGGGAAAAAGCAAAAATGATATTGTATTTTCTTGTAATACCTCACTGGGTTAACAATGACACTACAGAGTATTAGTATTAAATTTAGTACTAGATACATTTTTCTATTGAAACATAATTATGACATTCTAAATATAAGCAATAAAAATCAATAGATTAGTGATTGTCTAGATATCACCTTGCAATTCATCGATGCTTCGTTTTTATATCACATTCCAGGTCTTTTTCAATATAGCATTGTACCAGCGCAGTTAGTTAGTAAACAAATATGAATAAATCAAATTATATATTGTTAGATCAAAATCAATTAAAGATCTTTGTTTCATAAATGAGTAATATTGTAATAATTTTAACTTGATTTTATTCTGGTGTATCTTGGGAAATGATCAAAGAGCAATATTTAAACAGTTGCTATATTAGCACAAAGTAGCATGTATGAAATATCAGCTTTATATTTTATTGATGAGCGATTTCAGTTATCAGTGTTCCTATTCATAACTTTACAATGATAATATATTGCATATTAAAATAATAGTGCACATACAACACAAAAAGGCCCCTATGAGTCCCCTAGTAATGCATTCATCAATCATAATTCTTTGTTCTTTTATTCTTTTAATTGTGTACAAATAATAAAAACACAACTGATATTTTTTTTAATTACAGAGACTGTTCAAATAGACCACTAATATTAAAAGGAGTCATTAATGTATTGAAAGCTGAGAAACAAAAATTCATATTTCTCAATGAAGTCAATGAAGTACATACAACTGTGGGGTTATTGGGTAGCTTTCTATTTAGATTAAATAAATAATAGTGATGTCACGGGACAAAAATAATTGAGGAAGAGATGGGACGGGACATTCGGGATTGGATGGGACTTAACCAGTAAATAATGCCTGATGTGTTCCATAGAAAAACAAAACGTTGATCTAATAACTGACTAAACTATTATTGAAAGGTTTTAGATTCAGTCAATCATGCAAACCCAAATCAGCTGAAAGTCTGGATCACATTCATTGTGCATTTGGGAGGTTTTAGGGTCATTGACTGGATAATATTATTATAATATCCGGAGCATGTATTTGGAAATTGTCCCATTTCGGCCCATCCTGAGACCAAAGTTCCGATGGATGGGACAATATCGGGAAACACGGACATCCCTAATAAATAAGGTTTTTGTCACATTTGGTTAAAACATTCAGATGCTGTATGAACAAAAATCATAAAAACAAATGATAGAATAGTGTCTTAATTAAAATAATCATTGAGATATGCAATAAAAGAACAAAGGAATATTTAAATTTGAAACTTACCCTTGTGTCATATCTGTCGGGACCTTCAATACTGGTTCTGAAAAATACCCAGAAAAATTAAGTAAATGCCCAAAACTCTAAGAGAACTCCACTTTTTTGTTTGATTATAAACATAATGAGACAAAATTATAAAATGAACATTTGAATATAAAATTATATAACACTTTATCATTTATTAATTTTAGACCTGGGAGTGATAAATATTCATTGTTTGGGCACACTGTGATGTCATATAATAAATTCAAAATCGTTGTGATGTAATGTAAGAACATGAAATGAAAATGTTCCAGCAGCCAGCAACAGTATTATGTATTGTTTCTTACCTTCCTTCAAAGACCAGAGACTTCGTCCAGTTTTCTTGCTAACAGCATGGAATGAGCCATCAAGAGTCGATACAAACACCAATGGCTCTTGAACAGTGAGTGGATTGTGAGCCTGGAAAACAAAAAAGAAATGCATTGGCTGGCTATGACATTTATTATGTCACGGATTTCTCTAGCAATACAATTAAGCAATGGAACACTACACATAGTTAAAGGAATTCTAAGAGATAAAAATAACAAAATATTGCTTCTGGGACAAGATCAAATGACTTTCACATACTTTTTGAACCATTTTGTCGGGTGTATGATACAATGTGCTTTTAAGAGTTTGAGAATGTGAACACCTGCTAATGTGAACACTTTTGGCATTCGGTTGTACAGTATATCCAAGAGCCAGGCTTATAATACTAACTACTAGTATACTATTTATCAAGGGTTCTTTGTGTATAAAATGTGAGTAATTGACATGCATGTTCATTTTTCTTTTCAATCATTTCGCCTATTTCTTCATGAATTGGTCATATAATTGAAATGCCTGAAACGGCGAAACTGTGTTCCAGGGATAATAGGTCCATCAAAAGTAAAACTGAACAAATATCTTGCATCTTGTCATCTTATGACTCTGAAAACTCATTTGTGGGTTTTGATAGTATACTGTACTCCTGGTAATTTTCGCATGATATAATATTTTTCGCGTTTTTAGTAAGTTTTAAAAAATTCACGACATATAATAGCCCATAAATTTCAATAGATCCAATGTTATCTTTATCTCGATGCCTGAAGAATGTGATTTTACATCAAGTACGGAATGGAGGAGGATACTAGAGTCCATTTCACTGCTTCATTTCGTCAGTAGAACGGCAAAAATAAGAAATTTGGAGACCATTGTGCAATAATATATGGAAAACTGTATTCCTATTGTACATGAATGACATTTGTATATCTTGGATTGCTTCTAGTTTGGCTTATAAAGTGTGTGGCCTTTTATATTTGGATGCTTCTCTGCCATGTTATTTTCAATAAGATTAACATGGCTGAAATTCTTCAAATTACAAGACGGCACAGGCTTATGGCACAAAAAACTAAAAAATCTGAAATATACAAATGTCATTCATGTACATTACGAATATACTTTTCCATATATTATTGCACAATGGTCTCCCAATTTCTTATTTTTGCCGTTCTACTGACGAAATGAAGCAGTGAAATGGATTCTATACATATATAATGCATACTTTCTAAAGACATCAAATATTCATCTGTAAATAAAAGCAGAGTCTTATCAATCAAGCCTCCTGGGTGAAGCCTCCTTGTCCTTTGTTTACATTCGGTAAAACAAGAAGTCGAAGAGTCTCCCTAGTCTAAAAAAACCGCCTGCGTAATAAAAATGTTGTCATTTCTTTTTGAAACTCTATCTGAACAGACACACCAATGAGTCACATTTGAGATACTCAAAGCAAGTAAGAAGATAGATTGATAGAGTTGTAATGAATGATGCAACACTGCCACAAACAATTCAGACTGTTGAACAGACTCACCTTTGGAGTGGAATTTACAAGTTGAGAACACAAAGCTATAAACACCGCACACTGGGACAGGAATATCCATATTTTAATTCTATACATAGCTCCTTGTCAAACCTTACTAGTTTAAATCTTGGTCAAAACAATTGTTTATGATTTTACACCATATTTGTAAAAATACACAAGAAAATAAATGCATCTTTTGGAAATGTTCACTTCCTGTTCCAGACTGATTAGGAGTAATCTGATTGGCTAATTCTGTTGGGAACCTGTCAATGCTTGATTTGTCAAAATTGTTTAAAATACATTATTGAAACCAGAAATAAGAAAAAACATTCAGAAAAATCAAAAAAATTATTATTTCATTGATATATGCTGCAATCAAGTTTCAAATTCACAGGAAACAAGATAGAAAACAAAATAAATTGAAAGATTGAAACCGAAAGTGGAACGGAAGATATTTTTACGCATGCGCAACCGGAAAATTCAAAACTCAAAATATTTTTATTTTTTGAACTTTCGGAAAATTCGTTATAACTCACTCTCTTAAGCAGTTAAAACAACATTGAATGTTGTTTTATGTGGTAAGATGAACGTTCCCATTAGAAATTCAGCGAACGTAGACTCCTAAATTATCTGCTATTGAAGGTTGGTAAAATTTATTTCTATTTTCATCTGAATCAGTGAATGATGAATCTGTTTGAACCGCTTGTTTGTTTGTTTGTATCCTTTAATGCGCTATAATGCTGCTAAATGGTCTCTAGTTGCTTGTTTTTCACCCGTCTCTCAAAATCAAGTATCTAAAAGTGCGTGGCCTAATTGTGACGTCACTAAAATATAGAATCCATTCGGTGATCGCAAATTATCAATTGATGTAGATAAATTATATGGTATCTAAGATTGTTCTGATATGCGATAATTAGGACTAAATGTACTTTGATCAGGTCAACTGAAAAAAACAGTGAAATTAGGTTAAGAATACAATTTTACTTTACAATTTTTGGTAATGGGATACTATAAGACTCAAGTTCCAGTCAACAAGATTAGCTCATTTAGGTGAGATTCTGGAAATGTAAAAGGTAACAGGACGAAGGATGAAAGTACCCCTTAGGCGATATTAGATTGACTATTCGCAATAGTTCAATTATTTGATAGCAGGAGATGTCAATGGTGTGATATACTGTACTCCGGGTAAATTTTGACGCTATAAAATTTCGCGATTTTTCAAAATTGCGATTTCGCGGCTATTTAATTTCGCGGATTTGAGTTGATGACACTTAGCAGATTGCACAAGTTGAATTTTTTCCGATTACCGTGAATCAATGCGGGCTATTTTAGCCCGTTCAGAATTCGAATTATGTTTGTATTTCCCACGTTTAGGGAATTTATTTGAATATTCTTGAATGGCTTTTTCAACTTCAATTTGTAGGATATCATTGTCGTCAACAGTTCTTGCCTTTGTTGGCCTAATAAGCCAATTCAAAATGTTTTTAGGCCTTCGCCCAACAACACTGGAAGAAACGTTTCACACTGAACGAAACATATCAAAAGGCCCGGGTCAAATCCCCGGGGATTTAAGACAAATTTCGCGACGATAAATGTTCGCGATTTTACTACATTCGCGAACAAAGCGAAATTAAATCGCACGCGAACATTACCCGGAGTACAGTAACCTGATCAGCACAAATTCTACATATTAGTTAATCTTATAATTATAAGCTCTGATTAATAATTAACATTGTCAATTATCAGCTCAATAATCAGTTTAGTTTACTAATATACAGTTGATAGCAACTCTCCTTTATCTGGCAAAGCTTATTATCAACATTAATTAATTTATTTTTTTTACATTATTGGAAGGTAGTTCAACGTTGTTAAAATCAATAACGGCGTTCTTCACTATTAGGAATTTTCTTGGCCCGTTATTGAGTTTAATTTCCTTACTATTCTTTCCTTTGTTGCAAGTTCTGGATCCATCGAAACCATTTTTCCGCAATTACCATACTACCATGTTTTCAGGGTTTAATTAGTTCCACTTGTCGAAACCTGCGGAACGATTAAATTAACACATCAAAGGCAAAATGATCATGGAGGTTCGACCTAGCCTTGGCCATAAGACATGTCAGAAAAGAAACGAGGCCCAGGCTAGGTCTAATGTTGTTGGACTAATTGGAAGGTAGTCTTTTCCTGTTGACAATGCACTCATTCATTGGACAGTTTCAATGATAGAAATGAAGAAATAACCATCTGGCTCCATAAATTCAGTAAAAGTCAATTGAGTGTTATTGACATCCAAACTCCCATTAAATGTCAAAAAATGTACTTGGGATTGTTAATAACCTCTTGAATCCCAGGCTCTAAAGTTAGTTGAAACCAGAGAATTTTTCATTTTTGCCACCTTTTGACATTTTACTACATACCTAAACAACTCTAGATGCTCAACTTAAAATTAGATGGCAGAGATCATTTCTACACATAATAAGAGCAATTTTAGTGAAAAAATTTGTGACAGCATTTCTCATGTCTATGTCAATAATCTGCAAAAGGCTAATAAGCCCATATAAAGCAGATATATAATTTAACAGTGATAGAATTTGAATAGAATATAATTTAAAACCTTAAAGGCCCCATATAAAGTTTAAACCACTTTGGCTTATATTGTAGTCTTACCCAATGTTATCAAAGTGTGATATGTGAAACTTTTTTTTTAATTTCAAAAAGTGGTTTTTGATAGACTTTTTGTTCCAAAATTTGTGAATTTATTTAAAACCAACTTTTAGAGGTCACTCATATCTTCTAATTAACCACAAATCATACCAATGTATAGCATTCATCCTCCCATGTTTTTTGCCGAAAAAATTAAGAAAATCGGTTCATAAATAAGCGAGAAATGAACTTATCAGTGCATGAAAATGGTTCTGAGAAAAATGCATTTCAAAATTTTAGTTCTCATAGATGGTACAATGATATCTAAAACATAATTTATTCTTCCTTTTGACCTGGTTAGACAATCAACATTGGTTTTTTATGAAAGTCTAACATATTTAGAAAAGATTGACATCGGAAAAAAAATTTCAATTTTTTCAAAAAGTTTTTGGTACCTCAGTGACATCACTAATGTTTCAAAATATTTTTGATATGCTAAAACATTGAAGTGGCCCATTAAATATGGCATTTTATTATTGAAAAAGTGTGTCCTTTGTTCAATCTTTGCATTGGTGTTAAAAAGATAATCTTTTTTGAAATGCATTAAGAAATATTTGATGATTAAGAAATTTCAACTTTTTTTGAAAAATGGCGGGAAATTTAAATATTTGAGAAATGAAATGCTCACAACTTTTTTTTCAAAATTTTTTTTTGTTCAGAAATCTCTAAAACCACTTTTTAAGTCCTGACAAATAGTAAATGAATGATAAAAAAATATTTTCAAACTTTAGACGGGGACTTTAACATTCTCATCATTCTGGGTTTTAAGGTCATTTCGCCAGGTAGTCAAGAGGTTAAGATCTTTTCAGCATCTAAGCTGTTAGGTTATTTGAAGGAGTCAGAGGATAGTTTAAAGGCAGGTAGACAATGGTGATTCATGCTAGAATTTTAGCTTGGTTAGCATTTTAACATCCCTTTATATAAATTAAAGTGAATAAATTTTCCCTATGATCCTAAATCCTGATTTAGATACATGTAATTTATGATGTGTCCATCTTTGAGAGTTTTAATTTCTGTTTAGGTGTGTACAACAACCATACAACATGATGGACCCCATAGAAGCAGGACAAAAGTTGGATGCAGAGTTTGATCAGTTTCTCTCTGACCTGAAGCCTCATGTCCTCCGCCTACCACATAAATCAGGTACAAGGGGTCTTCTAAAATATATCATTGATTTACGTTCTGTTACCTTGTGAAACTTTAACAAGGAACCAATTAATCACTTACCAGTTTCACCACCATTTGGGTTGAGTAACAATGCAGACCATGGTAGACATAAAAAAATTCCCCTAAGCATGAATTATCAATAGATTTATAGGATGAATTTTCATGTAACCCTTGAGAAGTGCAATTTACATGTTTAGTGAAAGAATTTATCATCTGTTCAATATGTGTGTATAAATCTTTTGTCGACTCTTTAGATGGACTACACAACGTAGTTCTAAGTCAAATTTTTAGAATTTTAAAAGTAAAAGACAATTTTTGAACCACATATCTGGATGTAATGTATGTTACCTGTTGTTTCAGAGCGGCAGAGATGTGCTCTGTGGATAAAGAAGTTATGTGAACCACCAGGTCCAGGAGTATCTGGCAGGTAAATGGATTAAGACACATTGCTTTAAACTATGAATGTAATCTGAAACATTGGGGTACATGTGAGCCGTTGTCTCACATGATGAACCTCTGGAATTTTCAACCCCATCCTTTTGACTGTGTGTATCCGTCCTCCTGCTCCGACATCTCAAAAGTGTCATTTGAATGAACTAATGCTCATTTAATGGAGTCCATACTGGTAATTCTAATATGATACGTGACGTCACAATAGCTAGAACAATTGATTTACTGATCTGTATTGGAGTATATATGACCGATGAAATTCATAAATGCAAATAGTTGTGTTTCTTGTCTGTTTATTATCATATCAGAATCGTAACAAAGACCTCGATTATATGACCTCAAATTTTATTCTGGCCATTGCCAAAGAACAATGAACAGAATCAAATTTGTGGTCATATGTTACGCCATAAATCATAAAATCAAGGTCTTTATTCCTTAAATAAACCATTGTTCCTTGCTCACACTTTGCCTTCTTATGGACACTTTTTTGTCTAAGGAATCACTATGTGAGTGAGCTCATGGTGGGACTTTTCTGTAAGGCATGAATGTTCCATTGTCTCTTGGTTTCCAAAGGAGAATCATATATGTGACCAGGTAATACATTTGTATCACTTCACTTCTCAACTTTTATTTTCTGAGTAGCACTCTTGTGATGGTTAGTGTCAAGCAAAATTGAGCACAGTCATTTGTTGTGTTATTCCAGGAAGAATCGCAATATGTATGTTGAGCTGATGCTTCACATGTTGAAACGTGGAACTATTGAAGGCCCCTTCACACAGCGACCAGAAGATGGACCTCTTGCAACGTTGCCAACCTATATGGTATGTTTTTTTAACAAAGTATATGTAAAAACAACTCTAGTCTGATTATAGTTATTAGTCATGCAGCGTTCATAATATTTAAGGGCTGGCTCAAATTTTTCCCCAAATTCAAGATAATCCATTTCCACAAACTGCTACACATACTAACTATCCATTCTTATTAACATACTTTTTGAAAGTGAAATTTTTTTCAAATTCTCACAAGTTTTGTTAACAAAATTGACTGCATGTATGTGAAGTATTAAAGTGTGAAACTAAATGGTACAGTGCACTCAGATGGGCTGAACTAAATATTTTCTTCAGTTATAATCTCCACTGTATGTATAGTGCTGGTTCATTTTAAAATTCATAAATAAAACAACATTTTATAAGATATGAGACACTATACACAATTATTTCCGAATACCACCCATTACTAACCCCAATGGATAGCTTAGAGTTACCCACCCCATCTCTAAGTATAAGATTACAGTCATTAAGCTGTTTTCCATAGATATGTATCTTGGATTTCATTCTCCTAGTTTCAACTATGGTCATATAAAATATATAAAAATATAATGATAACTACACCTTTTATGACTGCAGATCTGAACCCCAAATTTTTTATTTTATTTCAGTCAATATATTTTGACAGTGCAGGTCAGAAGGAAGACGAGGTGAGTAATATAGAATAACTACATTACCCTTTACTGGTTATTATTGCCTGTTTAGCAGTATTATAGAAAAAATGATATAGAATAACTACATTACCCTTTACTGGTTATTATTGCCTGTCTAGCAGTATGATTGAAAAATAACCTGATGACGATTTTGAGAGGTGAAGATTTATGATTATTTGAAATTTTATAATAAAACATGCTTATTATGCAAAGTATACGTGACAAATATGTAAATACTAGTTAAGTTATTTTGATTTCATTATACACCACAGCATAGGAATAACGCATATAATTTCTGCATTTAATGAAAACAATTTTCAGGAAGTAAAAACACATGTTTTTATTTTAGAGCATAAAATTATCTGTTCATTTACAAGCATGTGTACGAAGGAAGAATAAACTAAAATAAATAAAAAGAAAGTACAACTTGTACATGTATGTGACTGAATATGCTTTCAAAATCTTTAGAAATAACAAGTATTTCAAACATTTCAGTCTTATTTCTGGTGTCGATCATGCCATATTGGATGTAAGGAGCATAAATTCTGTGGTCCACAGTTTCATAAACACACTGAGTGTTTAATACCAGACATATATCGGGTTGGTCTATTTCTAGAATTATAAGCATGGTTTGATCTGTGTTAGAATTAGCTTTGTATTTTTGGATTGTGGGATGTCATTTCATTTGCTGTAATTTGAAAGAGATATTACATCCATCCATTCGTCTGTACATCCATCATCTGTTTTGGTGATAAAATTAAATCAAAATTTTAATGTTAGTACACTTTTTTTTCCTTGCATTTTTAGAAAAGACTGCCCGTTTTCATACATGTTGTTCACATTTTTTGCTATAACTCAAAATGTTAAGAAACTATTTGTTAAAATTTGGCTTGCAGGCACATACTGGCCCCTTTTAACAAAGTTTATCGCAGTCTAAGGATTCACCTTTTTACTAGTTTTGTTCAGTGCAAATTCTGTGGTTCAATTCAATATATGGAAATTTTGACCAAAAATGACCAAAATCACTTGAAAAGTGTGTAGAATGTTGAAAAACTGCACGATTTTGACAGGATTTTTGGTCAGATTGTTCCCTCAAACCCACCGAACCACTCCCTGGCCTGATTTTGATGAAATTGTACTAAAGAAATGAAATAAGTTCCCAGGACTGCTTGGACTGCGATGACATTGTACTGAATGAAACAAAATAGGTTCCCAAGTTTGCAAAATGAATTCTTGGACAGCGATGAGGTTGCACTAAACATAACAAAATAGGTCCAGTTTCCAGGGATTTACGTTACCGCGGAAGATTAATGGGAAGGTGACTCCTCGAGCTGTGATATACTGCCGACCCTTTCACCAACTTTGTATCATGCAGCATCCATTCACATAATTTTGTGAGAGTTGAAATTCAAAAATGATATCATGTTCCATACATAAATTAAATGTTTAATTGGTCATATCCCTCAGAGTTAATTCATTGTTTTTTATAATGGTACTGATTAAACCTAATTTCAATTAACCATTACGACTCCAATTTTAGAAAGAGATTTTTTCTCTACCACATTTTAAACAGTTATTGATAGATACTGTACTAATAGTAATTTTTGTGTGTTTATAGTTTAGTAAGTAAGTAAGTTTGTTTATTACAGTGTCTCGTGCATATCATAGCATATATTTACAATTATCCATATACAGGGTGGGCCAATAAAAATTGGAACATTTTTCTATTTATTCAATTTTCTTTATTATTAACAGTTCAGTCCACAAAAATTCAGATAATGGTAAAATGATTATTTGTGAAAATGTTTAAGATAAAAATAGGTATGTATGATTAATTTTAGCTTGTCTTGTTCATGATCTGTATACTGCGTGCGTCATGAAAAATTTCCAAATTTTCTCTGCTTGAGACATCATTGCTCTTAATTCAGTATCTCATACCTTACAACATATGCCCTTCAAATGGTCTCAACACAATTTCCACCAATCAAAACATATGAAGTTATCTCTAGGAGAAGCTAGACACGTCTCCCTTGGATAATATAGCTTAACTGACCTCAGTTTTTTTCAAAACTGGCACAATATGACTCAAACCTATCATTTAAGCCAAGCAAGACTTTCAATTACAGCTCAGACTGATTGTTCAGGTGGGTGGAGGACATGTTTAGTGATTAAATGTTTAGTTTGTATATTCCTATTTACAGAACCTGTTGACAATTCAAGGACATGTTTAGTGATTAAATGTTTAGTTTGTATATTCCTATTTACAGAACCTGTTGACAATTCAAGGACATGTTCAGTCATAAAATGTTGAGCTTGTATATTCATATTTACACAAGCTGTTGACAATGAATTGTTTTTCAATTTTCTAAAGTATTGAAGATAATACATGACTAACAAAAAAGTTACAATCGATGGAAAAATTTTCCAATTTTTTTACTCAACGCAAGGGATTCCTGAACTTGTTCTCCACCCACCTGAACAATCAGTCTGAGCTGTATTTGACAGTCATTCTTGGCTTAAATGACATATTGTGCCAGTTTTGAAGGAAGCTGAGGTCAGTTAAGCTATATTATCCAAGAGAGGCACGTCTTACTTCTCCGAGAGATAACTTCATATGTTTTAGTTGATGGCAATTGTGATGAGACCATTTGAAGGGTACATTTTGTATGGTATGAAGATACTGTACTTTCAGCAGTGACAGTCTCAGGCAGAGGGAATTTGGAAATTTTTCATGACACACACAGAGTACAGATCATGGCCATGACAAGCCAAAAATAATCATACATACATATTTTTATCTTTAACATTTTCACAAATAATCATTTTACCATTATCTGAAGTTTTGTGGATTGAACTGCAAAAATAGAGACAATTGAATAAATAGAAAAATGTTCCAATTTTTATTGGCTCACCCTGTACATAGCACCTAGCCTTCAAAGTCTTATGGGCTTTAAATTAGATTAAAAAAAATTTGGAATTTGTTTTCGGAAGAAATGATTGTCTTTCATCATTTTAGGATTTACATTTTAACATAAAACAAAATGTATTTCACACTTTTCGCTAGTTTTGGAAAATATGCGAAATATAATAGGCTCAAAATTCCAATACTTGTAGTTCTAATTTGTGAAATAATAATCTTGGCAAATTTTCTGGGAATAAAGGAGGAGGGAAGTTAGCGCAACAGATTTTGGGCAGTCATATGTTTGATTTTGGCCATTTCCTGGGGATTTAAACAGGTGCATATGTTAGGCAAATGCATTTCCTCCAGGAAAATCATTTCTAGAGATGATAAAATAATTTCGATTTTGAGACAGGGTAGATGCAAACAACCCACCCACATGTTTTTTCTGAAATGTTTTCCTGATTTTCAACCCCTTCCATCCTTGCTTTTTTAATTTTTCTTGCATCAATATGTTGCATTTTGACACACAGTTAATTCCTTAAAAGGAATAAATGATTCCTTTTAGATAAAGTGGAAAACAATATTTCACATGTTATTTTCCCATAGGAAAAATCATTGCTTTCAGCTAAGTTTGGTCACCCATAATGGGTATCTTTAAAACCCCAGAAGGAATCACTTATTCCTTTAAAGTGGTTAATTATGTGTCAAAATGCAACATATTGATGCAAGAAAAATTAGAAAAGCAGGGATGGAAGGGGTCAAAAATTAGGAAAACATTTCAGAAAAACATGTGGTGGGTTGTTTGCATCTACCCTGTCTCAAAGTCAAAATTATTTTATCATCTCTAGAAGTGATTTTCCTGGAGGTAATGCATTGGCCTAACATATGCAATTGTTTAAATCCTCAGAAAATGGCCAAAATCCAACATATGACTGTCCAAAATCTGTTGCGCTAACTTCCCTCCTCCTTTGTTTCCACCAAAGTGGGACAAGTGTAGTGAGGTTTCACATAGGCTACCTTGTATTTGGTTAATGAAATTTTTTGCTGATTAGCCAAGTAAAGCTGGTTTAAATGTTGAGAACAGATCTGCAAAAATTAATAGCTGTGATATAAACAAAAACAACCTATTAAGGTGTGTATCAATGATTTACTTTCCTGTTATCTCAAATCTGCTTGGAAGTACAGTGTAAACTATTGGATTACTATGGGAAATTACTCAAAGAGAAAATTCTAGGGATTAAGGAATGGGTACCATTTACACAATTTGAGAAATTATTGGCATACATGAAACCTATTTAAAACAGCATTTATATTATTCAAAAGCATTCGTAATAATGATTCCCAGCCCTCTGAAGGTTGAAAAATAAAAACACCTGGGTGTAAATCCATAGATAATCCTTGAAAATCAGAAATAGTCTTTGGGATTATTTGGTGCAATCTTATAGTCAATAATATGTTTTGAAGCGAAATGCATGAAAAACTCCCCCAATTCATTCTACAAACAACTCGCAGTTCTTTCGAAAAACTGAAAAATAGCAAAAATTAATAGCAGTGAAATTTCAAAATCATAAAAACATGAAATATAATAGCATGAAATATTAGTGTGATGAATTGATGATTTCATTGTCTCGAATATAGAGTATAGTGATGAATTGTTATCACTGATTGTCAGCTGTAATATGTAAAAATGGTGATACTGAATTTATCCCATGGACTGTATTCAGTTTGTTGAAACAATTTCCTGCTGTCAGTTTTGACATTTGCATGGTCTATGTGTTGAATTGTTGAGTAAAATGATCTATATGTACTTGATTGTTATTCATCAGCGATATGTTGACTTTATAATCAACCTTTTATGGGCATATTTAGCTAATGCCACATCATGTCGGGAATCTACATAATATATACATGTTGTCCTCATTGTGTCTTCAAACAGTTTATGTCATTGAGAAAATTGTTACATGTGTGAGATTTATTTTATCATTTGCAAAGGGACTTATATAAAGGTTACATGGTAATCAAGTATTCTATAAACATATATGAAATGAGGGTCAGCCGAATTGCTACAAAGTTTAAATTGCTCATTATACTAGTTTTAGTATGTTTAGCCATTTGGAACATCTATATGACAGCATGGCATAGCCATAAATGGAAATTAAACACAACCCCTTCAAACCAGATGCAGATCAACAGGAAGGCACACGTCAGAAACCACCGTGACAGCTGGAAAACTCGTTATCAGTTCAAACATAGAAATATTCGAGACGGCACTGTACATCAGTATCAGGCTATGTGCAACAAAGGGAAAATGGTCTTATCTCAACTATCATATAAACTATACCAATTGATTGATACAACCATGAACCCAAAGGACTGTTCAAATGCAAGGTATCTGTTGTGTGAATGGCCTTTTCTTGGGGGTCTAGGATCCCTGATTCACCAAATTAGCTATTGTTTCTCCATTGCCGTAGCGACCAGGAGGGTGCTGTTGCTTAAAATCAAGTATAATTTGTATCCAGAATCTTGGGAACATTACCTGTTGCAACCTAGTGTTAAATGTTGGGATTTCCAAATCAGAAATTATACAGATTGGTTTCAAATGGAGAATGGTGTAGAGAGTGATGTCCAAGTTGTGAGATTATTACTGACAGATGATATTGAAATAAGGACAAATAGAACATGGCCCAAACCAATTCCCGAAAAATTCATCGACAGTAGCGCATTCAAGGATAAAATTGCACAGCATCATCAATCACCAGCCTTATGGGGAATTGGACAATTAATGGCATACTTTTTCCAACCCTCACCATCTTACTCTCAAAGACTGGATGATATTAAGAAGGCAATTGGCTTCACACATCCAATTATTGGAGTTCATATTAGACGGGGTGACAAGGCTTTTGAAGCTGAACCAACTCCAACATATAAATACATTGAGGCTATTGAATCATACATGATCCAGATGGGTTACAGGACTTCCAGTCGCAAACTGCCATCTATATTCATCGCATCAGATGAAAGAGATCTGATTTTTGAGATCAGCAATCAATACACACAGTATAATTTTATATCAACACCAGATGTTTTTTCCAAAAAACATTTAGATCTTATCATCTTTGATATTTTACTCCTGAAGGAATGTGATTATTTCATTGGAACATTTTCATCTAATGTTGGTCGTCTTGTATATGAACTTCAACAAAGCAGATATGAGGATGCAAGTTGCCTGGCAAAATCACTAGATCATCACTATCGTACCATTTATTGTTGTGGAATAACACAAGTAGAAATGAAATATTTTGAATTTCAACCCACTTGCTCTTTTCAAACTACCAAGCAACAATATGATCTGATTGAATCATGCAATAACGTCTCAGAATTCGATCCTTGATCATTTCATTATCCCATCGAACAAAGTTCGGAGGGGTATAAGGAACACCTCTGTCCGTCTGGGCAATAACTCAAATTTTCATACTTTCTGTAACTCGAAAAGTAGTGGAGCAATTTTGTTCATATTTAGTATGTTAATACTAAGCATGGCACACTGTCTAATGACACTTTTGATAGAAGGCAGTCATTTTGAAAAATGGCCGTCATTTTTACATTTTTTACTTTAACTCGATAAGTAATGGAGCAATTTTGTTCATATTTGATATGTGAATACTATAAGCATGGCACACTGTCTAATAACACTTTGGGGAGTAGGCAGTCTCTTTGAAAAATGGCCACAACTTTTGCATGGAGTGTTTAGGTAAGAGTTCTGCAGAGTCTCATGACATATATTTTGAATATTCTGACAATGGATGATGAATATTTGCTTAATCAGCTGCCATTTTTTACAGTTAACCCTGTACTATTCTATGATACAGTTCCTGGTGATGTGACAACTTATGACTTTGAAAATAAGCTTTTTGATCCCCAAGAAGAAGACAAGTTCAATAATATTCCTACCAATGATAACGTGTCATCATTAGTTGAGCACTGTAATTATAAGACACTGGAAAATATTAATTCTGACACGCCAAATGATCCCAATCTCTCTTGTATCCATCTTAACATGAGAAGTATGAAAAAAAATAACTGGAAGTTAGATAATTTATTAGCCCTTATGTCACATAAATTCAAAATTATTGCATTAAGTGAAACTTGGCTCTCTAAGCAAGATGAAACTTTCTATCCAATTAATGGATATACTGGCCTTTTTAAATCAAGAGAAGTTCGAGGAGGGGGCGTGGCATTATATGTTTCTGCTTCTTCTATGTATATTGAGAGACCTGATTTATCATTTATTATGCCAAACTGTGATATTTTGTCAGTTGAATTACCACAGGATAATGCTAGAAATATCATCGTCTCAGTATGCTATAAACCTCCAAATATTAACATGATTGATTTTAATAACTCTCTTGAAGTTTTTATGACCAACTTAACCAGTGAGAACAAAGATGTTTATTTAATGGGAGACTTTAACATTGATCTTTTAAAATTGGAGAATCATACTCAATCTGAACGTTTTCTAAACATAATAACAACACATGGTCTTAATCCACTTATTTTTAAACCAACTAGAGTCACAGCTACATCAGCGACTTTAATTGACAATATATTCACCAACAAAATTGACAACATTAAACAATCTGGAATCATTATTTCTGACATCTCTGACCATTTTCCCATCTTTTTTACTACAAATAAGCAATTGCACACACTTGTTCAAAAAACCAATACTTATAGAGTCATAAATTCTGATAATTTGAACATTTTTAAAAACAAGATGGCTTTAATTGATTGGTCAAACACTTGTTCAATTGAAGATACTAATTCTGCTTTTGAGCATTTCTTTGGAATTTTCAAAGGAATATATATTGACACTTTTCCACTTAAAACACTTAAAACAAAATGTATAATTAATACTGATAAACCATGGCTAACCCCAGCTATCCTTACTTCAGTTAAGCATAAAGGTACATTATACAAGGCCTTCTTAAAAAATCCTTCAGAAGAAAATAAAACAAGGTATAAAATTTATAAAAACACACTTACTACAATGATACGCAATTCGGAAAAGACCCATTTTAATCGACAAATTGATGATGCCAAGGGTAATTTAAAGCACACATGGAAGGTCATTGATTCAATATTAAAAAGAAAAAATACTAAAGCTTCTTCAACTGATTTCTTTGAAAATGATGGCGTTTTTCATAGAGACAATCAATCAATTGCTGAAAATTTTAATAAATATTTTACAAATATCGGTCCTAGGCTTGCAAGTAAAATCTCATGTAGTACTTCACATAATGAGTTCCTTAGGAAAAATAATCGCATTCCTACCTCAATGTTTTTAAATCCAATAAATCCAGATGAAATGTCCTTGATAATTTCTAACCTTAAGGATGGGGCTCCGGGAATAGATGGGTTTAAGGCCTGTGCTTTGAAATATTGTAAACATATATTAGCTCCACTTCTTAGTCACCTGTGCAATTTATCTTTTGTAAATGGCATTTTCCCAGATATTCTAAAAACAGCTAAAATTACACCAATTTTCAAAAAGGGAAAACCTAGTTTATTCTCAAACTACAGGCCTATTTCTCTTCTTAGCATCTTCTCAAAAGTGCTAGAGAAACTCATGCATAAAAGACTCATAGATTTCATAATAAAACAGAAAATACTGACCTCAAGTCAGTTTGGTTTTTTACCAAACAAATCAACTTATATGGCAATTTTAACTTTTCTTGAAAACCTCAGAACATCTCTCGATGATAATAACTTTAACATAGGACTGTTTCTTGACTTATCCAAGGCATTTGACACTGTTGATCACAAAATTCTACTTGAAAAAATTGATTATTATGGGTTAAGGGGAAATGTAAAAAATTGGTTCACTTCCTACTTAGAAAACAGAAAACAGATCACTTGCTACAATAACACTTTTTCAAATCAAGATATTATTAAATGTGGTGTACCTCAAGGGTCTATACTTGGACCGACTTTGTTTTTAATGTACATTAATGATATTACTTCAACCTCAAATCTCATCAAATTTGTATTATATGCAGATGATACTAATTTACTTATATCTAATCGTAATATGGATGAACTAGTTAGACTATTAAACAAAGAACTGCAAACAATTAATCAATGGTTTAAAGCTAACAAACTATCTCTCAACTTAGATAAAACTAATTTCATAATTTTTACTCCAGGCAGAAATTTAATCCATGACATAAATATACATATTGACAATGTGCCAATAAAAAGAGAAAGTAGTGTTAACTTTCTTGGAGTATTTATTGACGAAAAGTTAAATTGGAAAAAGCACATTCAGCATATTACTAATAAGATATCAAGAATAACAGGCATTCTCTATAAAGTAAGAGACATCCTTGATCATGACTCTAAACTTAAAGTATATCATTCATTAATCCTTTCTCAAATTAACTATTGCAATATTATTTGGGGTCATGTAAAAAAGAACATACTTACACCAATACATCTTATTCAAAAGAAATGTATCAGATTGATTACAAATTCACATTTTAGAGAGCACACTGCCCCTTTATTCAAAAAAGAAAACATTTTGACAATTTTTGATATTTATCATTTAAATGTTGCTACATTTGTATATAAATGCTTAAACATACCATCTGGCTTTCCTATATACATTTTTAAAGATTATTTTAAAATTTCCCAACATGGCCATGACACAAGATCTAAACACCTTTTAGTCCAACCTAAATACCGCATTAAGTTTGGTTGGGACTCACTTAAATATATTGGACCATCATATTTTAATAAACTACCTAATGAAATTAAGCACAGTGTCAGTACAGTTATGTTCAAGGCAGCACTTAAACATCATATTATATCAACTTATTAATTTATTATATGTAACTCTAGCAGACTCTACCATCTCACTTTTCCTGCATTCCTGCACTCCATTAAAATAATTGTATTTACAAACATTGACTTTTGATCTTTGAACTACAATATACGCTTTGCGTCAAATTGTATATGATTATATGTATGTAACATGTTAAAATTGGAATAAACTTAAACAAGGTCACAACTTTTGCATGTGTTATTTTACGTTTTTTTACTATAACTTAAAAAGTAATAGAGTGATTTTGTTCATATTTGATATATGAATACTCATAAGCATGGCACACTGTCTGACATTTTGACTAGTAGGCGGCTATTTTGAAAAAGGGGCGCCATTTACATGTATATGTGAGCTATTTTGTTGAAATTTTATATGCGCCTACTTAGAAGCATATTACACTTTCTGATGACAATTTGGCTAGTGAGCAACCATTTTAAATTGGTAGCCATTTTTTGTGTGTTATTTTACTATATACTTTGTTTGTAAAAATGCCAGGCCATGGCTGTTCGATGGGATTTGCTACGCTTTGGTGTTGCTGTTGTCTAGTTAGTTTTGCCATAGGAAAGTACACATTCATACATGTAGATGTAAATGAAACTATAGTTTGACATAAAGCCATACTATAGATCATAATACAGCCTGTCTTTCTGTCAATTATTGAAACCTGTATTTCATTTTAAAACCAGTTCTCATCTATCATAGCAACTGTATTGTTGACATTGAATTAGTCTTGCTTCAAGACTGCGCACCCCCCCCCCCCTTATCTACTTCACCAACACATTACTTATGAAAAGAAGATCTTATTTTTTGCCATTGTAATGTACTGTATTGCCAATATTGGGTTATTCAAGATCAAAAGGTCAAAATTAATATGGGTATCAGAATCATAATAGGACATTTACTCATGATTTAGAATTGTAGAGTCAGAATTGTAATTTTTTGTCTACTAGTTGACCTTCTATGATATTTAAAGATAAATAGTTTTTAAAAATGAAAGTCACATCTATACGTAGGGAATTTAAAAGGGGTTAGTAAGGCCAAATCTAGATTTTCTTTTTTTATGGGCTTTATAACACTTTTCAATAGTAATTTGTATAATGGTACTGAATAAATGGACATTTGAATTTCAATCGTTCAATCTAAAGATCAAAAATCAAGGTCATTACTTAGGTTATGGACTATACCAATCTATTAGCTTGACTGACAATTTGTACATGTATATCCATTTCTTTAAATGGTTGGTAAAGCAAAATTGCTACCTGCTTACATTGTGCCATTGTGAAATATCTCTTATTATTTACATAGACTATATTATACAAAATATTATTGAAGAAGGCTTGTATAGAATTTTAGGTATGGATTAGTAGTACAATAACGTCATTTCAAAGGGCAATATAGTGAAATATTGGACCAAGGCCTTGGTCCAATATTTCACTATTTTGCCCGCAGAAATGACGTTATTACTATTGTTACCACCGTTAATGCCCAGGGCTGAAATAGCAAATTTGAAATAGAAAATCTTACGCACTGAACGATATCACTTTTCCCGGGAAACATAGCCGGGCGGATAATGTCATTACCGGACTAAAGTCATTAACGCCCGACACAATATTGCTCACGTCAATATAGCAATTTAAATGCCTTCTCAACTAGCACTAAAACCCCTAGAACAGGCCCTGCAAGGTGGTAATAATATGTGTTGTAGCTTTGTAAAGTAGCATATTAGGGCTGTGGTGTGTCATTTATTTGTTGTAATTTTGTCAATTTATTCAGATTTATTTTGATCAAGTGCAAATATGGTTCCATGCCCTATATTTCTAAGTTCATATATTGGACACTCATAGACTGTTTACACTGTAACTTCCCCCATTGGCTCAATCTTTGATCAGTCCATGATGGTCAATGGTCATGCATAATTAAACGTTTAATTTAAGGTTCAGCTGGAAAGTAACATTTTGGTAAAAAATTGCTATACCTGCACATGTTATTTTCTGGTACAAAATTAAGTATGAAGGCATGTGTATTTTTCCTTGCTTTTTTCAGGAAAGTATTATTACATTGTCTTCTTTTAGTAAACCTGGAAACAGGTCAATGGTAGCTCCTGTGTTGTCTGGAAACTTTGAAAGAAAATTTGGAAAGATAGAAAGTGTGAAGTTCCCATTGAACTCTTAACCGATATTCTAAAAGTAGACAATGTAATGATACTTTCCTGAAAAAAGCAAGGAAATTAACACATGCCTTCATACTTTATTTTGTACCAAAAAATAACATGTGCAGGTATAGCAATTTTTACCAAAATGTTATTTTCCAGCTGTACCTTAACACAAAGAAAATTCAGTCTCTGGGTACTCATGGAATTAAGTGATGCATAAAACTGGAGAGGGTGAACCATAACATTGTCACATAGAAGTGACATACATGTGTATAAAATCCAATAAATTATTAATTAAATGTAAAAACACAATTTGCTAAATTAGTGAATATAGCAATATTCCAATATTCCAAGTTTAAATTTTACTCCATAAAATTTCAAAATGTGTTTTACATTTTTTGATATTTTCAAAAAATAAAAGAAAGCTGAGATGCATATAATTTTGTAATTGTGTATTGGATCATGCGGGCAGTGTTAACATTTCAAGGTATAAATTGACTCCATGTTTTGAGGAATGCTGTGTTTTTCATTGATTTTCTGGTTTACACAGATCTAATCTCTATGTACAGATACATTAGGGGTTTAGTATGAATTAAATATTAAGCCATACCAAAATACAAAATTCACATTTGTCCTGACATAGACAAACCTTGTGTGTTGTAGAAGCAGGTCCCAGACTGGGTAGCAGGTCTAGATGAGTCAATGGCACAGTCTCTTCTATCAAACATGAAGTCCAGTCTAGGACCCAATGGCCCTGGAGAGCCACACATGTCTTCAACATTACGTCAGTCCACCACACGAGAACGTTTCCACACTCTGGTGAATTCTCCAAGCAAAATAACTGGCCACAGGTGTTTAACTTTTGTTAAATTTGATATCGGTAAAACCAAATATTGCCAACCATGCGATTCACATATTATCATGGGGGTCCAAGTATGCATGTTAAAAACTGTTAATTTGAATTTTAGACCTACCTGATGTTTGAAAATCAAGGATTGTGAGTCTCATACTGCACTGTTTTTGTTCAAACTTGTGCCATGAAAACAATAAAACAAAAATGCCTTTGTACATTATATAGAGTCCCTCCTTTTAGCAGCGTTTTGGTCCCCAGTTGTAAGAAGCGCTTCTCACAGCTGGGGACCCAAATGCCACTAAAAGGAGGGACTCTGTATAACAGAATAATGTACCGACAGAAAGGCATTTTTCTTTTGCTTTTAATGAAACAAGTTTGAAGAAAAACGATGCAGTATAAGACTTTTAATCCTTGATTTTCAACATTTACATAATGTCTGCATAAAATATACAAAAATTTCCTGATTTTAATTTTGTGATTTTTTATCAGGCCTTAATTTTCTTTCAGACGGTCCTACTCTAGCCAGTTGGTAAATAGAGATAGATCACCAAGTCCTCCTAGGAATAAAAGTCCCACTCATCATAGTCCCAGGTCCAAACTACTCACTAACAGAGAGAACAGGGGTACATATCCTAGTGGAGTAAGTATTGAGCCAGTCCCTTGTAGAACTCAGTAATATTCTCCAGTATTTTTACCACTGTTGTTTTGAGTCATTTCGCAAAATAGTGTGCAGTAATTTTGCCTGTTGTTTTCATTTGTCTTGCTTGATGTCAAAAGTTCTATTGAAGACCCTGTGACCCCACATTTTTTGCATGATACATTGAAAATAATTATTCCGTAAAACTACTGTGAATGAAAATTGAATGTGAAGTTAATGGCTGTTCTATTTTCTAGGACAATTACTTGAATAAAGAAAGACAATCTGGGCCAAGGAGGAAAGTGGAGTTCTCTTCATCTGATGAGGAAAATGCAGATGGTGAGTTCTTTTTACTTAGTTACATTGTTCTTGTAACAACTACATGAACCTACTATGTTGCAGATAGTTATTTATTTAGTTGTACTTGTCATTTTGTGAACTTGGTTCATTTTTAAGATCGAACAGATGATTATGGTTTTTAAGTTAAACATGATACACACTGGTAAGAAATAGTCCTTTTGGGGATTTATGTTGATTTTCTATGTTACACTGCATAAGTAAGAGGAATTGTCAGTGCATGTTGTTCTACATATGTTGAATTTCAATTTTCAGATCGATACAATCGTAGGAAACACAGATCCCCTAGGTCACCTAGAAAAACAGAAGTAAGATTGTACTCATTTTTTGAGTAATCAAAAAATAATTGGTTTAGTATTTGTTCTTTAATTCATTGTTAGGGTAATTTTATTGGAGTTACATATTACTCTTTATAACATACCTATGATGATGTATAGTGCAAAGTGTACACCAGACAGCGGGCCAATATAAGTTTTGAAAAGCCCGCGCCCGCTAACTTTCTGATTGGTCAAGGCGCTGACGTCATAACCAATCAATCGAAGATTAAACTGCGCGAGCAATTTTTCTAAACTCATTTCAATCATTTTCAAACCGTTTGTTTGTCAATTCTATAAGAAAATGGTACTCTCTGACCAGTCTACATCATCATAGGTATGTTATAAATCGTTTATGTCACTATCATGGCACATATGCCCTCGGTTCTCAGAGATCAATGTCCCTCACAAGGTCGGGCCATATATCACTGAGACCTCGGGCATATATGCCATGATAGTATCATCATAGGAATGTTATAAATCGTTTATGTCACTATCGTGGCACATATGCCCTCGGTTCTCAGAGATCAATGTCCCTCCCAAGGTCGGGCCATATATCACTGAGACCTTGGGCATATATGCCACGATAGTGACATAACCTCTAAGTATTTTATATATTCATTATTTTTCAGATTAGCAAAGATGACTGGTCTCACCCTGTACATGGAACTAGTGGCCTCACATCTTCTCGGGGTAAGTCTCATTTAATAAACTATCAGTGTCTTTAGTCTAAATACTTTACTCTGATTTGTCATTTAAAGGTAAGTTTATATCTAATGGGGTGGTCTATGTAATTCTTTGACTAAATTACCCAAAAATGTTTGTAATTCATAATCTTTTCTGGAAAAAAATCCCTCATTTATAGTGCAACATTTTAAAAGGTTACTATCATAAATTTTTTTTGAAACTTTCCATTGTGCTTATTAAATGAGCAATTTATACAAACTTTTTACAAAATTCTATTGATGATGCAAGTTACAGGATCATTATTAATAAATGCTGTGGAACTGTGAAGTGCTATGTTGTCATCAGTTAGTCTCCAGATTTAATGCAACCACTGCTTGTGTTGTTTGCCATCCATTAATTGTGTTGTTTGCCATATTTGTAACCATTGATTGTATTGTTTTCATGTTATTTATTGAATGTTGTAGGGACCTCATATCGAGATGAACATAGTCTGATGAAGATGCATGAACGAGAGGTAATAAAATATAGTTACATACAAAGATGAAAAATATGAGAAATGCAAAAATGTAAAAGAATTTTACTTTGATTGTTGTCAGCTACTCTTGCATCAACCCCTTGTTCATCTTCCTCTAACAAACACAACTACTGGGAAGCAAAGCAGGGATGGGTGGAACATAGATTTGATGATTAACAGATTCGAGTCAGTCATTATTCTAAGCTCATGCTATTGCAACTTCCTATGAAGACAAAACAAAATTGAACACAATCAAACTCATGATCTAAATAAACACATACAGTAGAATTGAAGCTCATTCTCAGCTAGGCTTCATTGTAATTTGAAATGAAGATGATGAATGATATAAGAAATGCAAACATAATGTTTTATTGAATATGTTGTGGTTTGTAGCTTGATATGAAGACAAAGATGTTAGAGGCGCAGTTCCATGAAGAGAAGCTAAGGTTACAGCAGACACATGATGATGCTGTACAAAAGGTAGGAAAAGTGCTGTCAAATAGTGTAACACATCCTTGTAACTCTTATTGGACTGGCTTCCTAACTTAAACAGTGATTCTCACATTTGACTCTTCCTATTGAAAAGTATACATAATGTATATAACCTTTCTTTTATATTTTTATAGATATTAAACAGGAAAAATATAGAAATTGAAGAGGTAAAGAGTCACTATAGATCAAAGAACAAAGAGCAGGAGGAGACAATAAATAAATTAGACAAAAAAGGTAATGTTGTTTTCTTTAAAATGTTCACATGTTGTTTATCTAATATAGAATAAAAGTAGGTTAATAGCTAGGTTTTTACCCCATGAGATTCATAAATCAGGTTTGGAGGATATAGCTTTACACGTTGGCAGACTGGGCAGATAGAATGTGCCCAACAAAAATTTGCCAGCCATAAAAGACGATTTCATATGCATGTTTTTCATTAGAAGCTCTGATGAGAGTCATCAGAGGTTCAATAGCATCTATAGTGACTAAAGATTTTGTCAACCATGTAAGGAAATTTTCATTTGCATGTTTCCAGTACAAGCTCTGGTGAAAGAATCATCAGTGATTCGTGAGAACAAAGACAAACAGATAGCTGAACTGAAGAAACTTGCAGAGGAATCCACTCAATGTAAAGTGAATGAATTCGAAAAAAGGGTGTGTGGAGCAATAATATTTTTGACGATTATGACTTATTTCCCTAGGCTTTTCCAAATAGACTAGAGACTTTTACAAAGTCATGTTTAAGTTAAATTAATGAAATAAACTCAATGCACAATTATATTACTAAGAAATAATTCAATTCATATTGACTTTTAAATCTGAAAAAATTATAAATTCACTTATATGTTGCAATTGCTAAAATTGGTTTGATTTCTTAATATTTCAATACTATTTTACATATGACCAAATTCTAATTAACATAGTATTCTTCATGGCCAGAATTTGCAGAAAGTCTAAGAATTTTTTGAAAATCCATGCTTGAGTTTTAATGCTTCATATGTCTTCTATTTCTAGTTACATGATACTATAGCGGACTTTGAACAAGAGAAGTTTGACCTTCAGAAACAGCACACCAAGAACATCCAAGACCTCCTAGATGATACGAATACCCGCCTACAGAAGATGGAGACTGACTACTCCCAACAAACTACTGCAACTGTAAGAGAACAGAAAATTCTCCACATTTAGATGCGTTTTAATTGATAAATTGTTGAATACACAGCCAATCTGAAACACTACCATACGGTACAGTTTTGTCAATGGTACCATATGGTACCGTGAAATATGGTACCGTAGGCTAAAATGGTACCGTGAACACTGTACGGCACTATACTCCAACAGTACCATATGGTACCATACTTTTAATGTACCGTACGGTACTGTAATTTTGCAGTGCCGATTGGGGGTGTAATACAAACAACTTGTTTATGTAGGACACACTTTTTCAGCTGTCTATTTATATTTACATACACAAAAATAGTAAATCTTTAAAGCAAAGGCCATGGAGACTGCAGATCACTCTTCAGCTCTGATGTAAAGTAGAAGCTTATCCTTAATGACAATATACCATGTCTCTGAATATATATAACAGCAATGTTCTTTATTTTCTACACATATAAAAATTGTAATTACAAAATTACTTCTTCTGATTCCCTTCTGCCAATATTACAGCAAGAAACAAACATTTTCACTCTCAAATCAAGCTTTTCCCTGGTGTAAGTACTTGTCCAAAACAAATGATTGAAAAGTTCCAGATCACAGGTTAACATCCAGTGAAATAGTCCACGCTACTTAGAAATATTCAACGATGACTCCTTATTATTTCAGTCATCCATGATAAAGGAGTTAGAGATGAGGATCCATCAACTGACTGATGATGCTGAGACAACCACAAGGATGAAGAATACACTGGAAAGAGAGAAGATAGAACTTGATAGTAAATGTGAGAGGCTTATGAGTGAACTTGCTGAATATCAGAACAGGTACGCTGGCTAAAGATCTATTTGACATTATAATATTTTATAATTTTTTCTTTTACTTGATGAATGTATGTAATGGACCCCTGTGCAATAACTGGAGATGGCTAAAAGCTGAATTCATGATAGACAAGATATTTAAATTTGAAAGGGCAATAAAATAGCTCAATTAATAAACAGTTCAAGGGATCTAAAGCCTCCTTTGCATCAGTTTTACACAAGATGCTATATTCAGTGTATATTAAGCATTGCCACTGTGTTATTTTGTAGGTATATGGTACTAGAGAAGGATTACCACAGAGCTACTGAGGAACATGAGCAAGAATGTAGGTCTCTCCGAAACAAGACCGATGCTAGCTTGGAGTTCATGAAACAAGAAAACAGTTTGGCTGTGTCCAAGGTAACGTCAGAAAACAACATTTATAGACAGCCTGAGGCAAAAAACAACCCAGGACTAAACTTCAACCAGTTTATGTTTTCTAATTTTACATGTTAAAAAAGAGAAAACATAGAAATGGGAATCAGTCTGAAATCTTTCAACCAAATCACTTCGTACCCTCAGTTACATACCTTTCATAAGATGAGCCTAAGATTTCATAAAGAATAGTATTGTAAGCGAGGTGTCGGGGGTTCGATCCCCACTGGGGTTGATTGACTTCACATCAGCCCTTAGCACAGGATTTCATTCTGCATTTTCTTTAAACAGCTCTCACATTTCTCATCTACAGTATTTGTTACTATTACAGGCAGATGACCATATATCAGATTTAGAGGACCAAGTTTCCCAGTTAAAGCAGTCCCTCCAAGATGCTGAGAATGAACGGTTTAGGAAGATTAGGGTAGGAAGAACTTCTGCACACAATATTGCTTTAAATATAAAATGTTTATTCAAAATGGTTTAAAGTGTTTAGTTTACTTGTATAATATTGATGATGCTATTTTATCAGGAACTTGAACAAGTTCAACAGCAAGACAAACTACACACTGAACATTTACATGAGAAAAAAGTTCGCAGTTTACAAAAGGAAATTGACCAATTGGAACAGGACACTCAAAAAAAGATTAGGAAATTAGAACAAACTGTGAAGTAAGTTCTGTTTCTAATAATAATGATAAATGATGTAAAACTAAAAAGAATGATTGAATAGAAGTTCCATGTGATACATTAATGGAGTATGTATGAATCTTGATAGAACTATGACCTCTGAATAAAAATGACATATGGCAAATATGTGACCTTACGTTTTATTCCATTCTGCCTTTAACTAAAGACGTGTAGCAATCTTTTCACATGTAGCAGTCTTTCAACAAAAATCATGATGATACATTGAGTCATAAATCTACAGTGAAACCTGTAAAGTAGAACACCTCAAGAAGTGGAACACCTCTGTTAGTGGAACACTTTCAGTGTCCAAAGACCAACTGACTTAATGTTAAATGAACCTCTTTAAGTGGAGCACCTCCCATGTGGAACACCTTTTAGAGATACCAAAGGTGTTCCACTTACACAGGTTTTACAGTAGTTCTTATTTGAAAGGAAACACTTTTCTTCGTTTCTTGAATTGAAATTTGATACATGCTTCATTGGGCTTCATGTTATAAGTTGAAAGACATGATGTCACTGTCATTGTTGACAAGGTGACATGATGTTGTATGTTGTCATTGTTGCTAGGGAAAAGGATGATGAGATACAGAAGCTGATGCATACACACAAAGAACAAACTCAACAGTCAGAAACTGCCCTAGAGGACTTTAAATCTCAAATGGAACAGAACTCAACTAGAATGTATGATGACATGAAAACACAGGTACTTGTACAGTTACAACATTAGCCAATCTGATTATCTTTAAAACATTAATGAAAGTGCATGAAATAATGTACTCTGGCACTATACAACACCAATATGAATTTCTGGCACTATACAACACCAATATGAATTTCTGGCACTATACAACACAAATGTGAATCAACAGCTATGAGAAGTCACTTCCAGCAGTAATGAAGTATTAAAATACTAGTACTCAAATCTAATATTGTCACATTTAATCTTTAAATCAGGGCGTGTCAGTATAGGTCTACAATCAAAATCTAATCATGGACTAGTCACGCATGAAAAACTAAGCTGCACATATGTTCATGTTTGATTTGAATGTATTTTGATATGAAATATATACTGTCATATTTAGATGGAAAAGGTGGAGGCTGACTTGAATAGATCTAAGCAGGTTAGGGAGAAACAGGCAAGGGAGTTTTCTAAACAAACTGAAGAGCTCAGACAAAAGCACCAGCAAGAGGTAAAATAAAACCTTAAATTACATGTTTAATTATTGTTCTATTTAGGCATTATTTGTTCACATTGAAGATTCTATAGAAGGAGGGAACTATGTGGTTGCTAAATGCTTAAATGAAGATATTTTACCCTGCTTTTCCTGTATTTGAGCCTCTGCAAGAGTTCTGTTTGAATATATCTGGCATTCTATTGATACGATAAATGATGGCTCAGTATGAAAAAGAACAAATGAATGGTAAGATATATTTGAATATGTTCGAAACCTGATTAAGGTAGGACCTCCAAATGAAAATGTCTTTGTTTTCATTCCTTTGTTATATTAAAATTATCACAAAGACATCATGGCCAAACACCCCATTCAAAATGTCATTTCTGTCTTTAAAGTTACTGAAATAGTAATTTAAACCTAAAGGAGTTGCCATATACATTTTCTGGCCCATACATGATTTTTCACTGGTCCCCACATGATCCTATCTGGTCCAACGAATCATGACATCATAGATCAAAGATGTTTTCAATTTGTTTACACAATAATTGTGCAGTAACTACGACATCGCGATTACCAAGAAGTATTAAATTAACCAGAACTGTGAATAAATATGATGTCACTGATCATATTGGGGTCAAATCTAATACTATATAATATACTAAGACTATAATAATTATTTGTCATTTCTTTTATAATAGTTATCACAAGAACCCTGGGCTTACATTTTTGCAAGGACTGATTAAGATAAAGATCATTATCCCTTTGAATAAATCTACTTGCAGATTGCAGAGTTAAGGCTTATGTTCGAGCAAGAGAAATCTCAGTTGATTCACAATTCTAAGACAGAGCGTGATCAGATACAGACTGAGCGAGAACAGGAAGTAGATGGCGTCAGAGAGACACTGAAAGAAGAATTACGTCAGTTGGATGAAAGGAGTCGAGAGCGACAGGAACGTGATGCCCAAGTAAGGAAACAACTAATTTGTAGTGTTTTAGCAACAGTGTCAAGAAAGAGGGAGAGAAAATATTCTAGCATAGTAAGAGCATTCAATATACAGTTAGCAAGTGTAACACAGGCCTTGAGTTTATTGATTTTCTCCCTATATCATGACATGTATAATTTTTCGACCCCTGTGCATCCATTGAACCTGAATGATAAACATCAATTACTTCTTTCCTTTAATCAAGTGAAAAGTCATGTAGAGGGCCTTATAAGGGTATCCGAGAAGCACATTTGTATTGTCGCACAGGAAATGTATTCTATTTACCACATAATTATTACAAAGCGATTAATTGTCTTGGAATCAGCCAAAATGTAGCCGGGTTTTATGTCCATTTTGTTCATTCACAATATACTTGACCTAGATTTCCAGAATTCCTGCATATTTTGCACCATAGGTAAATAACTGCCTAATTAGTATTATAAATGTAACTGTATGTTTTGTAGAACATTCTCCAGTTAGAGGAGCAGTTGAAATCTCAACGAGAGGAGACAGTCCAGTCCAACCAACTGAGGAAACAGCAACTCGTAGAGCTGGGTTTACTAAGGGAGGAGGAGAAACAGAAATTACAGCGAGATCATGAAGCTCAGGTGTTGTATTGATCTCTATAGTACAAACTTCACTGTTGAACTTGGTTAAGAGCTATCAGAACTGCCTCGCATAAAAATTGTTATGCAGTTGACTTTTTTATTTTACTCAAAATTCAGGTTGCTAGGTATTGCATATGTATTTTTGCATAATGGGTATACCAGTAAATTATTGCATTGTGGTATTGTTTCTCACTAACAGGTTTCCAAGGTGAAATCTCAGATGGAACAACAAAAGCTGGATCTCCAGAAACAAAACAGTATTGAGACTGAGAAGATGTTGGAAAAGGTATATATACCAAAATTATTACGATATAATTGTTAAAGCAAGAGACTATAATTATTATTTGATGTAGTATAATAAAAATCTGCACTTATATCTAGATCAAGATCATAGAAGAGAGTTTACGTCAAAATTTTTGAAATCACTGGTTCTAATCCTACTGACCTTGAAACTGTCTATAAACGCTAAGTACTACATGTACTTTATAGTTTTAATGGTTTGTTTCAGACTAATCTAAGGTTGAAAGAGATTGAGAAAGAATATACTCAAAGAACAGAGAAGCAAACTGAGGTAGCTTATGAACTTCTGTAATCGTCAGAGATTATAATTTAGCATGATAAAAAATTTATTTAATGATTTGTTTATTTTCTCTTCATTAAATTGTTGATTATTTGGCAAAAAAGGATTAATACATTTTAATTTGAATGAATATGTCAAGAATTGTGACAATTTTGTGTTTATTTTGCCATCTAGTTTTGATTGATTTATGCACAACACATAAAGTGTCCCATACTCATGGGAGAATAACAGGTTCAAGAATGAAGATTTATTTTGACAAGGCATATTTTAAATTCGCATTTCTTGAATTATCATGCATTATCACAGATTCACTAGTCTAAATATTGCATCAGTTATTGTAACATTTCAGACAATCAATGATCTTCACAATACAATACAATTGCTGAAACAGGACCAGAACAGGTGAGGCTTTATATTAGTTCATTTAGTTTGGGGCCATTTGAGGTAGGCTCAAAGAAAATAAATTGGGGTTGTGCTTTTTTTAAATGTCCGCATTAGATTTTTTAGTGGTGTTCCTCATTTCCTCTCACTTAAAAGTAGTTGGGTAGAGTGGGGTTGATGTAAGTTATAATTGAAAGTACAAGATATGCAGCATAAAAGTTTGTATCGCAAAATCTGAAGGTGGAGGAATGAGTGATAAATCTCCTTAAAAAGAGGAACTACAATAAGAGTGATAAATATATTAATAGAATAAGATATTCATATTCAGGAAGACACATTGTTACCAACTGCATTTGGAATTTACAATGTATACATTATCTGATTCAAAATGTAAGAATACTAAAATCAGAAGTTAGTTTGAATTTTTTATGTTCACCTGTATACCAACAGACTGAAGCAACAATCAGAGAAGCAGTTGAAGGAAGTCTCCTCAAAGTCAGAGAGCGAGAAACGTCAAGTGAAGCGCCAACACCAGGGGGTGCTGCAAGCTGTACAACAGGAAGTGGAGAACCAGAAGAGCCGTGTCCGGGCTCTGGAGAGACGACTTCAAACACAACAGGCAGAGAGTGAACAACAGGTAAGTTCAGATGTAATACAGTAACAGTACATATATGAGTACAGCATATATGTAGTACAGTATATATGTGGTACAGTATACTGTAAATAGGTAGTATAGTTTACAGTTCATGTGCATAGGTAGTTCAGTATACTGCAATTTGGGAAGTGCAGTAGAGAATAATATGCAGAATATGGTAGCACAGTATAGTGTACAGCTGTACAGTATTTTGAATTGTGTGTTTCACATTCTTCGAATATTTTGTACTTAATATAATCATATATGCAGCTTCGTACTATTGAGAGTCAAGGCCAAAAGTGTAAAATTGAAATAAATCATATTTTGATCCTAGAATGCGCCAAATAAGCCCGAAAATCCAAAACATTTTGAAATAAATCATATATTTTGATCCTAGAATTGCTCAGTACATGCCAAATAAGCCTAATAATCATACATTTTCCAGGGGAGCATGCCCCCGGAGCCCCTAGTTTTGTTCAGCCTATGGCCTCGGCACTAGTACTACTAATCCTGGCTACGCCCCTGAAATTAAACTTTTTTATTCTTATAATATTCAGCAGAGTCAGATGTCCAAAAATAACCCCTTTATAGTCAACTTGGCACAGTTGAAGAAACACTTGATCTGAATGAAAAATGATATCGGGGCAAATGATTCGATTTTGTCATGTATTTCAGATGACAGAGCTGCAGTTGGAGCATGCGGAGAAATCTAAAGGTCTGCTACCTGTGGCTGTCAGACAGGTACATTTATATACCATTAATTGGTGTTCTTAATGCCTCTGTCGCATTTGATCTACGGCAACCGTAGCTCCCCAAAATCGAGAGAAATATGCAGCATAAAATATAGGGATATGCAGAACGATGTAGATTTTCGTTATTCATTTTGTGAAGCTACGGCCCCCGAAGAGCAAATGTGACTGAGGCTTTAGATTCCCTTAGAAAAATACATGTAAAGGGTCAAACATTTCCAAAAATTGAAGTTTAACATGAGTTCGAGCATTGTAGAGCGTTTAGTTTATAGTATTAGATTTTATTGTATAGGAAGTGGTTCCCAAGTTGTCTGTTTGTCATATTCTAATCAATCATTTCTCTAGAATTTGTACACATGCTTTGTATTTTCCTCCAGGAATTGGAAGATACCATAACATCTCTGAAGTCTCAAGTGAACACTCTACAGCAACGTTCAAGGATGTTACAAGATGAGCTGGACTCTAGATCTAGTTATACACCAACCAGTACTAAGTCTCCTATACTGGCGTCATGATAATTTGCACTCACTGTATGCACAAATGTGCTCACGTGTAATTCAGCATTTCATGCAATTTACTGTATAAACAGTATTATTTAACTAGAATTCATTTGTCAGAAATGAATACTATTATTTAAGATTTTGTGTCAAACAAACATTTGATCATGGTGTTAGTGCACAAATGATATTCCGGAGAATAGAAATTGTGGATTCTGGGTCATGACCTCTCTTCAGTAATCAAGAAATTGATACAACTAAGTGCCCTTTATGTTGTATTTTATGATGCAATGACACTGAATTTGAAATATTAGAAAACCAGATATTAGGGAGGTTAAATTACATGTTTTTATAAGTACGTGAGTGTTTAATATTTCGACCCCCATGGATGACTGTCCTGGTGTCAATTCACTATTTCAGGGACCTAATTTCAATTATTTTCCATATACCTTTATACTCAATCAGCTAGCAAACAGAACAAATGGGAGAAATTATCCACAGAAGACCATTATTCTACATGACCAGTTTTTACAAACGTCTATATTAACCTCTCTATTATTTCTTCCATGATTCAAGGCAGATATAATGGTATCTCAAGAAGTGTCATATTTTGGGACAAACAGATCAAGATTAGAGGAGATTGAACAAAAAGTAATGTCATTTACATGTCCCCTTTTGTGGCTTTGAAAGAGCCATTTTGTCATACAAGAGTAGGTTTGCAGTAGGTTTAAACCTGGCTAGCACTTTTTCTAAGAAATCATGACCAATTCGAGTCATTTTTGGCTCATTGTGGATAAAGCAATTAAAGCATTTGTGACATTGTTTCATCACAGTGAGGACATGATTGCCACATTGTTGAAAACACACCAAAGAGAGAAATGTTATGTATTGTAAATCAATTATTTAATGAGGGTATATCATTTTAGTTGAACACACTGTTATCCCCCTCCCCTTTTTGCCAAATTGTTTTGAGAAGGTTGGCAGGGGAATGGCCATGTGCAAGATTTTTTTTATTGTAAAAATGTAGATATTATACTTATTTATAGTCCAATCTCTCCTGAAACATGAGGGTGTTTAATCCGTCCTTTGTATTTAGGAAGTAAGGAAAATTCTGTATTCTGCAGAAATTGTATTATATCAGTGTACATGTAGTTTTAGTTTTTTTGTATTATAACTAATTGTAGTTTTGCAAAACTTAATAAATTAAATTATAGCAATTTATTATTTATAGTTATCAATGAAAACGTTTATGTGACACACCAGTGTTATTGTTAGATGGCAGCACACTGCAATGAATTGGTCAATCTAAGACCAACCCATATTTGGAACAATGCAATGGGTTATAACAGGTTCAGTCAGCATGCTTATAAGCCACTTATAAGATGGACCTTCAACAGTTCAATGCATTTTATAAAGTTTGGGAATGAATTCAATTCATAATTTGTCCCAAAATAAGTGAAGACACCGAGCCTCTTGGCATATTTTACTCCATACTGTTCTTCTTCTTAATTTGGTGGATCCACAAAATTGTTAAAGTCCGCCAAATTAAGTAGCCACCAAATGTTCAAAACAGCAAATCTGCCAAAATGCATCAAATTAACTAGAAGTGCAGTAGTTTTTGCTCCACATGCTCATTATAAAAACATCCATTTAAAATGCTCTGGTGAAATGTACCCCCTTTTTTACTGCAAAAATCATGGGTTTGAGAATTACACAGAAACCAAAATGTGCACATCCGGCTTCTAATTCTTTTGGATGATCTTTGTCGGGTTCTTGAAATTATCATGTACATATAATTGGTTGGAGTCCATACAGTTCACAGCAAGGGTGTAACATAAGGATTGAGACAACTGTCAAATATGAGTAACATGTATAGACCAGTTGCCATGTATTTGCATGTTAACAAAATTTATTAGTGCAAGATCCAAAATAAATGGCTTAATATCTGAGTCTGTGTGTATGACGCAACCTTTACACTGCTTTGAGGTACAAGGTCATTTAAAACTATGTAAGCCTACTTTTCCCCACTCATTTTTAAAGTGAGGCGGTCAATCAGGGGCTTAATGTGACTAGCTCTTTTATTGTATTCTATGTATTTTATGGACTATACAATACCTAGCACATACACAGCCGTAAATATGGCCTAAATACAACAACACCGTTGTGTTCATAATTGGTGGATAATTATTATGGATACCGAATAGGGGAACAACTTCCTTCACTGGGATCAGATATCTGGATATTAGCCAATATATAATGGGCATGATTGATGATGTCACAATATCAATTCATCTAAGATTTGTCTTTCAAATCACAATGCAGCTACAAAATCATCCAGTTTTAAAATGTTACAATTCAGAGATTTGAAGTCCACATAAGGCGTTTGATCAATCATATTTCTTGGCATAGTTCATGTGAGAGTTAATTGTATCTTGGCATTTGAAGGTGGGAGAACCTTGACTATGTGAATGTTTTTCAGTTCTGTTGGACTGTGCCTTGACATCATAAATCCAAAGATCCGCAAATGAATTGTACTTTCTCAAATTCTCATATTATCAAAGTGATTGCAATACTGTATATAAAAAATGACCTGCAGATCCACAATTCTTTTACAATATGTGCGAACTTATGCATAAAATTGTTTAGGAGTCTATTAGAGCAAATAACTAACAAACGCAGTGTTATTTATGTTTAAAAATAAATGTACATTACAAACTTTATTTGTATCTAGTTGTACATTCTTACATGACCTTGACATTACACAGCACCATCTGTTGTCGAAAATTGGAATCATGATCTTGAAAACTAAAATGATTTTCTCCAGACAAAAGTTGTCTTCTGATGATATTTCCATTGATACTATATAAAGGTATGTTGTTAAATAATTAAAATGTGGTAACATTTTTTATTGGTTCCTGTGCTGATTACCATAGTTACGCTTTATAGTAGTACATGATAGACTAATGAGTATTTACAATGATGTTATATACAATGAAAATTTTACAATGAAATATTGACACTACATTCATGTACACGATTGTTGCGTAATCCTTCTTACATAAATAACCACCCATTGAAGGGCCACTACCGACTGGTTCTAAAAACTAAACTAAAACTTTGCCTACTTTATCAATATCATGACAGGACTATAAACATCATAAATGACATTGCAAAAATCTTCAGTGTTGATGGAACTGTATTGTGCAGAGGACCAATTACATGTGTATGACATCTGAATTGTAATTGCATCAGCCACAGAGGGTACTCTGAGGTATTGAGAATGGAGAATGGATTGAGACCATATCACTTTCCACATCTAGCACCAATTCTTGCAAATTAGATGGTGGGAATACTTCTTCGTTAAGAGAGAAGTACAAAAGAATATATTTAATATCTAATATTTTCATGGATTTTGTTCTGTTAGATGTACAAATGCATATAAACCACCATATGAATGTACCAATATTATGAATGTCTGGTAAATTGAAAATGGTCTTAAGACTAGAAATTTGACACCTTGATCATTGATGGGTCTGGATCAAAATACTAGAAGGATACACAAATAATATATTCCATTGCAACATTTTTTGGACTTCTCTAACTTGATAATTCTAGTTTACTTTGATATTATTACACAGCTTAATACATTTGTAAATATTGTTAACCATTTATGACCATTGAGTATATTCCATGTGTCATTTCCGTGCATCAAATTGCGTGCACATTTTGTGTCATTTTACAGGATCCTTTGTCATATCAAGGTTGTCGAAACACAACTATTCCATGTTTACTCGTGCACTGAAGAAAAATAGGTAGTAGTCCAATAGGATAATATCATGCCTATAAATTGTCTAATTGCTTCAATCTGTTAACTCCAAGTATATGGTCCATAACTGATACGAATATTACATCGAGCACTTGTTGAATAACACAGTCCTCTTATGCAAGTGCATTACTGTTCTCAAACTGAGTTTGAATCCACATTCAATGTTTATTCAATCTTCTCAACCTTTCCTACAATTTTCCCCTCCCACATTGGCAATATGGCGTGGTCATCAATGGCCTCCTCGTGTACAACTTCACTGCCAAAATCATTGCTAGCACACTTGAAGAAGTACCTGCAAATACACGAGAAAGAACATAATGTTAGTCCAAAATTCTAGTTTATTGACTATTTCGGTTCTGTTCAGTTTAACCATAACCTTAATTTTTTGTTGTTTTATTTACTGAGTAGCCATACTCCTGAATATAGCCAGTGTTTTTTGGAAATACAATTAACATTAAATTCTGTGTGTATATATGGATTATACATATTGGTATACAAACATGTGTACATTTAATATTATCATAAGAAAGTAAATACATTTCAGAGTGTTTACAATGAATTTAAAGATGTGGTCTACTTGGTCTGGCCTAAAGTTTATGATACCATCTAGTGCTGCCATCTAACAATCATAACAGAACCATGGTAATAAATAGAAGAATGAACCCACCACAAGCAGACAAGATTGTTCTTGCCAGACATGACAATTACAAATTGTAGTCACAAATCTTAAACCATGCTTTAAATCCATGTTCTATCTTAACAGTATCTCATCTCACAAAAAAAGTTTGGTCTTTTCATAAAAAGTCAACATTTGGTGCCATTGTTATAGGAAACGTGAAACTTTAACTTTGAACAAAGGGAAGGTTTGATATTTTCACTGTTACAAACCGGGGAACATTAGTGGTTATAGCAAAAAAGACCTCATACGTGAGCCACAAAACCACAACTCTATCAATGCCAATGAGAGAATGTTCAACTGCTTTGAACTGGAAATCCCCTGTCGATAGACAGTTTCCTTCAAATGACATTAAAACCAAGAGCCGACAGGATAAAAACAGTGTATTTTACTGAAATGATGACTACTGGATTCCACCCTTGTGGGATTATTCACTTCATGCTTTTATTAGCCAAATTTACAAAACAATTACTTCAGTATGAAGAAAGTTGGACTGAATTTTCAGACAAGGTCTAATCTTTTTTGCCCAAGAAGGAGACCACAATCGAGCTGATCTAATTGTGAGAGTTTTGTTGCTAGTTGGTATGATCTGTCCCCTCATGTGCCCCGTCATTATGATGGATGAGCCATCTACCACACAGTTCCACGCATCAATGTAGCATTCACAAAAACTACCTTTGAAAGTCCGCAGCTCTATTTGAAGTAAACCCCATAGAAATATTTCTGTGTAATTACAGGTTTAGCCTAACTAAAGAAGTATCATAGATCTGTCAAAATGAAATCTTTCAAAATTGATACTGAAAAAAATAATGAAAAAGAAAAATAGCCCCAGAGAAGCTAGACTTTTAAAAAGCATGGTTTATGAGTGAAACAGTGTAAACTGAATATTAATGAGCCAAGCCTGTTTGCCTATTTGTCATCACAGACACTTGGAGCAAAAGGTCGAGAATAAAGTGAATAATTTCTGGATAGACCAACTTTAAGATGTTAACATACAACTCTTTGTAGCACCTCATCTTCAGACATTCACTTATTTACAATTTCACAAGGCCTTTCTTGTATTGCTATAGGGGTTAAATATGTAGTATCATTAAATCAACAACTTATAGAATAAATTCCAGCAAAGTAAGGCAAGTGAACGCTATACTAAAATAAGATGCAAATATAGCTTTTTCTTTAAACCAACCTTTTACCGAATTGCTTTGAAGAAGTTACCATTGTTTTAACAACTATTTTCAAATGAGAAATTTATAGCTCTAAACTACATGCTAAAACTTGGACTTTCATTCAGTCAAATTATTTTTGGACACAGGAAGCAAATAAAACTATTTTGAAAGGTTAATGAAAAGAAAGGAGTCAAACAATACCATTAAGTTTGAAACCTTATTTTGTCATTTTCTCATATTTGATAGGTCAATTGAAGGTCACATGACCTGCATTATACCTAAAATGTATGATAAAGTGATATCTACTTGATAATTAAAATCTCTACTTTTAAACTTTTTATGACAAATTTTATGAAAAGTTGCCAGTGTTAAAACCAAATAGCTTGCATGATAGCCCCAATAAAACATCTCCTAGTCCCATTAACTACACATTTATGTTAAAGTCAAGAAAAATAGACACAGTTTTTTCCTATTTCAAAGTCTAGAATAAAGAAAATTGCCAGTTAATGTCCTTTAACCCATTTATTTCAGGGACTTGTTATCAACACAATAAAGCTCCAAGTTTGGAACTAAAGGGTTAAGAGTCACTAAGGTATAATTAATAATAGAAGTACATTAACAGGGACCAGAAAGGCATATTGTACCAATAATTTCTACTTTATGTGAAACTATAGAAGTAACCAACAAACTTTTATTTGAAAGAAACACATTTAAAACACCAATCTGGTCTATAAAGTCAAATGTTTTCAGTAGATCAATTCAACTTAAAAATGCAAAGGGTTTTAAATGGAATGTATTGTTAACAGCAGGTTCTTTCAGCTTAAAGGTTGACTAGTGATACCCAAGTCCCAGTGATAACTTGAAAACCATATTGCCATGGAAACTGGAGATGTTGAAGAAGCTGCATTCAGTAACAGAGAAACAGGAGTCAGTTAATTGAAATCTTTAACTGAAGTAAAAACAAATATGAACAATGACCTTACTACTTACAATTTCCATAGTAATTCAATTCACACAATACATATTACATATATGTCATAAATTGATACTCAGTGAATTTACCACTTTGACTAAAAGCTAACCTTTTAAAGCCATGGCTAGTTACCAAAATTACAACCCTGTATGGATAGTGAAGACTGTACACAGTAAACACTGTACTGGGTTATATAAACCATGGCTGGGCTTATGTAACTAGTACATGATAGCAATGTAGCTGCTGTATGTCTGAAACTGAAAATCCAACACTATAACCATGGACAAATTGTCAGCTTATTCTGAATACTCGAAAATAATATAGTTCACAGTGACCAGTTATCCTAAAGGAAAGTTCAATAGAAAGTTCAATGCATGGAATTTGCTTTATCTGTGTACTGTACACTGTATAGTGCTATCCAGTTTGTTGATTCAATCTGTTCTGGGTGAAAACTCACAGAGAATGAAGTTAACAGCCATAACAGCTATGACAGAGCGATTCTCAAATACATATTCTTTTATTCATAGACGAAAGTACATGCCTGAAGAGCACTCCTCCCATGATGCACCAGAATGTGGGATTGATACAGTACCTCCATTAGGACTGACCATCCTGCAATCAATGCAGGGGGTATCTTACACAATAAACTTCCTCTTGAAACCTCTATAAAGATTAACCCTTCCTTCACAAAATTTCAACATAATCTGATATAGACATCTCTTCAAGAGTTGAAGGGTTAATAGTATGGTGTTATCAATGTTCAAAGTGAAGCAATTCAACTTAATTGCATTCTGCCTCCAGTTTTATTGCTAAATCTTCAACTTTGGGTCCTTTTAGATTTTATATGGTACTGCTATCAGACAATTCACTTGACACAGGACCAGCATACATGCAGTGGTCAAATTCTAAATGAACCAGTCCTGTTGCAGAACCTTTTTTAGATAAAATGTTCATTGGTCATCCAAGTTCCATTGTCACTGGAAATTTTGGGATCCTTAATCTTGCCATAAAATATGAATACAAAGTATAAAATCTCCAAAAATTGAATGAGAGTTCTATGAAGTAATGAAATTCTTACTGAAATACACAAAGTTAAACTCTGGAAAGGGCAGAATAAGAGTGAATAAGAGAGAAAAACAAGAGAAATTTGTTGAATGGTTGAAACAGCTGAGGAAAATATATAGGTCACTAAATACCAATGGTTACAACTACCCACCATATGAGTTCAACGAGTCCATACACCAAAACAATAGTCACTTTCAAAATAAAGACAAACATTTTAAACTGTAATCCTATATCACATGTTTACATAAAAAGGATCATGGGTGATATTGATTCTTGGAGCAGCCTCTTCATTTACTTCATTTTCTCAGTTTTTCAAGGAATTTTGATGAGAAAGTATACAAGGGTAAACTGTTGAAACTCAAGCTCACTTGAAACATACTGCTTCCAGCCACAGATCTATATACCTCTGAACTAGCCTTCTATCATAAGATGGATAGAATTTCACATGAATTCCACTTGAAGCAGAACAAAATCTTCTCAGTTTCAGGAAGTTTCACCTAGCAAAACCAGGGCCATTACACATCTCACCAATTATGCAAAATTGTAAAAACTTTGTTAAGAACTCATACATACTCCTGTTTTGTTACAAAAAATAATAATTAAAAGCCAAAGATATAGTCCATATGCTTTAATTCCAGAAAACTGACAGAAAATATTGGACTTTATCTTCATAATACATTGATGCCTCTGTGCATGTTCTCCTCACTATGTTCTCCTGAACATCCATTTTGGTACTAACTTTTTCTAAGTTTCACAAGTTTTTTTGTTTTCAAGGCCTGTGAGTGCAAATGTATTGAGGTTCCCAGGCAAGGTAGATAAGGTATACAGTTCCTACCCACTGTTAGATAACAGAACATACAGTACTTGCAAAGGGGTCGCATCAAAATAACAATATATGGCCAACCACCATTAAAATCAATTTGGGGGCAGAAAGGACTAAAAGACTGATAACTAAAAGCTAATGCTTGTATTAGGGGAAGGATTGAGTGCAGTCAAACAGAACTAACTATGCATATTATGCATTCATACTTTCTTGTTATCACTTTTATATATATAATGATATAGAGCAGTTGAACAGTATTACAGGGTTGCACTGTCAAAGGCCAATGTTTGGAATTCCAGACTTTGGTAATCTTGGAATTTTTTAATGTAAAAGGTGAACAGGTTAAGTCAATTACACCAGTTTGCAAATACAGTCTAAGCAAAAACCAAAGGAAACAAAAATGTAGCAGCTGATAATTCAAGACAACATATATTAGAACTGTGTGTAAAACTGGTAAGAGTCAGAAACAAAATTGAAGTTTTATGTATCAATACATTTATACTCGTAAGTACTTGCACCAAAACATGAACCACAGTTAAAAAGAATTAATGATGTTATCAAGCCAAAGTTTGGCAATGTAAGCATTCAAAATGACCTATCGGATGAACAAAAACCTAGTTTTGCCTAGGGGTTTGCTAAAAGTGTACACATTGACATTTTCTTGAAGTAACATTAAATATGAGCTATAACATCCAAAGATAAGTTGATAACAAACATAAACATATATCAATGTTTCCCAGACGTATTACACACAAATGATTCAATTATTTTGACATCCATCCAAAGTTACCAAACATGGATAATAACTTCTAGGTGATAATGGACTAAACACATTTTCTCTACAAAGAGTTTAACAACCCAAAGGCACATATTTGAAATGTTTTTTTTTCCAAGACATACACAAGCAATGTCCTATATTCAGAGAGCTATATCAGGTGTAAATAGGCTGCCATATTTTAATTTCAACAGCAGTGTAATTAAGTTGGGCTCTTCAACTTTGATATTAACTTTGTGTTGTTTAAACCATATATCCAAAACCTCCCATTACATAATCATCATATAAACACTTACCTATAATTTCCTTTCTTGTTGATGAGTGCCTTAAACTGTGCCAAGGTGACAATTTTCCCAGGAACAGATGTCCTGTAGGGGATGGGGTCAGCACAGAAATAGTAGCCCACGATGGTACTGTCAACTTGGGATGGTGTTGATGGTGCACTATGGGTCGTTTTCTTTGACAATTTTTTCCTGAAATAGATAAAGGAAGCGTTGATTCTATCAATGACACAATTAATATAAATGGTTCATTTGATATATATATTTTTACTTGCAAATATTTTTATAAGAAAAAGTTGTAAAAAATACTTTCAGACATTTGATTATTTGCTTCTTCTGTGATTAAAATAGTTTTCCCTTTCAAATATGTCAAAGATTGTTACACAGTCATTATTGGGCAGATGACAGGTATAATTCCAAAGTAATGACCAGATAAGTACAGGGACTCATTAAAATGAAAACTGATCAGACGTAATGATATTGTTGAAAACATTCTTCTTCATTGCAAGTGAAAGGATCATCAATGTTACATCTCTTTTTGATGGTTCACCGTATCATTTTCTCATCTTTTTGAACATATTGTCGCTGAAAGGCCATTAAATCTTCAAACGATTTTAAAAAGCAAATGTTATGCCTGTTATGTCTGCATTCACCTTGAATTGAACTACATGCTAAAACCAAGTGAAGTTTCATCATTGAGCATAAAGCTTTTTTAACTTGTCTTAGATCTTCAAATGCAAATATAAATGACAATTTCTTACAAACACACGAGTAACAATACATAAAAAATAGCCCTGCATACAGGCTAGTAACACATAATCATCTCAAGACAAACTACGCTAAGTTACAGGTTACAACAGAGTCCATGGCAGAACTAATTTTGTATTTGAAGATATCAGACAAATGAGAGCATTAATGAATTTTCTATGAATATTAAAAATGAAATTGAAACTTACTCATTTTGTTTGTTTGCAGTGACAGCAGACTGAGGGATGTCATCTTCCTCTGTGGTGGTAGATGGCACTTTCATCTGTGGGGGCAACATCTGTGTCGGCTGACCATAGGGAGATGGGGTGCGTTTGTTGATCGGGTTTGTAAAAGATCTATAAAGTAAGAGAAACAATTTGTTAGTTTTTTGTGTGGTGAAAGTCGTGTTATGAACAGCCCTAATTCACAGCGTTGATGAATTGTACGCAGTTTAAGTTGACAGTCCTTCCATAAACCATTGTGTAACATGCAATGTCAGCATTATAACTTGTCAGACTTACTTTGACTGTCGAAGACGTGTGAATTTTGCTGCCTCTGTCTCCTCAAGGCGTCTCTTAGCCTCCTCGAGCTGTACCGTGGGGTTGGGAGGTGGTATAAGGGGCATGGAGGGGTCAGTCGCGAAGGGCTGGCTGGGCTTGGCAGGCACCGAACGTTCCAGTGATCCAGGCCTGCTGGCATTGTATTGTAATGGCTGCTTAGGTGGAGCCACAGACTTAGGTTTGCTAAAATATCAATTTACAATATGTTCATTACCTCATGACACTATCTATTAATTCAAATATAAACATACATATTTTAATTAAAAAATCTTTTAAAAGTTATTTTGTATTGAGGTTTATCAGTCCACCAAGCAGATCCATCTATTATTGAACATGGTTGTTGATGTAATATGACAGAAAGAAAGTAAGCAAGATATGATGAAAACAATGTCATTTGGGGAGTTTGGGACTTACTTTTGCCTGTGGTGAAGTGCAGGGGAAGCATTTGTAGACAGAGACCTGTGCGAGGAACGTTTTTGCGAGGAACTTTTCTCAGAATCTGACTGTGGGGCAACAGTTGAGCCAGTTACTTTCTCATTATCTAACATCCATGCTAGAACCCTGCAAGTACAGTGACATCACATGTTAAAATGAAAATCTTTTTCAAATATTCCTCCTCATTGATTAAACACAAGCATTATATTGGATTTCCTTTTATATTGTACATGCACCATCTTTAACATTGATTTCATTCTCCATGTCAGAGACGAATGCAGTTGGCAGTTGAAACATGCATGGTAGTATCATACTTGCTTAGTCTTGCACCAAGCCTCTGGTCTCTATTCTCCTCAGAAAATGTATACATAAAATTGTAGTATTTTTCATTTATTTCATCTTTAAATAAAATTGTGTATGATGGGGATTACACAACAGCTAGATGTAAAACTAACATGATAGGGCTGTGGTATGCTATTCCCTGCAAATTCTTGACATACGAAATCTTAGAAACGGACAGATGATAAGTTTCGGGAAAGCTTCAAATAATCTTCTACATCATATTTCAAATTTCCAGATTCATCTTCTCTTCCGTTTTAAAGCCAGAATCAATAACAGGATTTATTCAGAAATGTTCAAAGGGTCGGATGAAAATCTTAACATCAAAGGCAAAATTGATATTCAAAAAAATCACAGATCTATTTGCTATTTAGATATGAATCTAGTATTCAAAAATGATATCCATAATGCATGACCTGCACAGAATACTCATTTCAATACAATAAAATACTGGCTGATTACCCTAATATGCAAGACACAATATTTGCAGTGTCAATTTCAAACAAAACCTGGTCTAAAAACTGCAGAAAACTCAATTCATGAGACAAATTGAACAGGTTTCTACCATATGTTGTCATGAGTAGGATGTGTAGAAAGATGTGAACAATAACCACCTTACTTAGACTATCATAAGTTTCAAATCTCTCATTTACCGCCATAAAATGAGCAAATAGGCAACCAAAGAAACAAATAACTATAAACATAAGAGAAATGGATGATGGATAAGTTGGACAGTTTTGTATATATAAAACTTTAAATTGAAATCAACATCTGAAATGGTTTGGTAGGGTACCATGAAGTTTGTACTAAGCTGCCTCTCTAATCAATGTAATGGAACCACCCAGGTCCAAACAAAGGGACCTCTCTCCTGACATTCCACCACTAACAGCCTTGGCAGATAGCCCCTATGGTAACATAAAATTGAAATTTAGGGCCTCCTTATTTTCTCTATTGGCCTATTAATGCTATTACATTACATATAAGAGCATCAGGCCTGGCCATTTGGTGTAGATAGTACTGTAAAAGAGGTAAGCAGATCCCATGATATTGCATTCAATATCATGGACAGTTGGTCAATTGATACCATGTGATGTATAGATAGAATTATGGGTAAATGCTTCTTGTGATACAAGCAGATACAGACCACCCTACATTCATAAAAGAGTTAGTGTAGTTTTCCTGACAAGAACACCATGCTTGGGCCATGTTTCACTAGACATTATTGCCCATATGGATTACATTCATCTTTATGATGCAATAACCTAATCCCTGATCTCATACACATGATGTGTCCTGTATCTATTCCAAGCTGGCCCTGATTGAGTATAATGAAAGTATAGAGCATCAGGGGCAACACAATAAGTTGATTAATGTCTGTTGATTGCTACCTGGTATATATTACCATCAATAGACCCCACACCTGCAAGTGAAGCCATGGACCTATCATCACATGAACCACCTATATACTGTACAGAAACACATCTTATAGTTCTCAACTTTCCAGCCATGTTTTAAATAATTTAGCACATGTTATCGTAATCTCCCAAGGATTTTTTCTGGTGGTGGGTGCAAAATTCTCATTTTCACAATTCAGACCAAAATTGGTCAAAATATGCCAATTCTTATGATTTTTCTTAATTTCAAGTGGGTGCAAATATATTTTCAGGTGGGTGCTGGCCAATTTTCAAAATCTCAGGTGGGTTCTGCGCCCACTTGCTTTAATGCTGGGGAGATCACTGTGTTATGATTTCCTCGTGCTTTACTTGTAGTGATACTGACTATGCTCCAAATGAAAACCAGTTATCATTTTTTCTTCTACTTGTTGAGGGTGCAGACAAATGCACCAGTATGCATGGCATGATTTGTATTAAATGAGTGCAGTACTCAATGACAAAACTAGGGGCTGGCAATAGGGCCTAGGAACAATTCAAGTATTCAGTTATTAAACAATTTACCCCCAGCACTGTATAATATCAGTTGTCTTATTTACCTTGGGGCCTGTCAATTATTTTCCTTTTCATCTTATTTAAAAAAAGTTTTAATTTCTTTGAAAGCTTTTTATTGTCAAGGAAGATACTTAATCATTCTTATATGTCAGTGCCGCAGTATAAATATTTCACTGAGTAACAAGCTCTCAATATTTTCTTTACTTTTTGAGTGATTATAAGCAGTTGAATAGACCAATTAAGTGTAATCATGCATTAAATGTAATATCATATCCTCCTAATAACTATTTAATGTGACTACCCTGCCTTTGAAGTTCCTCAATATTATAGGATGTGTACATAAAAAGACAAAGCGCCATGACATCAATAACAAATAACATAAAATACAAATAATCTCAATAACGGATAATTTCTCGTTTCCAACATATCTGAATCGCAGATTTCAGGAACCTCTAATCAAATCGCGGCATGGAAATCTAAAAACAATTAAACCTTTAGAAATCAAGCTGGATGTAGAGAACTTGCTAAGAATATTGATCAATCCCTTTAAATAAACTGTCTAACATTTCTTACTTTTCCAGGATAATTGCACAAAATGAACACAAAACTAAATAAAAAACAAAGAGTAACTTTCGCCACAAGTTCCCATGCATCTGAATCACAAAAATCAACAAGGAAGAGTATTCCGTTTTTGATATTTCAATAAAGGCAAAAGACGCCTCCACAATGTGATTCAGTCTGCAAGGGTAGAAGCATTGTGTGGAGGAAAGATCAAAGAACAAGTTGGAATCATGGCATCATTAACGCTCATCTGTCTAGTGTCACTTCAAAGCTATCTAGTTAATCTGGATGTATTGCACACAATACATGTGTTTTATCAATACACTATGAACACACTGCGTGTCCATTAATCACATGCAGCACCATTAATCACCAACGTCTGTTTAAACACAACTTTTTAGAAAATTGTTGTGTTCCATTTCTACTAATTCATAATATTACAAAAGCAAAGATATACATTTTTTTCAGAATGATGGTAATGATAATGTAGTTGTTTATGAGCATAAGTTTTCAAATACCTCTCCAAGAAAAATCTATTTCTCTGTTTTTTATTTGTATTGATTTATGTGGGTTCTTTTGAAATAATAATTTCATTGAATGATCTTCTTCAGGCTCGTTGGTAGGTTAATTAGCAAAAAACACAAATGGGCTATATATAAACCCTAATTGCCCTATGACTGTGACCCCCTTTGAACCCTGAGAAACCCTCAATACATCCAAAAACAACTGACCCTACCAATGCCTGCTCTTATTTATTACCATTAACTGTTTTTATCAATATCTTTTTGAGATGATGAGTCAAATTCCATCGAGCATGACTCTCTTTATATAACCAGAAAACTATTTTTTATTATAACAAAGAATCATTGATTCAAGCAATTCGTATCTCAAGCTGTAGAGTGCCAGAATTCGTTTTAGATGCAAAGGCTTATTGAGTACTGATCCGACATCAAACGGCAATCTCTAATCATGTGTAAATGAGAAGCTTTAAATGTTTCGATAAACTAATACCTTTGACTGTACTGGATAGTTTCCATTTTTCACCCATTTGTTACTGAAACAATTCCAAGTTAATTATTGATCAAGCAATCTGACTAGCTGAACTATCAGAAATATTTCATTGGTGAAATCGAAAATGACCAAATGTTCCCCTAAATGCTGAGTAGTATTCATTCCACACAAGCTCCCCACATCACAGAACAGCAAAAATGACTGAAGGATAACAGATGAAGGAAACGCAAAATTATAACTTTGAATGATATCATACTTGCTCTCTTGTAAAGTGATTTTTGTGGAATTTTCTTCCTTAATACTTCATATGTTCAAAGCAAGATAAGTTGTCCCTCTGCTGGTGGTATAGAATCATCAAAGAGTGCCAATGTTACATTTCAGAACACCCACTAGATTATATTTTCAGCTGAAGCTGTAACCAGAAAAACCTTGGACCAAATCTTACATTGGAAGAAAACCTCCTTATTCCATTATCAAACCCTTTGCCGAAGCAGAAGCAAATGCCTTTGAGCATGATCCCACACAAAACCAACAAATGAATATTTCTTACTAAGTCCAACAGAATAAACTGTAGATCTATAGCAATCATGGACTAAACCAGAAAGTTAACAGGGTATCATAGAGTTCATTTGTTTGCTGGAATTTCCCTTTGATGTGTAATTATCTATACGCCAGCATTAAAGCCATGATTGATAGGTGGACATGGTAGGGCTAGATATTGACAGTCGAGTAATTAACGGCATCAACTTCAGGTCCTCTTGCTATTGATCCATGCAACAATGAGCCAACCTTGCAGCCAAGAGAGAGAATATATCTTCTTGATTATGTTGCTTGGGATTTTAACCATTCATTCATCTGAATCTCAATTGAATATTTGAGATGTGAGAGTTATTTCAATGGAGCCAAAGCGCATGACAAAAAACTGAATAATAGAAAGTGTGACATAAGAATTGAACAAAGGGTGTGTTTAAAAAGTATGACATAAGAAAATGGCTAAAAGACGAGATATATGAAACAAGGTAAGGGATAACATGTAAGATAATGGGTAAGGGTAAGGGATATGGGATAAAAATGGACAAGGGGTGTGGTACTGGTAGACACAAGCCCCAAGGCAAGGGATGCATAACAAAAGGGCCTTGGTAAGGGGTGTGGCATTAGGAACTAGAGAAGGTATAAGGATGTTCTTTAAACAGCTATTGACAAGTTACAAGCAACTTGAGATAACTATGATATGATAAGAATAGATAATAAGGTAATTAAGAAGGAGATAATAAATAAACATGTAGAAACTATTTTACTTGGAATCACCCAATGGCCACTATGCCATCTCTGCATGTGTTTTTCACAGTGGCCTAACCATTCCACTTTCTGCAGATGACGAAATTCCAGTTTTTCATTTATCTTCTACAGTTTACACTTTTATGAAAAAGTTTCGCAGAGTTGCAGCTAACTTGAATGATGGACCATGTATTTTAGAGTGAACAATTCTTCAGATTTTGTGAGGTATCCCAGGAAAACCCGAAACAAGTAGCAGCAATTGTTGAACAACTGTTGTTATCCATCACAGGTACTTACTGGGAGTCTTGGACAGGCAGTAACATTACAAAGCTGTGACTCAATCCACCTTGAACTGAATATAATCTTACCAACCATGAACCCTTGCACATCACAGTACAGGTACATATATGTCACTTTGAGCCTGAACCGCCCATAGAGATATTAACAAATATATTAATGCTCACAAAAAACATTGCTCTGTGTAAACCCTGGCCTTAAAATCTGAGATCTATTCCAAGGGATGACCTCTGCTCTATGTACATTTTACCAAGGCACACTGGGGTATGGGTGGAGCTGGAAGATTTATGATAATTCTAACATTATTTTGACAACACAACTATTCCACCCTTATAAGCTGTTTAACATTCTACTCAATCTTACAGTCAAGTTTTTTCACATAACCTCACACAACAGGAACACATAATTTAAATCATGTTTTCAAAACAAAAATCATTTAATTGAAATCAAATATGAAACAAAGCAATATTCATGCAGCAAGTCTGTGGTCCCCCTACCCTATCTATTTCACCAATAGGTGTCAGTGTGAGTGTGTTCAAGAGAAACTGAGGGGAGCACATAAGCACGATGCAAGACTACAAAACTTGAATATCGAGTATTGCATTTGTCACCATGGTGCCTTAAACTACCATACTGCAGGTTCTGCATGAATGTATATTTAGTAAGATAAATATAAAAAAAATATTGCACTTACTTGGTGTTATTTGGATCACTTGGATTCGGCAATAGATCATGTTTTGGTTTATCATACACCATGCTGACCCCACTATCTATGTTACTGCTAGTTTCTGAACTCTTTGTCTTCGCTGTTGAAGTCTTTTTGCTGGGCCTCCCCCTCCCCTGTTGTTGCTTTACAACCTGGTCTTGAAGTCCCTCCATGGAGAATTTACCAGCCTCCCCTTTGTATATAAGGGAAGGGTATGCGCGCCTTTGGGCTTCTATTTCCATAGCAGTAAGGTGCTTACTTTTAAAGTCTTTGCTAATATGGTGATGATGATGATGAACATGGTGAATATGTTTGTGCCCATGCCCATAATTATCTAAGCTACTGTACATAGGTGTATGTGCAAGGCCAGATTTATCGTCGCCAACCCCACTATCCCCAGAGTATGTCGACAAGTATTCTTTGTCTTTTTTATTTTTATGAGGCTTATGTAGGGTCCCAGGTAAGCTGTGTTGTATTCGAGCAGCCCTATCTGGAGATTTTTCTTTTGGACTATGACGCCCGGGAGAGCGGCTGGGTGTCTGCCCGGCTGAACTCTCCCATACACGGGAACAATGGTCCTCAAGGATACTTTGTGCTGATTCGTCCGCTCCACCTACTGTTTCCATTAACTTCTGAAATGCGAGCGTCGCGTTGGGGACATCAGCAGCAGGAGGGGCAAGTGCCGATTTAGACACCGATGATGCCATCGAGATACTCCGTGCGTCCATACAAGACTCCTCACCCTGGAATCACATGACATATCCCATAATGCAACAAACAATCATAGATAAAGAAATGATTAACAATCAGAGTAATTAGTCCAACATAAAATATAAAACCAGAATGGGTAAAGACAACACTGCTGATATAAGAGTACAGTACATATCCCATAATGCAATTCTCTCAGATGATATGATATTCATATAAATCATAAAGCATCAAAAGGTTTCAAACAATGATTTAAGTAATTGCAATACAATCTAACTTAATGCCATTTTTAATGATGAAAACAAATTAATTGTCCATATTAAATATCATCTCATATCAAAGAAGCATTAATATTAGATTGTGTTCACTTCAAAGGGAACCTCCATGGAACAATCTAATTAGCTTTTTATATCAAGTTGATGCTTCTAAAATCTAATGAAATTATTGCTTTGAACAACCATAGAACTTTTTTCTTGCTGCAATTTATCAAAAACAATAAAAATGAGTGTGAAACATAGCTAATATTTCAAACAACCGATACTTAATTAAAAATGATTCCTTTGAATTTAGTGTGGAATGAAATGATATAAATAACCACCTCTTCAATTGTTGAAAGTTCACAATGAGCTGATGGAATATTGTAATCCAGGTTTTTATAGAAAAAGATGTCCTCATCGCAACACGCTAAACATTCATTTCTCATGTCTATATATTTTTCTGAAATATCTTCACAATTATTCCTGTTTTCAAAATTATCAGAAATATCCTCAAATTCGGTATGCATTTCATCTAAGCCTTCATTTGTCATCTCCATATTTTCAACTTCATGAACCGTGTTCATATAAGGATGCTCCTTAATCGCATATTTCAAACCTATATCTCGGAAATGATGCCGCGTGTGGAATAAATCCATCCCAGTGCTCATATCGAACATTGTTTTTGAATTGTTCAAAATATTTTGTCTAATTGCTAAAAGCTCCTCCATCTGAGTTGGCTTCAACTCCAATGGAATAATTTGTTGAAAATGACAATCCACGGGTCGATGATGCCTCACGTCAAGGTAGAAGTGTGTCTCTATACAACGCACACGCTTGCAGTTTAAAGCCCTCCTTTCCACTAATGACTAATAGCTGGTATTGCAGTATGCATGCAAATGTCTCAGCAACTGCTAGCAACAATTGAAATTATTTAATTAATATCTCTGATGCTTAAATAGCTGCTGGTGCTATGATGATTGTTGTGATCAAACTTTAGCACCTCCGTTCTAGAGAGCCCTCACAGTGGGCGCTGTATCTACAGCTAATTTTGCTCTTCTCTCGTACCCACCCGCAACTCACTAGCAATTCAAGTGACCAATTTTCGGTGATTACTATCTCAAAATGAAGGAGAGAGTCCAATTCCAATAATAAATGAATTTGCATCATGTATATGACAATGATACATGCTATCTGTTCTAAAGGCCAATTGGTGATTTCATCCAACCAGTGAGTGTCCAGTATAGAATGTAGAAATCAATAACCAGGAAACATCAAACATAAGCAGGCTTTGATCCCGTTATCTAGATCCCTTTATACAACATCATCAATCCAGCAAAATAACTATTTAACTTAAACACAATGTTAATCTATGTCGTGTGATCTGTCCAATTTGTTCTTCAGGGATGAGAAATGATGACACAAACATGACTCCTTTACCCTGAGAGTGGCCACTGAATCAGAGCTTGACTGACACTTTCGCAGAGCTAGCCACTAATCAACGTCACTTTTATATGACATCATACTGTCTGTAAACAGCTCAATGAAATTATTGCGCTAAGATTAGTAGAGAGGTGAATGATGAATTTGAGTATTAATCAAGTTGATAGCTGGATGGCCATAGAGGGGAGGTTAAGTTAAATATTGCATGTAGAATATTGTCACCTTCTCCTTTGATCTTAACATCAAAGTAAAGTTCCCCAGTTCAGAATCTTAGCAGTTTATGCCATCTAATCATATAATAGGCTGAAAAGCTTTTGTTTTTCAATGCGTTGCATCAAAGTAGAGTTTGTTTCTTCTGGAGTTTACGGGGTAATAGTGTTAGCGCTAAATGTGTTTATAAAACACTTGGGGGACTTAGGATGTTTTCCAAGTCTTTGATATCAGTTTGCCGGTCAACTCACAAACATTTGATTTCTTGCTATTTATCACCAACACAAGTCTCACATTAAAGTTAAGAATGGTCTCGTTGTTAGAAAATTCACATTCGTCAAAGAGTTGATTTTGTTAATTCTTGAACTGGACTCAAATTAAGTAAACTTCAAATAAAAACTTTTTCATTTTTAACTTTTGAAAAGAATTTCAGTCTGATAAAAATTTGATCTTTAACATAACCTTTGCTAAGTATCTGTCAGAACAAATGCTTATTGATTTGGTGTTTACATTTTATTAAGTGAAATATTAACTTTCAAGTATATTTATCTTAAACTTGTGAATGTGAACTTGAAAGGGTAATGCCGAATATTTCACCAGGCATTATGAATTAATGATTTCTGACCTAATATTGCTGAAGTAAATGTAAAATGATGACATTGACAAGATGAGGGGTATAAGTCATCATTATATAAAATGCATCAAAGTGAATTATCTTCTTCATCTTGATTCTTTATGAGCAACTTCTATTCCATGTTCAAGACATCAAACACTTGATAAACCTTATGACAAAACTATATTTTTCTTGTGAGAACCATCACAAAGGATGATTTTTAATGACCAATTATAAAGTACAAAACTGATGCAGCTCTCCTCATAAATCAGTTATTTCAACTGAGGCGCAATCCAGGCGAAAATACATCATTTAGTGTCTACGATATGAAAGGGTCTGCAATTGAGATTGGGGTCTCACTTTAATATTCAGCAATTGGAAGCTATGAAATCTTAGATGTTTCATTGTTTTACATTCATCACATCTCTCCTCAGTCACTGATGAAGTAAATCTATATTTCATAACGCAGCCCACCTTATACTTTGAAACTCGTCATCAAAGCTTTGAGGCTGTCTATAAAGGCCGGAGAACAAACGATACACAATGATGAAAGTCAGCAACAAAGTAACAAATTCTACAGAACTAGCGTGCTGTCAGAGGACATCGCAATAATAGAGAAGTATTTGATCTAATAGGTTGTAACAAGTCCTGTCGAGTGCTCTCAATATCAGCATAAACCAAGTGAAGTCAATTGCCGCTAACAAATTCTCACTTGTTGACGAACTTTTAAGTTTTAATTTCCCTAACAAAGCAATCGGATATTCCCATTATGCTTGGCAATATATGATATGAAGGCTCAATTCTAATTGGATAGATTAAGTCACATGGTTTGAATAAGGGATTATGGGAGGACATCGTCTCTAGTTCAGCAATAAATGAGATAACAGGTATTTCCTTTGAAGAATCTCTTCTGAGATGTTTAAATAAATGAGTGACACTTTCCTGAAATTAAAACTTGCATTGAAACTGCAACACAGATAGAACTAAATGACCTGATAATAACTAGATATGCGATAGACTCTTACCTCACTTGCGCTTACTCGACCCAACATTGATTCCATGCGCTCATCCGCCTCGCGTTTGTCTTTTACAGACAACAGGCGATCGATCAGGTCAGAAGCAAATTTGGCAGGATCAGTTTCAGCAATATTGCGATCTTTGGGTGCTCTTTCAGTTCGCTAAAATAAAACATTGGCAAATAAATCAAGGGACATTCCATAAAAATCAACATTATCAGATTATTTTGCAACAATAACACTTCCTTTGAACATAATTTTCTATCGTTTGTAGTTCGTTTCAGGAACAGAATAGCAGAGGTTTTCTATTGAAATGCAAATCTTTTCACTTGTTTTGTGAAATTAGATAGGACATGAAAGCTTTAGCTTTGTTTCTAATTATTATAATGCAACGAGCAACTGTGATCTAACTAAAGATTAAAGAAACATTTCTTGATACTTAATCTCCTGAATCAGGCAACTATATTTTCCATTAGGTATTTGATATATTGGGGAATCAGATGCACTAGTGGCAACAATTAAAAACACAACAACTGTGAAACCTGGACAAGCGTCCCTGCCACTACAGAAGAGAGGTATTAGTACTATAAAGGTACTAAATGGAGGCACTAAATAGAGAGGTACTTACTGGTTTTACAAGCAGCATATTCAGTGATGTATCTTTGTTCTTGGCAGCATCTCTGTGCATTGACCTCTGTATTCGCTTTGACTTCCTGATCGAGTATCTCCCATGTATTGGTACACCATCACTGGAAATACATAATAAATAAAGAGTTCTTGAATCATGTAAAACTATGTCATATATTCAAGGCATGGTGAATCAACATTAGACAACAGGATTGTGCTTTAAACCTACATTAACAGTTTCTGTAAATGACATGCTTCTGAAGACTCCAAAATTAAAGAAAATTCAATATTTGCTAAGACAGCTCTTAACATGCATATCTCTCACAACCTAATTACCAATACATCAAATAAGTAGAAAACCTGCAATCTATTTAAATAAAGTATTCGCTTGACATTAATAAATAGGGTTTAAAAATACACAGTATTGATAACACATAGGAAATAGAGCTAATTTGATGCAAGTTCTGATGACAAGCTGCACCTTAACTAATTTGGAATGTGATGAAGTCAGAATAAGTTTGCACTTCATGACAAGAAAACTATTAACTTAATTTTTCAAATTGATTAACCTGTCTTATAATGACAGAATTTAACTGGTATGAATAAAGCTTCCAGGTTATAAACTGTTTATAAATATTTATTTGCTTCAGTTTTGACCTACATCTAGGTGATAATAGACATAATGTCGAATACTAGAATGTGTTTTTTCTGGAAATATGACTTGAGGTACAGCCTCACTCAATCCTGATGAAAATCATATATTCCAAACACTACATCTGTTAAAACACAAGAGCTTTATCAATCCCATATTTCTTCATAAGATTCTCAATATTGTGCCTAAAAGACTTGCTAATAAAGTTGTTAAAGGATTCTGGGATCCCAAAGTTTTATGTGTTTACCTATTCAATGCATTCATCAACATTTATTCAAGTAAAACATCTGACCTTTACCAGATCTATGTGAGGATATTGAGCTGAGGAACCCGCAAAGCAAGCATTCTGCATATAAACACTCACTATACTATAAAGAACCCTGAATTTGCTATGTGGTCCATGGTGGCAGCCTGACCTATTGTGGCCTTTGTGTAAAACACAGTGATGTCATGTTCTTTCCTCTGAAACTTAAGGGGGTATGAGACCTTCCTTATTTTGGGACTATACAAAGAAAGCTTCACTCATAAGAAAACACCTTTTATATGAAGAGGCGTTTTGTATACTGTAAAAAATCCTCTTTTCTCTTTCAAGCAACAAAAACTAAGTTATAACTAAAGTTAATTTGTAACAAAAACATAAGTTGGGTCTAACTCAGAGCTTTGATTTACTCAGCTTGATTTTGATAAACATCCGGACTCCGTTGAGTAAAACACAAGTCATTTTTCATTTTATTACGACAAATGCACTTTCATGACAAAAAAAGTAACTTTTTAGTGTCTTACATCAAAATTGATATGTGAGCTTAGCTTTGAAGTGCGAGCAAATGTATCTATTATAGATATATCACTCCTTTACTCTGCCACTCTTTACACTGCCAGTCTCATTAATTCTTCTCTATTCAACAACTACAAGTTTCACTCAGCCGATGGGATCAAATACACATTAATCATAACTTGAAAGTGAAAATGTACAACTTTTTTCAAATTAAAAACTACTTTCACTCACTTTAAGATGACCAATGTTTTATGTTTCCTCAGAACTTGTTTGATGTTTTGTTTTTTGCGGATGCTTTGGTATGTTGACTGCCAGTTATTATAAACTAAGAAATAATCTTAATGACGTCTAAGATTATGATAGTCTGGTTTGTATTTCTGCAATTTGCTTTATATTGGCTAATATAAGCGAAATAAAACTAGCATATAAAAAATTCATGGGTAATAGTAAAGTTGCTCATGAAATATAAATGAAAAGAAATCTTGATGGTCCTGATTTATCCAAGGTGGCAGGGAAAATGTGAAAGGGTTTCAAAAGTATACTTCTCTCGAATTGATGAATAAAAATATTCATGGTTTTTCATGGTTATAGTTAGTTACCTTTAAGAGTATAATTCCAAATCTTTAAAGAGCTTCATTTTATACAGTAATAACACTTCTAGCCTTGGGACACTTGTAATCATAACTTCAGATGAAAATTCGGAAAGAGAATAATAAAACTTTCAGATGATTTAAGATATCCACATGCTATAGAGGTTCGCAGCACACCTGCACAAATCAAATCTGTTTATAAGTAGATAGATAATGTTCCAACACATACAAGTTTTGTCAACAAATCAACAAGTATGAAGGCCTGATTGCAAGAGTCTGACCTAAATACCCCAAACTTCTATTCATTTAACTATTTGGGTTAAATCCCTGCATCAAGATCTACTTTAGCTTGAACCAAAACATTCTACAGTGACGGTTATAATGAAAACACGCGCTACGCGCTAACGCGCTAGCGCACTAACGCACTGTTCAGAATGATCGTTCCCACAGGCCCGGGAACATGTATAAAAATCGAGTGAGTGAAAAGATTAGGTGGCTCATCAGAAAGCAGAAGTATGAAGAAGCCCAATGTTTGATCGTTAACTGTGCAAAGATTATCGATTGTTAGTGTGTTTTATCTGATTTAAAAGGAAGATAGAAAGTAGCACCTTACAAGATGAATGGTCGCAGATATGCGAATATGCTCCCTATTTCATTGCATTATTTGGGTCCATCCATCGGCGAGAAAAATCCTGTTTCGAAATCTGAGCCGGGGGCCCGACTACTTGACTAATGACTTAATATAATGTTTACTTGTCGCATGTTACCTCTTAATATCAAGTCATGGATGTTTTATATATCTTTACTCTTTGTATTTGAAGTTATATCTCACATGACTTACCAAACGGTGGGATAATTCAGGTGTCGCATTTATATTTTTCCATTTTTCTTTTCGTGCCCGGTTACTCTCTTTCGCTTTCATGGGGGTTTTATAGGGTTATCGTATAAGAGGAGGGTGAAAATCGATTGTGTATGGCTGCATAAGAGGGGGCAACATTTATCTTATGTGGCATCGTATAAGTTAAATAAACATATGTTTTAAAAGAATTAAAGAAACCTATTATGAAATTTAAAGGCAGTTTGAACGAATACTGCAGATCCAGCTTATCCCCATAAATTTGGGATTTCAATACACAAGTAGTTGTGGGGGCTTGCCCGTAGCCAGCTTTTTTCCAGGGGAAGCTTTTTCACAATTTTGGCTAATAATCATGAAAAAAATTCTCAGAATGGTGAAAAACTGCATGATTTTGAAAGAATCTCTGGCCAGAGGGGGAGCTCCGCTCCACCAGCTCCCCCTCTGGCTACGGGCCTGGTTGTGGGGGTGATTTGAAAAATCAGTCCCACATTTATGGGGGTAATCCAGATCTCTATATAGTAGTCTCTATATGCCATATGCCAGGACAGTAACCAGGATTTCCCAGGGGGGGGGGTCACTTTTTCAAAAATTCCAAAGTCACCCTCCGAACCCCCCCCCCTCCCCTGGCTTCGGGGCTGTGTACTGCCTATTTGCCGTATGATTATACATTTGGTACTACGTGGATTCTTGCATTATGTTATTTCCTTCTGAATATTATCCAAACTTTTCTCAACGGTAATTTCAAAATTATCGTACAGATATATTATTTACCCGATTGCATACACTGTATGTTATACATGTAAAAGGGGTGAAAAATGCTGTAAATGGTATAAGACTGAGGGTCTTGTGAAAAATAGTGTATATGGATTTCCAAGACCCCTATGAACCCCCTTTCATGTTTGCTTTCGTTTTTCTCAATTTGATTTTAGATTTAAAAAGTTTTGAATTACGTCAGTCCCAGTGAATTGTATTACCTATTTTACCAGGAATATTGTTGAAAACAGGATTGTATTTCATTTGGAATTAAAGTTTTAAATAAGAGACGATTTAAAAAGTAATGTCAACCCGACCAGCGTGTTTTATCATTGTCCGGTAATTGGCCGTAAATATTTATTAATTCTAAGTTACTCATGTTCTTTCAGGTCAAATACAGAGAAAAGTACACGTTCATTTAGTTTTGGAATTATTTCCTAAATTGAAGTTGAATTCTGTTTTTTAACGGTGTGAAGAACATCTTAATTGGTCTTATATTTTTAGAGAAATCGTAACTTGAAAAGTGTAATTTTCGAGAGGCTTTGTTTATTTCCTGCGGCCGCAAAGTTCACATCAAAGTCTGATTGACAGGTTAGCGGTGATTTATACAGTCTTTGAAGTGTCAATGTTTTGACAAGTTCCCAGGGAGTCATAACCCTAATTATACATGTCCCTGGGCCAAGGGTATTGACCAATCATAAACATGCGCTTAAAACATGCGCACACATCGTCGGGGAAGGATCATTTTCTATTAGCGCATTGGCGCGTGGCGCGTTAGCGCGTAGCGCGTGTTTTCATTATAACCTACAGTGACCAAGGTAAATCAAGAATACATTTTGGAAACAATGAATGTTTCTCTAATAATTAAGACAACAAGTTTTTTTCTTGATTATTCTTCATTTAATGTATGTGAGACCATTTTTAGCGCATATAATTTGCATCTGTTTTTTTTTATTTTGAATCTTCTCAAAACCAACCCAGTTAGAAAATGAAAGGTAAGGAGACACCATGCAGTGAGATTAATAGGAAGGAGCCATTGGTATTAATGTATAATTGGGATAATAGATGCTGATAATGGTCCACTTATGACAAACAAAGGACAAACAGTGAAATCAAGGAAATTTCAGCTCACTGTATGTCCTTTCATCTTTAAACTAAAGCCTTTCCTCAAATAAAACTACCCTGTTATTAATATTCATATGTATTCAAATTTATGGATTTTCAGTTAATTTAGCTGTTTGCTGTAGAGGCCATATGTGGCAATGAAAGTCATGAGACAAGAGGTACTTCACCAGAGATCATGTGAGACTATTGACCAATCAAATGATAATGTCCCTAAGGTATATGTAAAAGATTATGGGAAAGTGGATCCTCTTGTGGTATAGCAGGAAAGGTTTAAGTCTTTGATCTTTGCTGATTCAACACTGATGATATTGCCAACTGTAGCTGGATTAATAATTAATTTTTATAGTTTTATGCCTATACAATCAAAGCAA